CATGTGGCAGAGAACTGCCTTTGTTCTACCAGTGGTCATCATTTTTTATTGCGGGATCGAATATTTCCTATAGTTCTAACACAGGTGAGTCAACTAATAAAGCTCTGACTCTTTTGTTACACTTGTTATCGTAAACGCCTTTATTTAGGATGCTCTTTTGGGGTGTCATTATTGTTAAAAAACAACTGATTTTCACAGGCTTAGCCACGAGGAAAGAAAACAAGGACCAGGAGAAAAAACTTGTAACTAAAAGGCAGTTTAAACGAGGAATTGGTAAGTTTTGTTCGTCTTGTATAGTGTCTTATCAAAAGAAGTTTTTGGGTTATTGTTCTAAGATGCATATTAGATATATAACGTAATACGCGGTATCGCTGTAGGTGAGTTCATTTGACTTAATATAATTAATTATGTGACAGTCACACTGCGAGTAATTTTTAAACTTCAGAATATATGGGGAAATTGACAAGCAAGGTTTATTTTGTTCGTTACAAAGATTTATTCTTCCAGGATATAGGTACAGTAATATGGCACTTTCTGTAAGTACTACTCTGGTTATGACTTCTGAACTGTCACAACAAACAAAATGATTTTGTTTTTGTTTCTTACATCTGATAATGATAAAAATTGAATCGAACTATGGTAAACGAAAAAAAGAAGAGCAAGAAATTTGTTAACTGATCATAAATTAAGTATATGAAAATACGGAAGGCCTAGCCACTTTGAAAGGGAGAATGCTAGTTGCGTTACTTCCTGGCTGAGCGCTGCTTTATAAGGAACTTTAAAACGGCAGAAGAAAAAATGGAAAAATTACAGATTGAGATGAATTTTAATTTTTGTGGTTGATTGCCGAAAATGACTTAATCATTGAATTAAGGAATTAATGTTGTTTGATTGATGAATTTCTAAAACCACTTAAGTTTCACATTGGTGTACCTATTAACACTATTGAAAAAACGTATTTTTAAAAGCAATTAAGAGTCTACTAGAACAAAAACTATACAAAAATAGGATCCTTTGAAAATATAACTCAGGTGTACCTGTTTTATTGAAAATGGTCTGCAGTGGTAATTCTAGTCACCACAGAAGGTTATCATCTTGATGATGTTATTTTTGGTAATTTGTTGATCCGTTCTATTTAGTTATTCATCTATAATTTTGCTTAAGGTGAGGAGCTTGACACTTTGAAAGAAAAAGCGAAACAAGCGAGTTCCGTCTTCAAGTGGCTAAAGAGAAATTGGCAAAAACTCTTTGTGATCGTCGCTGCCATATTTTCATTCCTAGTAGTTGTGGGGATCTACAGAAGATGTTTCTCTGATTCTGGGTGAGTGCAGCCCCTGATTTGACACAAACCAAACATTATACTCCTATTTTATAAGATTTAGCGTAAACTCCGCCTGTCGTTGTAGTTGGCTTGCGTGCGGGTTAAAAAAAAATTAAAGATCATGTGTTTCAGAAATAAGCCCTTGCTAAGATTGATGGAAACATAAAAAACTAGAGAGAAAGGAAAGCAAATTTCATATGAAAGATAGTCAAAAGTAGCTTCAGAGGTAGGAGCTACTGTAGGGTCGAGGAGTATATTACTAATATTGATCGTGAGAAATGCCTTAAATGATCTTCAAATGCCAAACACAACCTTCTATTTATTTCTAGTTCTGGCGAAGATAATGAACAACCAAACGTAATCGTCATAAAAATGCCCAAGCCAGATGACAAGGAGAAAGGCGCAACTAAGCAGGCAAATATGATAGAGGGAAGTTCTACTGGTGATGAAAACTATGGAAAGAGAGGAAACAGTTCCACCCATGGGAAAAATAGCACTACTGGGGGTCACGAAGAGGAGGCTAGCAACTCAAAATTTGCTGAAAAATCGGCTTCAAGAGGCCGAAAAATTCCGATAAAATCGTCTTCGGTTTTAGTAACAACCAAAAGAAAACAGCATAAGATGGATAGGGAGCTTACATGTCTTCAGCCAATATCTCTAAAACCCAAATTAAACGAAGTCACTTCTCAGATATGTGCCTTGGATGGTATTCCCATATCTGGATATACCACATTTCAGCAAACTGATTATTACAAACTCTATTTTCATTTCAAACAATATGTTATCAATGAAAAAAATTCTGACGATCAACCCAATTTGCAGCTTATCAGGGTCTGCCAGGGAAGTACGAGTGATGGGCCTTTCCCATTCATACCGCTTATAAAGAACGTGGTGACGTCATTGATGGCGAAATATTATGATGCTTACATTCCCATTGCAAGTACTAACACCGAGTTACCGCTGACTATATCGCTATAAAGGAGAGTGTATGTGTATTACTTGTGAAGCCAACTTGAAAGGGTCGTTTAATCAAAATCAATTACATAATTACGTAGATACAAGGGTGCCAATGGGATGGTTGTAACTAGTCTCTTGTAGAGAAGTCAGTGTTTTAACTCTAAGTCATCTTGTGGAAGACCCTTTGTTTTCATATCTGTTAACGGACATAAAAGGTCTATCGATGTCAACCTAGTCTAAACCCCGATGAATTTTGAATAACTTATGCAGAATATAACCGACTAGCTGTTATCTGGACGAACCACTGATGTTTTGATTGTAATGCTGGTACAGAACTTTAAGACGAAATGGAAATAAAAACGTGTGTAGAACTTAAACATTGCTGGTCAGTTAACAAGAGCTCTAAGTCAGTGATGTGGGCTACAGCTATCTGGTGGATAGGTTCTGGGGCCTGAGCAGTATAGCAGATGACTATATATGTTGTGATGTTGAGTTAGACAGACAGATTGACAGATAGGCAGATCTAAATAACACACGGCCAAACTACGACCTTTCCAACCACAGTTCGACAGAAATTCAAACCAAAATAGAAAAAGACAACTTGGGTGAACATTTTAGGAGGATTCAAGTGTGCGGAACGAGTCCAATCCAAGATCAGATACCCTGATACAGATATTGCTGAGACATAAGTAAAGTACGCTTTCCTTTGTTATAAAACCCTTCAATGAAACCTGCCGAACTGACTCTAGCGATTTTAAATGTTTTAAAACCAGAAACAAACAAGCAACAAGCATCAGTAGGAAAGCAAAACAGAACAAACTAGTCTTCAAGCCTGAGTAAGGATCAGGGCGGAGTGAGAAAACTTCATTCCTGGAAACGACTACCTCAACTCTTCTCTAGTCTCCCACGGTTATCATGGCGGACTATGCGAGCTGGTGATACCACGATTGTGCAAGAAGGGTACAAATTGTACAGGTCTGAAGATAAGTTATTTGGTGTTAAGAGGTAAGAATTAATTTTTTACAATTTTGTCTAATGTGAGATGCAAATGTGGTCAAAACTTTCATAATGTAAGGCCTTTCATAATGTAAATAAGTTATTCCTTTGTCTGCAAAGTTATTAACATGTATCCGAGAATAATGTAACAGTGAGGCTGTAAACCAAATGTACGCAACATAATATGATCGTTCACTGTTTTGAAAGTCATGCTAGAGGGACAAAAGATTAAGTGTTACACATAACATTGCACGTAACACATTTGGCATCATGGTTTAAAAATGATATTTTCCCTTGCACCAATGGATCTTTCTCGATTCCTTTTTTTCCTTAAATTTTTGGATTAGCTTACCAAAGTACTTGGCCAATCGGTAAATGCTGCTATGTTGTTTTCTTTGATATAATTATGTTACATCACCATCAGAGTATCATTTTTCAACTTCTGTAGTATTAATAGTAACTATAGAGGAGAGTTTGCATTTAGAGTGTTTAAGTTGAGATTGTCTTTGAAAGTTATGTAACCTCTCCTTCCAAATATCCTTTTAAGTGTTATTATTTAACTGTTATCTCAAATACCAATGCATAGTCAGATTGGATTCTATAGTATTGTCACTTTACTGTACACATTGGTGCAATGTTTGTGAGAATTACGCATGGTTGGAAACCTCATGTACATGGAGAATATTTATTGGAAAATCCACACATGTGTGATTGCAAATAAAATAAGTATGTTATGTCCTCTAGCTGTAAGCTATTGATACACCCTAAGGAAACAGAAACATGTTAGTTAGCCTGCAAGGCCTCAATGACACAAGTGTTTCTTCACCTGTGACCTGTGAGTAAGTTTGATCTTGAGCAAAATAAGCTGGTGAGAGGCCTAAAGGGGTCTAGCGTCCTGGGGTGTTCACTATGTATAACTAGCCCCCAGATCAAATTCATCCTGATAGCTGGAAAATTCCTATAACCTAGCCCTAGGCCTTCAATCCAAGCACCCCTTCATCACTGAATCAATAAGTGAAATTGGGTTAGGGCATGACCAGGAATGTCCTAAGATAAGTAGATAACCCCACAAGCGACTTTTCAACCTACATTTGTAACCTTTATTATTGATCTGAGCTGTGACTGTTAACTATGTATAATTGTCACTGAACAATTATGAATGCTTGACACTCTCAGATTAGATTTCACTTGAAAATTTTGAACCACCCAAAAAATTCCTTTTCAGCAATTATCTACCTATGAAAGTTGAGAACATTGATATACCTGGTAAAATAAATTTGTTACAAATACAAATTTTTGGCTAATAGTCTTAAAATGACATGGCACAAGGGAAAAGAGTCGCCAGAGCAGAAATTAAAGGAAATTTTATTTGCAATATTTAGCTGAGTCTACTGTTTACAGGGAATTGCAAGAAAAATTGGATAGAAAAACACTGCCAAAAGAAAATAGTACCACACCTCCAGAATTTCAGGAAAGAATACATTCACCTGCATTCACCTTTCTATGAATCTTTCCTCCATGATCTTATTTCTTCACATGTGTGTATTATCCCATTTTTTAAATAAAAATTGTTTTTGTCCACCCCACAGGTGAGGGTCATTGAGCTTTAACAAAAAAATATGACATGAAAGAGTGATACCACACATATATTACTGGTCAGTGCTGAACAGAGTCATTTGGATACTTCACACAAGTGTATGTCTCGTTGTGAATACATCTGGGGAAAATGAGTGCAAAGGAACATGCAGTTATCCATTCCCCCCTGAGTTATTCCATAGCAGGCACAGTTGGAGGCTTGATATCAGTAATTGTGGGACACCCACTAGACACTATCAAAGTTCGTCTCCAGGCAATGGAAATTCTTGCCCAGAAGAGGAAATTTAGTGGAACATTGGATTGTATTATGCAGACTGTGAGAAAAGAAGGGGCAGTGGCTTTGTTTAAGGGTCTAACCCCACACATGGTTATGTCTGTGCCAAGCTGGAGTTTGCTGTTTTGGGGCTACGGTATGGGATTGAAACTCCAAAGTAAAGATCAAAACTTTGATAAATTGGGCTCATTTGAATTTTTCAGTGCTGGCTTGTTTTCAGGTTCATGTGTAGCTGCAGTATTTGTACCTTTTTTTCATGTCAAATGTAAGCTTCAAGTCCAGCAAATTTCTAGTGAAAGCATGAAATACCGGGGTCCATTCTCTTTAGCTTTTCATATTTTAAAAACGAAAGGTGTTCAAGGGTTGTATAAAGGTCTCTCCGCTAATCTCTTAACTGCACCAGCATCAGGGTTCTATTTTGTGTCTTACGAACACTTGGTAAGAACACTTATTCCCCCAGACACCTCACGTGATGACGTAGGGTCCCTTCCTGTGCTCTTGGCTGGGGGCATTGCTGGCACAATATGGTGGTTAGTGGCCCTTCCTGGTGATGTTTTAGCCAGCCGTATTTGGACTGCACCTGAGGGGAAGTACCCACGGGGAGTCCGAGATGCCTTGCGGGAGTTACTTCGCAATGAGGGTGCCTCTGCTTTGTACAAAGGGATTGTTCCTGTGCTACTGAGGGCTGCACCTGAGAGTGCTGCTTTATTCTGGGGATACGAGTTGACTTTGAAAGCCATCAATTGGATGTCAAGAGTTTTCAATCCATCCTCAGAGTGACTCGTCGCAGGCGTTGGAACGATCACGGCTGAGAGTTGCAGATCACTTAATGAGCCTTGAACTGTCATGGTGTCAAGGCACTAAACTGATACATAAGCCTAGCACAAAGTTAAAAAATGTTAAATATGACAATGAACTGAGTGCATCGTTGGGAAATTTGAATTACTAAACACAGTCGTGCTAAAAATAAGAAAAGAGGAATAATTGTTGTCTAGGACACGGCATTAGACAACGTAACTTATTTGTGCTTAGATATTAATTTTTATAGCGTTGCAGTATATTAAAAAAGCTAGAATAAAATTTGAAATAACTTTAATTGTAGATAATATTAATTTAAAGAACCGAGGGTTACAGTAGTGTGATTCTGGCAGTAAATATATGAAATTCTTATATGTGAACTGCAGATTGATTACAAAATGAGCATGAAAGCGATCTTCGCGGCAATGAACGCTACCTAAGCAGTAGTGAAAATAGGGCCTGAAAAAAAGTCAGGCCTGTACGGGATTTGAACCCATGACCTTTGCGATACCGGTATCGTAAAGGTACTGGGTTCAAATCCCGTACTTGGGATGCAGACACTGTTCATTTTATTCGTGCTCCTCCTGAAATGCCAAGTAATAAAACGCAGCTTTTGTGGTTGCTGTTCTTTAAATTTCTTGTAGTCGATCCGTTAGTAACTCGCTCGTGCTCGTGTTAGAAATCTTCGTGCAAAGACAGCAACTGATGCTGATCCCATTAACATCATCCCAACCCCACCCCCTGTGACAAACTTGGATCCTCTGGTAGCTTTCTCTGTCGCAATCTGGAAGACGAAAATATTTTTTAGCCAGCTATCATATCTATCAGGACTTGATGTTTGTCATGTTTATCATTAAACTTGTGTATACAACTTCCGAGTACAATACAGTAAACAAATGCAAATTGAAATTGATGAAATTTTTGATGCCCTACTAATGGTTCTTTTATGTCTCTCCCCTAGAATCGTTCTGTTTATTTGATATAATCACTCCCTGTAGCCAAACATACCTCTTTTACGTCCTCACTCATTTTCTCATCCTTAGCTATGGTATCATCCTAAAACGGACAAGGTGGAAATGTCATTCATCCAAGAATTAAAAATAAGAAAAGAACATTACATGGGTATGCCAGATTCAATTGAACAAATTAGAAGTAATTTTCATATTTGTAACATTATTAATAATGAAGGGAAATAATTCTGTGTAGCCTACGGAACATGTTTATTAATACGTACCGCACTAACTTTAAGCTGCATTTCCTTCACGGGAGGAGACTGACTGGGGCAGGCAATGTCAGACAAAATATCACAGGGAACTGAAAGCATTTTTTAAATTCAAATTATGCTTTAAAGGTGATTAATTTCTAAGTTGTACTCTCTGTATCATTTCGCATCAGAGAAGTAAGACTATTCGATAACTTGGGGTGAAAAAAGTTTACTAATTCACTTATTCTTAGAGAACAACCTTTATCATATGTAATGAGTGTTGAAGAAAGAAAGTATCCTAGACTCCTTAAAGGATTCTTAACCGAGACCAGTACGTATATCTTTGAGCTGTTCGTTTGCTTATGCCTTCCTGAAATATCAAACTGATGCAATTTGTGGTCTAAATTCCCATCAACAGAATTGTTGTAAGATTTCCAATCTCGGGCGCTTCTCCTAATTTTATGTGCACTGAGACAATTTAATTTCCTCCCCAAAATAGCTTTTTGCAGCAGTTCAATGTAATGCACATATACTTGATCTACAGTATCTTACTTGGTTGGTAGTAGCAATAGTATATTCTATTGTTAAACAAATCCTCTGATGGTCCGAACGGTGAAATGAGGCTATGGGCATTAGCATTATCCTGGTCTTCGTCGTCAAATTGGAGATATTCTGAAGACACCTTCACGAGATCAATTATAAATAATCAGTGACTTTTATTACTATTTGAGTTATTTATCGTTACTTTAGAGAGGTTGACGCGCAGAGACTGAACTCCACCTATAGCCCTAGTTTCAAACATTATTTCAGGAGCCTTTTGTTCAACCGCTTTTCGATTGAGTGTCGTAAATCCAAACCAAAATGAACCCAACTGGAGCCCATCAGAACACTAAGCAAAAACAAGCAAACTTTATAGGCGCAAAAACGTGGTTGAAAAACCCGAAATTGGTTTTAGTTTCGCGTACATTGCATGGGTTTTTAGACCAATCACAAACTGAAGTAAAACAAAACTAAAACAATATTAATCCCAGATTCTTTCGACATCATTAAATCTCCAGTGAATCATGTTTCCTTTAACCTCACGAGTTGCAGAATGAATAATTCCTTGGATTTTTGTAATTGACAAGGATGTTAAAAAAAACTTAACAATGATTAACTAATCAGTCTAAGATCAGTGAAGAACTGTTGCAAGAAAAACGTCTTTATAGGGAAAAATGTGTTATCATTGATGGAAACTTGCCTCGTAGTATCTCACTTTTTGACACCTGTGTGAGCCATAAGCAATAAGGTAAAATGGAGATCCATATGGCAGAGAAATTGGTGTGGACTTTTTGCCTGAAGTGCTACAGCAAAAATAGATTGCAGTGTTTTCTCCATATATCCCATCTGGGAGTTCTCCTCCTAGTGAATTTGGAAAATCGATCTCTGTGTTTTCATCGTCCCATCGAATCCAACCTAAAACCAAGAGAGGAAAAGTTAAGACACTTGGACGCTTTATAGGGTCCTAAAATATCTGGCCTGAAGAACTCAGTTTTGCAAAGATTTACGTCCTGAAATGGACAAAATTATATAAAGCCTTGTTCGCTAGATTATGATTAAAATAAGTGTGAAAAAGAAGTACATCTGTTTGTTTACTGAAACGGCAATCTTTTCAAGGGACCCCCGATACCATGTTAGATTTAAAAAAAAAGTATAGTTTCGGCATCCTTTTGGAAATGTATTCTTTTTGTCTGAAGATTCAGTACTGTTACAGTCATCCTTGGTTATAACAACTTGAGATCAAAAAGAGCCCTTTCAGCACTTTTTTATGTCACGCTCGCATTGTACTGTAGACGCCGAACACAAATCATTAACCAGTGAAAATATGCTGTAAGCTGAGTTTATTTCATTCCTCTTATGTCGGATGATGGCCCTTCATATGACTGTCACCTTCTCGTAAGCCGGTTGGACACGAATTTCCTTTTCTATAAATGCAATATTTTCCACTTGGCCAGGGAATTCGTTTTCCTGGTGTGCCCTTGTGAATACAGAATTCCTGTCGTATCCCATGTGGTGTCACTCTTCCCGAAAAATGACTTCCATTTGTTTTTGTGTTCGTATTTTCGACATTTTCTGAGTCTTGATATCTGAAACCTTCCAGCCACTCTTTACTTGGGCAGCCTGACTTCGGTTTAGGAAGACCATAGCTCCCTGATGGCCAAGTGTTTCGCATTACCAAGGCGACTAGTAAGAAAAAAAAACTTATGCTTAGGTGATGATATACCGGTATTTCATTGGAAAACTTTAACAGAAATGTGATGGTGTAAATTCTTATTTATATAAGGCATGCATGCACGACGCGTAGATTAAGTGTTTCCAAGAGATAATTATAATCTCTCAGTGTTTCGTAATGCATAATGCAATTCTAATGCTGTTCTTTCAACTTCAATTCAAATCAATTACCTCGGGAGTTGAGTATTTATTCAGATAGAAAGCTACAAGCCAGCTAATGAGATATTGGGATACATAAGAGTTTGACCTAAAGCAGGATGAAAGAGTTGCATGATTCAGATGTAAAGTTAAGTTTGCAGCTGAAATCAAAGTTTAGACTCCACCCAGACTTCCCTCGTTTTTTTTTTTTTTTTTTTTTTTTTTTCACTCCTCCGCAACTACAGCGCTGTTTACTATCGGGCTTTGTTTAACTAACTGAACGCCTGGAACAGGCTTCGCAAAAAATTGAAAGGCCCTTTGACTAAATTGGGTTACCATTTCATGTGTTTCCAAGTTCAACTTCGGACCCTTCCATGATAAGGTTAGCTTGCGTTTATTACAGGTCAAACAACTACCTTTGTTGGTATACATAAAGGATGTACACCGAAGTATTAACCATGCACTCGCGGAATTCTTATCACATCTTTGAACCACTTCTATAGAGCTGAATTGATTGAAAGCGTCTTGTTCAAAATTAAAAAATTAAACCTTGCGAGGGAAAGAAGAAACAAAATAGCGAAAAGAAAAACTAACCATGATGCAGAAGTTGGTTTGTTCTTCGTTTCAGTTTAGGCCAAGTTCTGTTTGTCAAGCCTTGTATGGATAAAGAATCTTCTTGAACTGGTAATCCATCAAGGTCACCACTATGCACCATGTTGAACAGATTGTAAACACTGTCTCTAGCTTTTGATCGGTCGTTAAACGACAGCTCAAAATCTGCTGCAAGGTTTCCTCGTATCGTGGACTTCTTGTTTGCTTCATGTTCCCTAGATGTGTTAAAAAAAAAAGTCAAAGAATTTCTCCAACACACTTAAAACAACGGGAAACAAAACGTCTACGTTTGGCGACAGAGAAAGTTACTAAGCTTTGTTACAGAAAATAAAATCGAACTCAGGAAAAACAACTGACTCACCTTAACTGAGTCACTCTGATGTTTTCAAAGTTAGAATCATTTTTGAAAGCTTCTCTTATCTTGATAAGGAAGAAAAAAGCGTTAAAAGTCGTCGTTGTCCCAACCAACAAAAGTGCCCTTCCATAGTTCAAAAGGCAAAGTTGAAATCTTTGAGCGTTAGCCGTATTGCAAAACATGATTCTAAAACTATTTCAGGGTTGCAAGGTTAAATTTCTTAAGTGGTTTCAAATAGAAAAGGTAATTTTTTTGTCCACCACTTACCGAATGCTCTATGTTGTTAACCATCACGTGGTACTGAGAGCTTCTGGGCGATGCTCGAAGATCTTTCCATTTTTGTTTGAATGTCAACGATCCGAAGTACATTTTACCTGTATGTAAAAGATATCACGTTGGAAAAAAGATATACATGCATAACTATGTTCGATTGTTCTGAATGGAAAGCTTTGCTATTGATTGTCACAATTTTTTTTTTGTTTAACAGCAGTTTTGGAAATAAAGGCATCAAATCGTTACAAAGATACTGAATAATTTGGAAGCTTTCACTATCGTATTCATCATCCGACGAAAGTCTCAAGTCTCGTTATTCTCGAATTGAAAGCCTCCTCCCTCTGCTACTACAAAGTTGTTAACTAGGAACCATACCTCCCAGAATAGACAAGTTGCTGTATAGTAGTAGGGAGCAAACCATGAAATATATACTCATGTCCCTCAGAAAAGCGCTTCATGGCGCCGGCAGGTCGTCCAGAGGAGAAAATTAACTAAGAATGAAAAGAAAACGTTTGTCAAAGAGTTATATTTGCCAATTTTTTAACATTTTATGGCAGAACGAACTCTGCACGGTGTAAACAGAGATCCTCGTTAGAATTATCTTTGGAAAGATGTATGACTGAATAAGGTAAGTTGAGCACTGGAGAATATCAGTTTATCTCTTTTCAGCGGTGAAGTAACATGCGCTGTCATTTGTCATCGACAGATAAATAACAATTTAATAAACTGGGGAAGGGCAATACGCCTTAATGGTGTTAATGCGGAATACTGATCCTGTCTAATTATGTTGAACCCTTAAAAAACTCGGTCGTTTTATAGCGGAGCTCGCAGAGCGTAGCCCCATAATTATACAAAATGGTAGTAGTAACCCATCAAGCCGAATAAATTTGGACTTGAACAAACTTGAACTTTTAACATGCGTGGTGAACTCTACCGCGAGCACGCCAACGCCACGGCTTTGTCCAGTAGTCCAGTGGTCAGTGCACTGGGCTTCGAGTCGGACGACCCGGGTTCTAGTCCTGGCCGGGGCAAGGCGTTGTGCCCTTGAGACGTGCGGAAAAAAAAAGGGCGAGCTCCGCTTTTAGGCTCGGTTAAATCTATATATTAGACTGAACTAGAATATCAGTAGTTGAAAGAATTGAATGGAATTTTATCTAAATTGTATTGAAAAATTTACTCGAATTTACTTGCTCAGCCACGATATTGCTTTTAATTTGTAGTGAGACTTAGTGAATTAAATTATCCTTTAGCGAAGTCATTGTTAAAAGTGGGCGATAACTATCTATAATTAGAGTATATAGTTTGGTTCAGGGATACACTCTTGAGCTAGCGAACCATAACCATAGTTACCGTAAACACATATTTTAATTCACGGCTGAGTTAACAGAGAGTAAAACTGAACGAAGTTATTTTTGAGTTTTTTAACCTTAAGCTTACAATGGTAAAAGATCTCTCAAACAAAAGATACGAGGAAACATAGAAGGGAAGAATGAAGTCCCTGAAAATAAGGAGCATAAACAGCCAACAGTGACCCAATAATAATAGTAATAGCATCGCTGAATATCTACAACCAGGCAGACACTTAGCACCTTCAACGAGGGGTTCAGTATTCGAATTTCTCTTCTCACCTTTTCAAAGGGATTTGGTAGTTTGCCGTCAATGTTGATACCTCAGATCTTTCAGTCGTGATATAGGTTCACTGAACAATCTTATCAAATAGACAAAACACACATTGGAACTAGAGAAAGAATGGTTCAAACGAGAGCGGTGGATACCGATATTGTTAATTATGAACGAATGTGATTTCTGTGGGTATGGCATGGTCTAATACATCCTTGGTGCTGCATTGACAAAGTCAAGCAGGTCTTTAAACAGCGGCAAACAAAATAATGTCAACATATTAAATTGAAGGTTCTTGTTTTTCCAATCTTTTTAAGTAAATTAGGTCTGAGGGTTTCATGGCACTGCTAAAGTTTCGATGAATTTCGTGGCAGTCAATTTTTTACTAACACACACACACGCACAATAAAAGAGCTCCTAAACTAAGGGAAACTATACAAAAACTAAAGTTGATGTAACCGCTTTGGCACTTACATCGCGAGCATTGAACTCAAGCGTGCTTTTTCCACTTCAAGAAAAACAACAAAGGGCGTTTACTAGAGAAAAATATTTGGTTAATAGTAGTTTTGGTAGTATAACTTTGATTTGCCTTCTAGGAAGGGAAAATGGTATTTCGTTTAGCAAGAAAGTGAATCTAAAGACATATCAGATCCATTTACTGACCTGTCTGGTAAGCCGCTGGATACCGCTTGGTAGAATTTAGAACTTAATAATGCGTCAGTAGATTCCACCGTAGCGTGCAAAACAGACAGGTTTGACTGGTTATTTAAACCTTTCCTTGTTTGCTAAACCAAATGAAAATCTAAATCGCGATAGAGATTTTTGATTCCTACAGTACAATTTATAGGATTAATAGTAAGCACATAAAAGTTTAAGCTGAATGGTTTTTGGTGTAATGGGAATTGGAAAAAAAAATTTCAAAGGAAGAGAAAACGTCGTAATACCCACAAGCCTACATAATAGCGGGATAGAGATCATGTTTTTATTTCTTTTTTGTAAGAATAACCCTGTATGGTCAAATAGGAAATAATCGAGCCATGCCGGTGTACGGCACCGAGAGCAAACTGTAAGGAAAATGAAAACAATTGAAATTACTAATTTCAATCCTTTTGTGTGAGGAGCCTTGCCAAGTGAGCGACCCATGTTACTAACCGTCCTTCATTTTGAGATTTTGATGAAGAAAATGTTACAAAACCTTTAGCGCCGTTAAATCATAAATGCTCTTTGCACGGTTAAAAATGAAAAAGGTAAGAACATGTCAAAAGCTAAAAGAAAAATCTGTCAACGGGACAGATGATTGCGCATTTAATCTTAATTGAACTCTCTCCCTAAGTAGCTATTGATGACGCGTAGTGTGGCTCGCCTTAGAGCTTCATTCATTTTGGAGCGTTACAGCTTCGAGTGTTTTACGTGAAAAAATTCAGCTAAGTTATTAAAGAGAATAAATCAACATGTAGGTTTCCCTCCAAAATAGAAGGTTGGAAAACAACCTAACCATAAAAACAAGCAGGTTTTCTTGTAAATTAGCCAAAATAGTCAGTATTTAATTGTTCTTTGGTGTTCTTCTATGCAAATGTTACGCTTTAAGGATTCTTTCCCCGCCTTTCCATTAAAAGGCATATTTTCCATTACCAAAGCCAATATCTTCTGCCGCCGGTTCATTTAATGACTAGACATCAACAGGTACCAGAGTAGGTTTTCAGGTGGCACGTTCGCGCAGTTTCGGATGGAATTCACCAACGACGTCCTCGATCTCAATAATAAAAAGAAAAGCAGTCAGTTTCTCTATTTTTTCATCCTTTTCTTGGAAGCGGGGTTATTCTCGTTGATCAAAATATCCTGCGCAGCCAGAGAAGGTCCTTCTTTATCACAAAGAAAACCAACTTCTGTATTCTCTTAACCTTTTGTGAGAGCTTCATTCTACTTGTGTCTGCAGCACTGCTAAAACAATTGAATCCTCTTGTTACTTTCTGGTTTTCACTTGTTCTAATATTTTTGGTTTCAACTCAATTATCGCAAACGAACAAGATTGTGGGAAAACTTGTCAAAGAGGTTGATTCTTCACAGCACTGCGATGACGTTACATGGATGGTACTAGCTTAAAATGTTTCACGTTTAAGCCAATTAGATTACTGGAATAGCGTTACTTTATAGACATTGATAAATTCTATGTTAACGGTGATGAATTTAATTGTAGGTAAAAAAGGGAAAAAAGAATGATGATAAACGAGGCCTGACCATCGACGACATTATTTACTAAAAAAGGGAACAAGTTACGATCACAGGCTGTGAGACAAAGTTTCTTAGTTGTTAGAAAATGGTCAATAGATATTACCATAACGAGGCAATTCGTAAGGTTTCCTGCGATGAGATGTTTTGTCGAGAATGAATGTGAAAGCTTACAATTGAATGACTGCAACAGATTAGAGAAGTGACAGATAGAACTTCTGATGTTATGAAGCGCGTTACGATAAGGAGTATCATAAATAATAGGTGATCTCTAAGAATATATTCAACTACAAGTCGTCAGGAAATGCTGGTGGGTTGCTGTTATATAGGTTTGCCGCAGAATTTGATCTGAAGCGTTTGGAAGAGGAAAATACGGCGGCCGCAGATCTAAACTCGTTTTGTGAAGTGTTAGAAACGGTTTCGTTAGGTGCTGTGAAAACCACTTGTTGCATTTGCGCTCGAGATGTTGTCCTCTTTGATTGTTGATTTGCCACCGATTGATTACTCCTTCCCTCTTGCTTGGAAGCCTGAGATTTCTGAAATTTCCCAAAACAAACCCAACTATTATGATAAAATATTTTCGTATTATACCTACAACTGTTATCATCTTAATTGGCTCATGTAGAGTGTGTTGATAACTGAACTCTACCAACCTGAGGAGCCTGAAATCTCCTTTTCACCGATTTTGAAACAGAATTACTCTTGATGGACTGAGCTATGAGACACTTGTACAGATTTGATTGAACAAGGAGAGGATTGTATGAATCGTAGACCTCAATCTGTGGGGGAAAATGAAGCATTAGAATTATCATTTCCTGGCTTCGGCGAAACGAAGAATGGTGTCGCGTTTCCTTCAATCATGATTCAAGATCCGATCGGGAGCAGTTAGAGAGTTCTCTCTTAACTTAAAAAAATCCAATATTTATTATGCAATGTACTCTGATCATGGAAGAACACTGTGGAAAAAAAAGCGTTGCAACTATTACCTACGCAAGTTCAAGTACATAAATTACCTGGTCTAGACACGAGGCCACAACTGATAGCGCATTATCACAAGGTTTCTCCGCTGACGATTGAACAATACTAGGTAGCATCAACTCCTTGACTGCGATAGACTTCAACAGTAGTGAATTGTCAAAAGGGAGGAAAAGGAAATGTCCTTGAGGAGAGGAGGATGTAATCGCCATTTGATGACACCGTAAAGCCACAGTGGGACCGGTGGTCTTGGCTAAAAGGGACAGGCCCTAAATTAAAGATGTAAAAAATGTTGAGCTCGATAAAAACACATCGAACCTTTACCTTACTGTTTTGGGTAGATAGCATATACAAAGCGTAAAAGTTACTGACCCGTTCTTTCAGTACTGAGCACAAAGCATAAAAGTGCTGCCGATTGCTCTCCAGTTCTTCCCAGTCTAGTTTCCAACAAACTGTTGGTCGAACAATGTATGGCTGTAAACATACAAAATATGCTATGACTGATAGTTAAAATTTGTGATGAAACTTCGAGCCAGTTCTTTTCAGTACTTTGCCCCACAGTTACATGCAAAGCTGTCATACCCTTCGTCATTGCAACTTTTGTCTGCTCTAGTGGCTATGGCTTTTCTCTTGGTTATTTGGATAGACACATAGCGTTTTGTGTTCTTCGCCGAGTTATGATACAGAGCCCTTTCCTGACTAGTAATTAAGAACCCTCTCCCTTGATTAGTTATATTTTGCAAATTTATGGTTGAACAAAGATTACAGTGGGAGGATTAACATGATGATAGTGATACCATCGAAAAATAATAAAACCAAATTACTGGCACTTAAAAAAGGAGAGTAGAACATAGAATATAATGCTTACCATTCCAAAGAGCTGTTAAGGGTAGTGTAAGGTGTCCGAAAATTAAGAGAAAAAAAACAGAGTTAAAAAGTGACATACAATTTTCCCAAAAAGACGGATAGAATATTCAAATCGCATGTAATGGTCATTCTAGTTGTAGTCCTTAATGATAAGGCACCAAATAAACTTACCACTGACTCGCAAACAGCCTCTGTATTAACGAGTTTCATTGCAGTTAAATTGTGAACTGGATAGTTTAGTACGTGTGGTTTTGTTATTGCTACACCTTTGCTGGTGACGTTAGCCGATTCTGCGCACACAGTCTGTGGATTCAATCACAGGAAGCCATTACTTGAATGCGTATGATGACTCCTCCACAGGTTTTCATCCCAGAAGGCGTGCCATCGAAAAAAATTATACCTCGATAAAGGAAGCAATGATTTCAAGACAGAGAAGCACTAACCAGGTGTGATTGGTAAGGCAGATGAAAAGGGTCCAGTAGGCATTCGTGGAGATCACACTTCAGAGTAAGACTTGTCTCGGTGACATTATCTTGACTATGATCCCCTGAAAGGATTCGTAAAAACAAGCAAAACATTGCAGTGTAAATTCTTAGTGTGGCTTGAATCCAAAACGGTACGAAATTGCCGATAGATGTATCTTTACAGCTGACCTTCACTGTCTTGTGTAAACGCACTCGGAAGAATTATCCGTAAATGTTCTTGGTCTGTGCTGCTATCCAGAAGCCAAATCTTGAAAAAGTTTTCAAAACTGAGGACATCTTTAAAGTGAAAGAGATGGGAGTTGGTTATAAGTCTGCGTAAGTTTGTTTGTAAAACTGGATCGAAAATTATGAGAGATAATTGCGCATGCAAAAATGGAGAAAATTTCACCCGATATATTTTGAGTAGACATTTCATTTCAATCGTTAAGCCACTCATATCTCTGATCAATCGTGTCGGTGCGTTCTCATCTTCGCTTTACAACTTGCAGTTTCTCTGCACTTTGCTCTCTTTACTTTTTTAAAACAAGAATTGTCACTATTTACCTTTCCCGAGGGAAACGACATCTACAAGTCCACCATCCGATAACTCGCTTTCGTCACCATCTGATAAACTGCTACTTTCTTTAAAAATAGACACTCATCAGCATTAGAACATGACTTCACCAGACAACGACTTTAAGAGATCAGCTATTGTCGCTTGTCTACACAACGATATTTTCCTAATATTCTCTAAGCCTAGATTTTCCATGTTTAATAGGGAGATAATCTTAGAATTGTGATTTGTCGATTCCCTCAGTGATATCATATTCTTTTATAACAATTAGCTTCTTACCAGATGGAGTGCCACCTTCTTTTCTATTTAGTTCTTCTGAACTTCGCACAATGACAACCTGGATTTTCTTTAAAAAGGAAAACAGTATGATATGGTTTCGCGATATCGGTGCTCGAGCAGTCTGTTTTGTAACCTGGCGTTTTTATTTTCGTTTGTTTCTCTTTTGAAAAAAAAATTCACCGCACTAATGAAACAAGGTGGAAGTTTATTCAAAGCACTCCTTTTCTCCCTAAAGTTAAAAAAATCTGATGAATATTAAATTTTTCCGCCACATTATGTGCACTAAAGCTATAAAGGTACTAACTTAGGAAGTCTTCATTAATACAAAAGGGACCGTCAAATTTTCAGCGATGACAATTGTTTCCGCCTTATTTGATTTCATCAGCACGGCACAGCTCACAAGATGGCTCGTGGATTCATTTGTAAACATTTGAAGATTTAAACAGGTGCAGATATTGCGCAAAAGTGGGATGTGACTGTGATGATAAAAATGAAAAGTAAAAATGGCTTGTCGCATTCATAAAATGTGCCCTAAAGCGACAAGAGTTTAAGGATGGGGGTATTTCATTTTCGTTGCTATTAAACCTTTATGCTTTCAAGCTCAATATCTTTGAAGAACGCCTCGATGTGTCTCACAACTGACGTGGCCGCTCTGCAGGTGAGGAATGTAATCTCTAGCTGGCAGTTGGATGTACTCATCTAGGCAGAGAGAAAATAAACTAAGCTGTTACCAATAAAGAAAGTGGAAAAATAAAAATGTGGCTAACAAGATTAACGAAGTGGAATTCATTAGTTTTAGTAGCTGGCCAAGTAGTATGATTCGCGACAAGCAGATGAAACGCCCCAGAAAAAACGAACTTATTGGAGCCTTTCAAGCCTATTAAGTATATGTAATTGGAGAGGCCTACATGATAACTATGTGGTGACCAGTGCTCTCAATTGATAGCAATGATTTCCATTGAGCTCGATAAGAGCTCGAGGCAACTTCTATAATTCTACTTTTCGGGTATATACTAGTGGGAGAAGGGAACGGTGCCATATCTAAGTGTACCATCAATTCCCGAATTCTTGAGTCCATGGTTTCTCGAAGATCCCCAGATAACCTTGCATCCCTTCCCTCGTCTAAGACAAATTTTTTGCCTCAGATTTTTCGCGCTTATTTCTTTTTCAACCGTATTGTCTAAGAAGGCTTGAATATTCGGCTTTTCACCGAAGTTACGAGCCACAATCGATGTTCTGAAAAAATGCAGGACCGTGCAGATAGGAGGGAATTTTCTTAATATTTAATAGCCTCGCAAATCTTGACGACAGTTGTTTCTAACCTGTCTCAGACTTTGCGACTGGCGTTTGAACTGTGTTATAGCTTCCTTAAGCCCTTGTATGATAACGTCTGAAATGAGAAGACAGACATTTAAAAATATTTCCCGTCACATGTGATTATGTTGGTCCTACCTATTTCATAAGGATATTGTGTTAAAGTTGAGTTCGGCATGAAAGAGAAACAAAAGTGAAAAAAAAAGCTTATTTACCTGAAGAGATCCTAGATGAAACATCCCTTGCGATGTTATTAAGTTCTTTAAAGGCAGTGTGAAGCTTTGGAAAGTTTCCTCGGACATGTTGTAAGTTAAAAAGGTTCTGAAAATGTATCACACAATGACTCTCTACAGTTTTCTCATGAGTTCAATAAAATTATGCGAAACAACTCGCCGTGTTGAACAGAAAACCTTTTTTTCATGGTTGTTTTCCTCGAATGATTCGTAAGGCAGCACTACTTGCGGATAGTACCTTGAGTCTACAATGACCTCCCAAGGTTTCCTAAAATCCTATAAGTTCTCCAATTTAACTGTATCACTCCCTATTTCCCATCCAAGTTTGCAGCAAAAAAGGCGGGTCCGAAATGACACTCTAATCCTGGTAGAGTTCCCGGTTTAAGCAGTGAGGAGACAAGGTTTTTTCTCCGCCAGGGTCCAACTTCGTTGGAGAGACTTGAAGATATGCGAAAGACTAGTCATTTTCTGCTACACTTCGGAAACTACAATGAGCTCCAGCACTACATAAACAAACAGGCCTGTAAGCTATAACCTCTAGTCTAATGTTAGTGTAAAATTAATGTCTTCTTTCTGCTCTGTGCGAGTTCTCTTAAATTGAATTTTGATACAAAAGCAAACTTAATCATACCATACCTCAATAGGGCTTGTGAGAGCAATCAAACCAAAGAATGGTGTTCTACAAGGCCCGCTGAGGTGCGTCACAAGTGAAAAGAAATTCACCAAAGTATCATGAAGGTATTCACATGTATCTGCGTCAAATGGAGTACTATAGTCGACCAGTAACACTCGAGCTGGAAAAAGATATATTTCAAAGAAAAAAAGTACTTTTTGTATGCTATGTAGATAAAAAATGACGACAGAGTTACACAAGAAGAGAAGGTGAAATCTTCAGTACAGTTTTCTCAACTTTCTCATTTCTGGTTTAAATGATTACTAAACTTTTCCCCGTCCTCTGACCCTCTTCCTGAAACGAATGAAGCTGTGTAACGGCCATGATAAGATAAACATGCTTTGGTTTTGCACTGATTTTGCACTCGTTTTTTACACCGGCCAAATTTGCCAGACTTCAACTCAGGACAGCCTTTATAAATTTGTCTTTTTTACCTGGTTGTCGTATGAATGCCGTCCGATTTCCTTGCTTTTCCGTAGTTTTATTCATGAGCGCTTGTTGGAAAATATTATGCTGGTATCAAAAGGGAAGAACGGTAACATTTAGGACCTATTTATGAAGTACAAAAAGAATTAACTCCAACTTAAAAACTAATACCTAAAGAAAGATTTGCTCAGACGGTACGACTGGCTTTCATTTGTGATTTAACGTATTGGTATTGTGAATTAAAGCAAGTTAAAAAGCCATCAGTGATATCTTTCAAATTCCTACCTGCTGTTAAAATGCTTCGCTTCCACTTTTTCAGACTGTTAAAATTATACGCATTCAAGCAATAACTTTTCTGTTGATACCGCAGCGAGATTTTGGCGCGAAATGCTGACGCTGCTGCACAATCTTTCCCATGATCAAAAGTCATTTTCTTCCCACTTTTAAATTAAAACAACCTGCCGCTGGTCAGCCTACCGATGGCTCAGGTTGTTCCATGAGTACGCCATTTTGAAAGAATTTTACGTGATTAGTCTTGAGTTTTACTCAATATTTCGTCTAAGATGAGGGATGTTAAGGGATACATAAGCAGAAAACAAAGCGAAGGCGGAGCTATGGCACCAGATTGGGCCCATCTCGGTGAATTGTATGAGAAGAAGTAAGTTTGATCGCTTCTGAGTTGTATAAAAGGATGTGCATAGTCATTGATCGAGTTTCCGTCTTTCAGACTCAAGCTTAGTGTAAAGTTGTTCTTGGTTATGGTATCGAAGAATTAATCCCAATTCTATAGAAATTTTCAGTGATTCATGGGTACTAATGCTGGCTTTTGGATTTCTTTGCTCTAGAGATACTAATTGGTCTTTTTCTAAATGACAGAAATGTCCCTGTACTGTGCACATGTTAATTGATATGTAATCTGATTGTTAAGGTACAACAAAAGCGTCAAACCCAATGCTTAAAATACTGAAATTATACTTTATTATTGATAATCATACCTCCATGAATATAGTACAAAACGATTAGTGTTGTGTTTTCTTTATTAATACGCTTGATTTTGGTGATAGGAATAGTCTTTGCAGAATATTTACTATAAACTGTAAATAACGAATTATAGGACTTAATGCGATTTATTTTATGACTCTTTAGGTTATGGCATCAACTGACTTTGAGACTTACTGAGTTTGTCAAGAGTGACTACTTTAACAAATACGGAGGGCTTGTAGAGGTAAAGCACTATAATTGCTCAGTGTCTTCACAGTTGGACACAGCTGAAGTGCTGAAGATTGGTGCTATACATGTACAATGTAATATGCCTTCAGACCCACTTACCTAACAAGAGCAAAGTATGCAAGTAGATGCATGTATTTGGATTTATTCATTTATTATAGTTGTTAAAAAAACAAAGAACTAAAATTATGTCAGTTAATTTTAATGTTGAAAAATTGGTACCTGTTAACCGTTTAACTTCCAGAAGTGATAAACATTTAACTTCTCCATATACTATTCATACAATGTCCAGCAAACAGGTAATGAGAGTACTCAATGCTCATCAGGTAGAAGTTGTATCTTGATCTAACATCAAATTCTTGTGACTTAGTTACAAGGAAATGTGTAGCAGCGAGAGGGGAGAATTAACAATAAGATTTTGGGAGTTTAAGGGCTAATACTATGTGTTAGTTGCTGTGTATTGACCTCAAGTTCTCTTTTCTAGTTGTATGAAAATTTCCTAGCAGACTTTGAACACAGGTATGACATACAGTATGTGTAATAGAACTATACATTAAAAAACAGCTGTCACTAAACAATACATTTTAAAGGCTTCTACCACCCTGTAATATGAAAATGATTTTGTCTATGATGCTTTCAGGACAGATCCCAAATAACTCCAACATTAGATTGAAAAAAAAAAAGCAGAAGAATTAATGTAATGATTCTTGTTCAGTGTAGTCATCATTGCTACTACATAGACCAGACTTTGAAAATTGTTGTCTTATGTGGTCTAGTTCTGACAAGTGAACACTTGATTATAATGTGAAAAGTCTAAACCTTACAGCTTCTATGTTTTTGATTACAGAATAAACATGCTTTCACTCATGGAAATTGTGCTATATGTGATAAAGGAAATAAAAGGTAGGTTGTAAAGCAGTTGTACCTCTGTCTCCTTCTGTCAAATTCATAAGTTTGAGAGTGAAGAGGCCACAATACACACATAATTCTATTTTTATGTAGAGGGTATCTTTTTTTTTTTTGGCAGAACCAGAAACTGCTATAGAGTTTCTAGAGAGGGAAAAAGAAAAGGTTTGTGTGCATGTACTTTTGTGCTTCTTCTTTGGTTTTTATTTGCCAAAGTGCTTGATACAGTTGAATTTTAGTTGAATTTCAACCAATTTGTAAAAAAAAGGATGTCTTCAATCCCTTTTTCTTGTATTGTATTTTGTGCTTTGTTGTTTTCCATGTACAAGATAATATATAAATACATAAAATGCAATTGTTAGTCACCTTTGCACCATTGTAAAAGTGAATACATTTTAGAGGAAAGGTTAATTTTGTTTTTTATTTTCAGATAAAAAATGATGTAGAGGCAGAGGTTCTTTGTATGACAGCAATTGGAAACATTAAGCTTCAACAGAACAAAATGGAAGAAACAAAGGTACTTCATATAAATTCTTCATTAATAATAACAGTGTACATATCATCATAACCTAGTCCCTAAGATTTCAAAGACAGCTGTTAACATGTGTTTATTTTTCAAGGCCTTAATTGAACAAGCCAGAGGGATGCTTGAAACTATTGATGGTGTTACTACAGTCCATGGCAGATTTTATGAACTCTGCAGCAACTACCACAAAGTGAGTGAGATGAGTTAAAATCAATTGCTAGGTAACATTGAATCCTTACTCCTTAAGCTGCACAGGGGCTGTAATAATGGCATTTATGGCTTACCACAGTTAAAGAATGAACTTAATTCTGTTTATCTCCTCTTTTTGAATGGTATTATTATTATTTGAAAAGTTAGGGGTATGAAAATTGAATAAGAACCAATCACTGTGCTTTTTGTAATTTTGATAATAATGCTTCAAATGAAGCAAAAATATCACCATTGTACATTTTGGTATGGACATTTCTCAATCATCTCTCTCTTGTCATCCCTCATGCACACCTCTGGAGCCTTTCCAGGAAGTTTGACATTAGTTCAAACAGTCTACTACATTTTTTTTTTTACTTGAGTGGTACTTACTTATGATGTTTGAACTATTTACTTAGATTACTGGTTCATATAATGACTACTACAGAGATGCACTGCGCTTCTTGGGATGTGTGGAAGTTAGTGCCATGAAAAGTATGTTTTAAATTTCTCAGATGTGTGCAAAGTACATCTTTTGTAGAATCTGATACATTGTACAGTGTAATGATTTTGTACAAATGATGTGTTTCTGTTTATAGGAACGTAAACTCTTGTCTCATGAGATAGTCACTTAGTAGTAGTTAGTTAGATATTTATTTTTATTATTTGATTAACATTTTTTACATGGCCCCATTAAGCTATATTAGCTTTAAAACCCACCATGTTTAAATAAAAGATGTTGTTGTTGTTGTTGTTGTCACTATTACATGTATTTGTTGATTGTGATGGTCACACAATAGGGTGGAATCAGTTTGTGCTTCTTTACATCTACTGATTATGTGTCATGTGTACATGCAATACTAAGTATGGGGATATCATTGATTTTGATCCAACACCAAATTCTCAAAAGTATTATAGGAGAAGTGTTCAGCAGACACTTATGTGGATAACTGAATTGAGTTCTTAGGAGTGAAAGGATTAATAAGTGTACATGTAAGTGATGGATTAATCTTACCAACTGAAGTTAACTAATATTGTACCTTTTTCTGTTGCTAGTTGGAGACCAAATTGATAGAGCTTTACACTTGTCTCTTGCTGCCCTATTGGGAAATGATATTTACAACTTTGGAGAGTTGGTAAGTTAATTGCACAATGCAAAATAAGTACACAATGTTTTAGTGGTGCTCAGTGCTCCAAATTCAATTCTTTTTCTGTGGGCAGCTTACCAGTTAAGCAAGAAAATGGTTTTAGATGACAAAATACATGTAATAGGAAAAGACACTCTAAGAAATGCTGCACAACAGATTGTGCTGCTGACAACACTTGTTCATTTAAATTAATTGCCAAACTATTGTCATTTGGTTTGGTGGTGAATGCCACACTGTTTGGTTTGATACTCAGGCAACATCTTGTGGCTACTGGTAAAAGCAACAAATTATATTCACTAAGGAAGTATTGCATTTAAACTTGAGAGAAACAGTAAACACTCTGTAATAAAAACTCTGTAACTTGGAACTTGATCACAAATTGTGGTCACTGAACATGTGACAGTCACTGCATCAATAGTCACCAAACTTTTTTGTTCCTATTACTCATTATGAACACCAAAAAGGTAACAGCTTGGAACACTGGCTGAACATTTTTAATATGAATAATATTTTATAAACAATTTTCAGCTGGCACATCCAGTATTACAATCTCTTCATGGAACAGAGCATGGTTGGCTAATAGAGCTTCTCTTTGCTTTTAATAGCGGTGAGTAAAGCTATGTTGCTTTACTATGTAAAATTTAACACAAGTATACATGTGCATGTAGGGTGTTACTTTAATTACAATGCATGTGGTACTGAATTACGTCAATGTAGGGGATAAAAATAAACAGTGCAGTTGTCAGGTGGGGCTAAATAAGAATTTTATTGTACTATTCATGTACTATCATATTACTGTCAAAGATGAGCAAGTAAAAGTAGTTTACACCTTAGTCCCTAACAATGACTACATGTACATATATGTAGCATCCAATTTCCCCAAACAATGTCATCCCTGAATCAAACATTAGGGTTACAAGAATGAAGAACCTAAGGAAGTGTATGGAAAACAAAGTGAAAAATGTACAAACTGATGTTATGGTGTAAGGGGTAAAGAGTATGGATGAACTACAGTTCTATATTATTTCAGGAAACAAGTTAAGTAATGGTAAGCCCCCAAATGCAAATTTAGTGGATGACTTCTAAAAAATTTTTTCTTTGCAATTCAAGTGGAGATGATATCATATTTATCTCATCTTGACCATTAAATTTTATCTTTTTGTAGGAGACATAACACAGTTTGAACTCCTGAAACGTCACTGGCAAAAACAGGTACAGCCAAAATGTGAAAAAATTGTTCTTTGCAGATGTATTGTAGTTTGATCTGATTGTCTTTTATTGTAACTACTGATATTCAACACACATGTACACCTGTAGCTTGCAATATACTTTATCTCCCTAGAACAGAGAACTTATATTAAAAGGTTACCGGTACATTGTATGCTGTTGCCTACAACAGATTTGTTTCTTGTAAGGTTTTTTATTCAAAAATACTTCAGCAACTATGTAGGGTAGCTTTACATGTTGATCAATAATCTAAAGTCAATTACTGTCTTCGTTTTCCTAAACAGGCTGATTTGAATGCCAGTTACAAAAGCCTGCGACAGAAGATCAGCCTGCTCTGTTTGATGGAGGTCAGTTCTTAATTCACTTCACAAAACAATGTTTGTCAGTTACTGATGGATTTTAGCATCCTCTTTACTAGCACACAAGCACATGTGGCAGTACTGTACACATATATTGTAGTGACAGTCATCTTTTATTATAACAGCTCACGTTCAAAAGGCCCTCCAATGACAGAAACCTCTCATTTGAAATGATATCAAAAGAAGCACAGCTACCTCTTGAAGAGGTGAGTAAATGAACAGTAATGCTGCTGACTGAAAGGTAAATCTACCCTTGTCACTTTGGTCATTTTTGAAAGTGCTCCAAAGTTTCTGACTTTTAGCAAGGGACTTTTGATAAGTAGACAAACTTGGCTTTGAAATTTATTCCAGCTGGTCCCCTGTTCACCTGTAACAATCGTTTTGTCACAAGTTATCAACTACACGTGAAATTTGGTTTGTTTCATCTAATTGAAAATGGGAAACTGTTTAAAAGTGTATGACATTACCATGTTTTCTTTAAGAGCAAAGGGTACATGAACAGTACAGGTAGACATTAAGTTATTTTGGACCTCTCTCAAGAATGAGTGCAATGTTGAAAAAATGTTTTTGCCTCAAGCCTTTTCATTTTGCTTTCCTCCTGTATCAGTTTATCCTATTTGTTCCCTTGGGTGAAATATTTAAGACTAATTTCCAAATGCATGATTCCATAGTTGTGTTCAGTTTCCTTTTAGCCTACAAAGTTTAAGGATGTTGATAACAATTCATACAGTGTCTTCCCGCTTGATTTCCAAACAATGCCTTCTTAGGAAGCCTATCTTAAGCTGCTACAGTCCAGACTGCTTTGAAACCTCTACCACTTCTCTGTGAAGGGTGTAAAGTGATTTTTTAGAGAGAAAAATGAATGTCAAAAAGTTAACACATGTATAGAACCAGGGTGAATTTAAAATTAAGTTTGTGCCTTAGTTCCAAAGATTCTCTCTTCCCTTTTTCCTGTTTCCCCAAGTCAGCCCTTTGTCATCTCTGTGAGTGAGGAGATTGAATGCTATGAACTTACATACTTTGTTGACATTCAAGGGCATTGACTTAAATCCTGTTCACTTTGTCTATAACAGGTTGAACTTCTTGTTATGAAAGCATTATCTCTTGGCTTAGTTAAAGGTGAGGGGTATAGAATATGACTGTGCTTAGAGTCTTTGACAACTTTTCTACTTATAGTCCATGTAGGAGAGTTCTTGTGATGTATTTGAATTCAACTTAGAAAGAAAGCAAAGGGAAATTTTAAAAAAATATAGTTTTTATCAGTTTCTTTGGTTTGTGTCCCTGTCAGCCTTGCATTTGGGGAGAAGTTTTACATTTGTAATGAATCACATGAGTTTTCGTTAGCCTGTTGTTTCTTTCTTTACTTAACTTCATTGGACGTACACATGGATTGCTTCCCCTTGTGTGTGTTTGCCCCTTTGACCAACTGAGAGTAAGCATCAAACCTTCTTAAGATTTAGTGACCTGTTAGGGGAAATTATATTGGCTATTGACCATGACAGACAATTCAACAAGGTCAGTTACCCATTTTTGTACTTTACGGTAAGCTAGTCCCACTTTCTTTTCTTTGACAAACGATCTGTTATTCGTCACCAGGCTCGATTGATGAGGTTGAACAGATGGTCCACATGACTTGGGTGCAACCAAGGGTACTGGACCTAGCTCAGGTGAATAAAATAATCCTTCATATATTTAGTGCTGGTATTTTTCGACGCTGAAGGGAACCTCCTTAGTGTAGCAACTTTCATTAGCTTATGCAAAACAGATAACATCACACGAATGACAGGTAATTGCTTTGCTGGAAACGAATAGAAAACTTTTCATAGTAATACGTTTGAAGTAGAGACGATCGTGTAGTGAAATCATTCTGATGAGTACACATGTAACCCGAAAGAGGTGAGGCTGTAAGAATTTCCTTCCTGTAAAATAGACAACAGGCTGGAAGCTACTTGTCGTGTAGTAAATTAATCCCAAATTATTTTTTTTCGTCTTGAAACTCGCTTCGAGCCTCGATCCTCGAAGTTTTCGAAAATCGTGTTTCGAGGGAACGTCAACTTACATTTTATGTACAATTAAAAGGTGTTGTATCTTAAATCTGAGTGAGAGTCATCAACAGAATCAATTAAAGCTTTTTCAGTCACATGTTGTAGAGATATTGGTTTGTGAAAGCTTGTGTTGCTTGATATCTGCTGCTACTCAAATAGCAATCGTCAATTGTGATTGGTCAGTTTCGATTCGTCGGCAAGGTGAGGTCGGTATTTTTAATACCAATTAACTACTGTCCTGGACTCGTGTAGCTATATTATGTGCCTTAATATTTCGCGAAGCAGGAAAGCTGCATATTTATTGAAGCTGTTTTATTTCGTTACAGATTGCTCATATGAGAGATCGATTATCGGAGTGGTGTGACAAGGTTAAGACTCAAGTCTACTCTGTTGAAGATCAAGGCCCGGAGCTCCTTGTGTAATATAGACTTCTCTACTTTCATTATTGTGTTAAATAAAGACTAAAAACATTTCGACGGTCGTTTGCTGTCAAACTTTATTGTGTATGAAAGTCTCACAGTGTCGATGGGATGGAAAAAAGCGTGCGCGAAAACCTCAAGCGGCGGGCATCCAAATTTCAGCTACATTGTATCACCAGATTATGAGACTAGGAGGCAAATTTGACACAAGAATTGAATGGTTTCTTAAGTGTGTCTGTGGGGTTGATGGTAAAGGTTGAGAAGACGCTCAAGGTTAATCTCTATTGCATGGTCGGAGAGACTGATATTTTGGAGGCTTCCCTCGAAGGCAATTCACGCATTACTTTATGTTGGTTCATCGAAATATATGCGATTCGGAGAACCTCATCTTGCCTCCGACTACACGTAAGAACGGCAGTTCTCGCTCTCAGAGCTGCAATGCTTTTGGCAGCACAAATCAACTAGCACTACATCACGTTTTTACCCAAATTTAAGAAGACAGCTTCGACCTGAGCCTTTCGATCCGTAGCGCTGAACCAGAAGTACGAATCGTCAATCAAAAATTGTGAGTAGAAATGATTGAATATGTTGAGCTACACAAGGCCGAATGGACTCCCGGGTACTTAGTGGCTGGAATGTTTTGACAATATTGGGGAATGGCTCGAAAGACAACCTTTGAATCCACAAGTATGTTAGACGAAAAGTGTCTGTTGTATATCAGAAACAACTTGTAGAAGGATAAATGCACGTGCTGAGGAGAACACGTGTTATTTACAAAACTAATGTCTAAATATAGGACTAATTACCGACGCAATTGTTTTCCAAGATGTCCTTTGAATGCGCGGGTGACTCTACCAAATATTTACAATGGCGGAGATTTTCTTCGTATTTAATTGCAGGTTTTCAGAAAAACATTTTAAGAAAGAGCACGTAACTCAAAAACATCACAGAAGGGTTGTAAGAAAACAATTTCGCGGGCTCGAACAAAGAAACTGGCTTTACTTGGGAATCAATGCAAAAAGGAAAGAGGAAGAAATTAAAACGTGATAGGGAGAAGTGTTAGAACATTTCCTTCAAAGGAAGAATCTAAGAAGAGAGATCAGTGGTGGCAAGGAGATTGAAAAAAAGGGAAATCAAAGCAAATTGTAAGTGAGATGGTTGTTGATTTGAAAATACAAAACCTTTTGTCTAACGGAGAGGAAAAAAAGCCAATTTAAAGATGATCTAACTGACGACGAGAAAACTTGGCAATTTTCCCTCGAGAAACTGTAATGCTTTGGTCCACAATTAACCGTAGCTCATGGCACGATTGAAAAGTTTTATCTTTCAGGGGTGTTCTAGGTATTATTTTAATAATACATTTACCTACTATCGTTAGTTTGATCTAATTGTGCGGAACACGACTAAAGGGCACGAGAGATGTAAGTCTGAGGTGCATTTAAAAATATAAAGATGCAATAAAAATGTACCTCGTTCCTTACTAGGTATTTTGAGAACGGTGAGTGCGTAAATATAATCAAAATAAACCACTTTAATGATGTTGATAGTTTCCAACACAATGCGCAGAATCACGAACTGAGGGCGCTTTCCATTTGCTGTAAGTGATCGTCCAAAATCGGAATCGCTTTCGGTAGTTTACCCCCATTTCAGTAAATGTTCATCTGAACTGGAAATACAATCAGGCGCCTGCTCTGCCAATTGGACTGAATCTAATATGCTTTGTTATTTATCGGCTTTACATTTGATTACAATCAGTGATTTCTTTAAACTGAATACAACCCCTAAGTGCTACTAATGAGAATCTCGTGGTGAGGTAAAAATGAATTGCTAATTCTTTCGAGAGCTTATCGAATGGGTGTCGAAATCCAATCCTCATCAAAGGATTTCATAATGTGTATCGATTCGTAAGTGGTTGAGGGAACAGATGACCTACTGGTGAAAGCAACTGTACGAAAAAGGAAGCCCATCGGCAAAGAGGCGTGAAGCACTCCTCCTTTTTTAATAGAAGTCCAGACCACGTGATTGATGCGCTATTGTTATTCTTTTTACAGCGATGTAGGTTCTCGATCCCACAATGCACTTGTCGATTTGGTGCTTGGCTACCGTTGTTCTTCTTTTGTTTCTTGCAGTACAATATGGGGACGGTAAGTTACAACTTTTGATTTTTGGTCTGCTGTCTGCCTTTATTTCATTTCAAATTTTAAAAGAGGATTAATTTTCTTCCATCCTCAGGCAAATCGGGAGCCATTCAAGAAAAAGATTTGCCCGATGGCGAAGAGGAGAAGGAGTCTCAAAGGGTGAGAATTTGCTTTTGGTGTCATCGTATTTACTAGAAACGCAGTTGAAATTGAAAGGTTTTGTCCCGCTAACTCAGTTCGTTCATAAGCTAAGACAGGGAAAAAATAAAAAATTTCAACAGGAAAAGGCCTTTATTGTACAGCGCATCGCACAGCGCATCGCACAGCAATAATTATGTAAATCTGTCCGTTCATTAAACCTTTAGCTAAAGCCAACCCTCAAACCAGAGGCAGCGTCCTAATTCATGAATAACATGTTTGCCTCATTTATTTGTTCCCAGTCCGAAATCCCGCGACATCACCGCAGTCGTGAGGCTCACAGCCGTCATAACAGGAGGGCCGAGCGCGGTCGTTACCGCTCAGTCTTAGCCGTCGGCGTTGGCTGTGCAGTGGCAGGCGGCTGGATTTGCTTAGCGACTGTGGTTTATGTCGTGCGATATCTTCGCGCCAAAAAGGATGCGGCTACACGTGACTCCCCTGATGACCTGTTGTGATTAGTCATGGAAGACAAGTTATCATTCGAATGATTCATTGGATGGAATGTAGCGGAGAATTAATACGATTTAATGAAAATAATGTATCATTCACTGGTGTCGGGGAGGTTCTTACCTCAAAAGAGCTTGAACTTTAAATTATTAGTTTATTCTTCCGCTTTGAAGAAAGCATTCTTGTGTCCTTAAATTAAAAAAAAAGTATAAATATGGTCTTGATGAGGTGGTGAAGTTGTCGAAAATTGAAGAAACTCGTCTCAGTCGGTAATAATACTTTGCTTTAAATTTCAGTATCGATTCTTTATTGTATTTGTATGAATGGCTGTATAACTGCATCGATTTTTCGTTTAATTTGAAATTCACGAATCAGTCAAAGTCACAGATGACATGGTTTGTCCATTGTGTGAAAATGATTTTAAAATGCTCAAGCCTGGAGGTGTTCTTATTTTGTTTCAGATATCTTCATGTTATAAATAGGTGATGGTTTGATCGAAAATTTATATATTACATTAATATAATTAAATATGCATTTGATAATTGAAGTAAAGTAGCGGCGCAAATGTGGACCGTTGCGCTGTTTCGTTTATAATGAGCTAAACTTTATATTAAGAGAAATAAGACGTTGCAGATCAAATTGAAATGAAACTGAAGAACTTTGTGCTTAATGATCGCAAAAACCTCAAGACAAAGAACAATTCAGTATTGTATATTTGTAGTTATGCGATATTTACGTTTATAAGTGAACGGAGAAGTAAACATCGAAAGAAAAATAGTCTATTCCTGAGTTTTTTTTGGAACACCTTAATCCCTAAACATTGTCTCTGGTCTCGATGTCCGCGTGAAGTCTGGGGTAAGGTAAGCAAGTCTCTAACTGTAGCGTCACTATCTAATGTGGGGTCCAGAGTCTTGTTCAGTCGTCAGAGCGCTAAGGAACCGGTCACCAGCTATCGTCTGAGAAGGGGTGGGAGGGGTGGGAGGGTTTGGAGGATTTTGATCGTGTCACAATAAAATTTACCTGATCCCCTAAGGCTGTGCAGTATTCTAATACCCTTCCCTCCCCCCTCCCCGCATCCTCTTATTGGCAGTCAATTTTCTATAGTCACCCCTTCATACTCTCTTAGCGACGACTGTTCCCCACCCGTTCCTACCAGAAACGATGTAACCCCCTCCCAGAAAAAATCCCTTAAAAACCCCCCCTCTCCCTCCGGAGATAAATATTAACTGCTCCTTAGAGGACCCAGGTAAAGGACCAAGCTGGTGTTGTACCTATAACTTGTAGGCTGCGCAGACCCGTCCCCTCCCTTTGAGTAGGAAGGACGGATGTACACAGGGTCATCACATGAAATATTATACGAGTATGTCAGCCAAATTAAGATTTTGTTTAAATAATTCTTTTCGTCATGGCTCAGTCAATCTTCTCAACAAACTGGAGCCCCCCAAGCTCCTCAACCAATAAGTGCGAAAGGCGACACCGATTGACGACCTGGCCACTTGCATTTCTCGGGATTACTCCCTCAGTAGAGGTTGAAACCAGGGTTCAACCCTTTTACAGAGTGTGGATCGGAGTCAAAACCGAGGGAAAAAATGCAACTATCCGAACAGATGACCAAAACAGCCAAGACAAGCATAAAAGAGTGCTAACTCGTTGAATATACACACATGTTTTCAAACACCTGTTGCCATAGAGATCAGAAGTGTTACTTTGCAACATTCCCTACATTAGTCCTTGGCTTGATGAAGGTCTACAGAGCCTGGTGTTTAATCAGACAGTATGCCTGAATGAATCTGACTTACTGCATACGTAGCGACTTTCCTTATCATCGAATGAGTTCACCCAAGACACTAATTGCTCTATCTACAAAAGGCGATATTGCATACACGATTACTGCAACATGTCACCCATAGAACAATGTTACTGTCATAACATACCCGTCGTCACTGACAGGTACTATTAAGCCCCCCTTACTACGCATGTGTTAGCTTCGATTCATAAGTAATGGTCTCTAGGGAGAAGAGTGACTTCATCTTCGACTAACACTCCAGAAACTGCGGTCTTTTTCGGTAAGTAAATGCCGGTAAGGCTTGGGTTTTTTTTGTACAATTTTACTAATTGTAAAGCACTGCTCTTGAATTCGTGCAAAACTTTATGTGGAAGTATGACAATTTTTGTCAACATAGGCAAGTAGTTTATTTTGAGTGGCATTTTAGTGCTGGATTGTCCGAAAGGAAATTCCAAACCTTATCATACGATATTTAAGATATACCATGTATCTTTTGACAAAGAAAAGAGAAACAGATCGAAAAATGTATTGATATACCACAACCTCTGAAATGGAAATAGTTTTGACATAGACAAGAACATTTCATGTGTTGTTCTGGTGCCATATTCACGGTTTGTTGTACAACTACAGGCCGTTTATGGATGTTGAAGTCGGTGCTCTTCGATCGCTTTAAGTCTCTTGATGTTTTAAAAGCCTTACTCAGATAACAACTATGAGACATCTAAATTTTTAACTGCTTCGTTAATTAAAAGACTTTAAAATCTGTAGAATAGATGACATGTATGTCTGTTCCGGAATGCTGATCACAAACATCCCTCAGGGAATCTCAAAACAGAGTTTATTGACCTGTTTAAGTCGGCGTGAAATGAGACTCGAATGTGATCCCGTACTAAATTCTTTCCGTGGCCGGTGTTGTCATCTTTGACGTACACAAAGAAGTCGTTTCACTTCTAGGCAAGATTAAAGGTTTTACGCATTGCAACCGTGGAGGTCCTGGCGTTCCTCCTTTTCTTGTTCAAGAAAATTATTTTTCTTAAGAAAAGAAGATTCAGGAACCTAGTTACCCATCACTCCCTGATCATGAACTGTACCCGGTTTCGCAAGTGTGGCGTGGAACTGCTGAGAGGATTCTTACTCGTCGTGGCCATAACAGTAGGTCACCCCCACAGCTTTCAAGGTTTCCTGGAAGTTTACTGGTACCTATCTAAAGGACTGTGAAGTTAGGAATAGTGCCCATGTGGAACATAAAACGATGTTTCAGTAGGGGCCCTACTGATCCGAACACCAATGTGCAAACCGTCAGAAAGACAGCGTACCTCTCATCACCGCACGAAAGTCGGAATTTTCGCGATGGAATGTCTAAAATGGGTTGATGTACTGAAAGAAATTATAAGTTCATTTCGTTTTTCAATGTGATGACCCAGTCTACAACTACAAATCATCGGTCGCATTTAGGGACAGTTGTACATTTTCTAGAAAGAAAGGCATGATTGAAAATAAGATAGGATCACTATGTTGAGGATAATTTGAATGGCATCTATTGGGTCCTTTTGAAATTAACCGTGAAGAAATTCTCTTTCCAACTCACACTTACTAGGTGGAAATAATATTGTTTATACAGTTTAACAAGAAACAGAAGTTTTACCGGCCTTGTAGCCAGCTATGTGCTAAATCAACGAGACGAAGGAAGAGACTGGGGAGAGTTGGCAATCGGAAAGATAGAGACTGTACTAATTGCTGTCCGCAGAACATGGCTGACCAATCTGGTGTGCTGTTTGTTAAGTTTTTTAAATTGTTTTAATCGTTTTCTTCTTTTTCTGAACAATAGGTGGGAAAAAATCGAAGATATGGAGTGCGCTTTAAATCTTGTGTTATTATTTCTGCTTTCGCTATGCAGTATAGTAGGTGAGATAAGACAAATTATTGTGCGTTGTTTTCTCTTCGCAATGGAGGTAAAGGTTATGCCTCAGTGATACATCTGTGAATTGTCTCTTTTGGTAGCCTTTCTCAACGCCATTATTTTTTAGAGTCTTTCTCTACTACAATTACTTCTTAATGATAAACAAACCTAATATTTTACTTATGCTGGAGATAATGTTTTTAATGTGTCATGAAAATGATGGCTAACCTAGATTATTAGACATATGAGAGAAGAGGTAAATTTTGATTCTCCTTGCCAACAGCGATACGTTTCTTGAATTTCAGTTTTTTTGAATCAAGTATTAATCCATCAATCGATCATTCTTTTCATCACATATCTGTTAGAAAGTGCGGTTATGGTGTTAGGTTATGTATGTTGACCCACACATAGCTGCATTGATTTTCCATGTTAGTTTTAGACGCAAAACTCGAATTGATCTCATCTGACAAGACACCATGTAGGAAAAGTTCAGTGAATTACAATGTGACCCTCAGTAAGGGCGCCAAGGCTGGAAAGTACTACAAGATGGTTGGAATTAAAGAGATGGACGGATGCGTAAAACACTGTTGTGGATCGAAGAGATGCGACGTTGCTTTTATGGTCAACAAAAATTGTTATTTAGTCAAGTGTCACAATTCTGACTCATGTGACCTCAAGAAGTCTGATAATCCCAAATTTGACACGATGCTTTCAATGGTCTCGCAAACAAAACTAAAAGAGGCTAAAGGTAAGAAGGTTTTCATCAATTCAAACACTTTCCAAAAAAAGATGAATTAGCTTTACAAGTAACACGATAAAGTAGCGATGATGATGATGACGATATTATAATGATGATAGTAATACCGATGATAGCATCACCGTTATAAGTATAGTATGCGTTATTGCGTTAAACAAGCCCATACCTGGCCAATTGACCGACCAGACTTGGTCCAAAATATCTAATCAAAACTGTTTAAAAATGTGTTACACTATGGTTAGGGAGAAACAAACTGCAGGGCGCCAGCACCACGCATAGCACCGAGGTCTAGACCTGACCTTTTCAGTCTCTAACAGCTGTTCATCTACTAACAGCGGATTTTCTCTTTGATATTCTCTGGCTGACTATGACTCTTACTCTTTTTCTAAACAACTGATTGACTCTTAATCTCTGATTCTGAGCTCTGTGATACTTGCTTTCATATTCACCATCGGTAAGCATGGAAGATTAAACATTTGATGTCAGAAAAATAACCCAAACATTTTCACGGCAATCTTACTTATGAAACACTCGTTGAATGTAAAGGCAAAGAGGACAACCTAAGTGCGGATCTAAGGCAAGGTGGGGAGACCAACTGATTGTAGTTGAACAAGACAGTCAAAATTAGAAATGTCATCATGATAATTAGACTCAAGTGACTTCGGAGTGTGAATTTTAATCTTAACTAAATGCTAGATATAAAAAAATCACTAAAATCATGACTTAGTAACTGAATACTTCACAACAAATGACACCAAATTTGTTGTTAAACACAGGAGAGGGTAAGGGGGAACCTGCCCTTGAAGAAAACCTTCAAGAAAAAGCTTCTGGGATTGAAACCACGGAACCTTTCATTGTTGAAAACCCAGATGACGACATGACCACAGTGACAGCTTTTGGGGTAGGTTAGATGATTGTGTCTACATAAATTGTTGTTATACGAGGGTCTCAATGGGGTGGGGTCATTGACAGCAGTGCTTAAAAGGCTTCTTATAAACAAGCGGTTTAGACTGTAATCGGTAAAATGTTTGGATATTTCATTGTTGGTCTTCGGAATAAAAATTTTTGAAACAAGGAATTATGTTGATCGCAAAATTTACCTGAATACACATGTAACCACCATAAATATTATCCTACTCCAGAGTCCAGCTTTAAATCACCAACAATATCAACAAATTACAAAAACCACAAATATAATTCAAAATTTCCTGCAAGCATCGAAGGCTCAGTGAATCGCAAATCACTAGAGGCCGAACCAGTTCCAAGTGATATAAGGCGCACCTTGCCTACATTGTTTGTTCATATTAAGGAGTACCTATGGGACTTGTAGGCTAATTTTAACTGGCTTTATTGCTTATGGTTAATGAAAATCTCGCATTTTCGACGCTTAGCGAAAGGCTCAAACAGAGAAAATCCAAGAGAACGTTTTTTAGAGCACACATTTCGTCCATAGCTTTTATGTATCTTCACAAAACCTGCATTGTAATGCGTCATAAAAAAGCGAAATTTTCGTTCAGTCTTCGTTCAATACACATTGTGATTCTATTTACGTGAATACAAAAACTAAAGTTTCTGTATGTATTTTTAGACTGGCAAAACCAAACGAACTAAGCGTTCTTCTGATATAATCGACATGGTGGTGGCAATTGGTTGCGGGACGGTGGCTGTTGCAGTAGGTGTGGCTGGCGTAATTGTGATGACAAGACGTTTGATTGACAACAACAAAGCGGAAACTTCAAGCTGAGGGAGAAAAAATACTAACCTTTTTCTCGAGCTCAAAGGACTACAGTCATCAGAATCTTTACCTAGTTTACTGCAATTTCTGGCCGGTAGGAAACGCAATCCTGAGTAGATTTCATTTGCAAAGCTGGCCACAGGTGCTATAAGAAAGAAAATGGAAAATCCATGATTTCCCGGAAGACTGACCTGCTGTCAGGTGACATTTATTTGGACGATTTTACCGTAAACCAGCTTTCATCAATGTTTTTTGTGGGACCACATGGTCCCAGTCTGGTCAGAACGGCTTTTAAAGGGATTATTAGGGCCTAACAGGAGCTTTAGCACAGACCTTCTCCAAACACAAATGGTTACCGGAAGGCGCAAAAAGCAAACCATCTATCGCTTTGACCTGATGTATTCAATACGAAAAGTGTTGTTAAAAACGGTAAATCTATACTGCGCACCACGGGAAAGAGTATTTACTTTTGAGCCATATTCTTGGCTGGAAAATATCTAGTCATTTTGCTCTCAGGTAATGAAATTTGCGGGCCTTGATTGTGCTCCTGTAAAGAGACGTTAGTGTCAAAGTGGGAAAAGAATTGTTTTTCGCAACAAATATATTTTTGTAAAGCGTATTTAAAATATATTGATTTGTATAAACTCCTCAATAAGTTAGTTTCATTCTAGAAATAGCGCGCAACTCTCAACATTTATTTACTGCGCGTAATTTTTACTGGCCAAACAAACATTCAGCTGGCTTTACATTTATGCCAAGAATTACTTTGGGATACAAATCGAGATTCGTAGAAGCTTTAACAGTTAATTTGAAAGATAAATCGCATCTCTTTTTCTCTTTGTAATTCTAGGACACAACAACGTAGATACAGCGACTTTTTATGAATAGATTATTCCAGTAATGGTCAAATTTAAAATTTGAAAGGCTCCAAGAGCAGACAAGGTTTTCCAACAAGGATTTCCTGTTTTATACCGGACTGAAACCGGCTTTTGGCCATGGGACAAATCTCGTTATCCACCAACTCTCTGAGGAGTCTGGATCCCCCTTCCCGTTAGTGAAACCTGTGGGGTTTTTTGGTATTTGTCTAACCCCAAAATTCTTGCAACAAGAAGACCACGTGCTACTACTCCATTTGAAGTATTCTAAATCTATGTATCTTGAAAGATATTTTCGGCTTCTCAAGGCTGTTGTGTGGCTTAACATATTCCTAATCGTTCCTTTATTAACGAAAAAATGTACAAGCAGATATCAAACGAAGCTATTTTTATAGGTGGAGAATAAATAATGATTAAAAATGGTATGATCGAAGCTTACTGATCCACAGGCGGCCTAAGCTCCAGCTGTGAAATGATCATCTTGCGAAATACAAGTCATGGCGTTTGTATGAATATTTACGACCGCTCTAAGGGATTAAAAAAAATGCAGTCAAATTCCCAATAAAAATATCTTACCTTACTTCCAAAGTGCGTCGCTTGTTATCTGAACGCTTACTATGTTGAAAAGAAGCCATTTCAGCGACTTATCTAATTCTAGGTTTACTACCCATATGGGAAGCCCAAGGCTGCACACTCTATTTGCGAACGCCTGATCCGAGAAGCGAAACATCCAAGCTCAAAATGACCAGGCGGCCACAAATCCAACGCAGAATCCAAGCACATATATCGCAGTTTCATTTCAATTCATTACCAACTCAATCCTCCCCGAGAAACTTACGCTAAGCCGAAGTTTGCTTCCAAAATTTCCAGTTTAGACGTTTCTAACAACCCCCGTTCACATTCGCCACGACACACGACCGTTGAAATCCAGCTGGTAACCTTGCCTTTGCAAATTGAGCCTCCTCGGGGACCACACCGTCACGCAACATGAACAAATTGTTCAAGAATCACGGGTGCCAAGTAACGGGTGCCAAGTGACGAAAGATGATCGTCTCACAGCTGGAGCTTGGGCCGCCTGTGACTGATCCAAGTGAACGGAGAATGAAATGAAATGACGAGATGGGCATAATCGGAGAATTTGATTTCCGAGGGCTCTAAAAACAGTAAGTGAACTTCGATCTTATTCCATGCTTTATGTCGTGTATTAAACGACAATGGACGAGGTCTACGGAAGAATAGCAAACACTACCATCAAGAGGCATGATAATCTTCTTTCATTCTAATCGTTTGTTAATGTGTCATTGAAAAGATTGCGCCAATTTCTTTTCCCTTTGTTAGTCAAGCGAGTTTTTGCGCACAAAAAGTTAATACCGAATAGTTTCCTTACGGAAATTTAATCCAGAAATTGTACATTTTTCTCAACCAATGAAAACTACTTGTAAAGATAAACCACCTCTGACGGTCTGAGCTGCGTGCATCACACTAAGCTATCTGTAATGGGGGACCATACACTATTCTTCCGTCTTTTCCAACCTTCATCTCCCGAATCTGCACCTTCGTTGGCTTTTTTATTTCACTTCTTTGTTTCGCTCTCGTTGCTGCAAAGTGCTTCGAGTCGTGGGATGTCAAGTGTGGCGGAAAACCTGCTGAATCAGATTCAAGGCGGCCGCAATCATTTTGGGGTTTAAAGTATATTTGAAGCAATTTTCGGAGAGTTAGTTTCCCTTTGGAATCATAATCCAAAGTCAATAGCTTTTTTTCAGTAGTATACACTTTTATTGCTATAGAAAAATAAACGATTCCTGGAGGAGCATCCCTCTTCTTTTAACACTAATCAAAAGAAAATTCTCATGAATGCAGGGGAATGGCTCTTTCATTTGAGGAGGTTCTCATAAAATTAAGAATCTCTTCTGGAAACATTGTCCAGAAACTTGGAGAAAACCGTAGTTTAAGATGAAGATGTAAAAGAAAATACTCTGGAAGCACAAAAGTACGTTAAATCAGACCTAACTAGATTTGTACTAATTAAGTACCCGACTTAGGTTGAAGATGCAACGTGACAAATCGGTATTGATTAAAGCTGACCTTGGATTGATATTAATCAGGTTTTCAATAACCTAAACCTGATTTTTTTATTCCTTTCTAAGACGGTCAAAAAGTGGAGCAAGCGCGCAAGAAAAATTTCTCAGAGTTCAGTGAAGTCAGCGGTTTGCCAAGAAACAAGCTTCATGTATTCTGCCATTGTTTGCCACCTTTGTTACCTAGACCTAGTCTTGGTTAGAGAACCTGCTGACTTAATTAGAGTCACATCAGAGGCCTGAAAATAATCGTGTAGAGAACAGGCAGCCATTCATAGCACTATCCCACTTAAACATGACTGTTTTTGTGTGTGTCTAACTATTGAGAAAAAAATCTAGTGCCAGTTTTCTGGGTTTCAACATGGGAGTTGTTCATATCGTATTGCCTGCGTTAATTACTTTTATAAGTAGCTGATCAGATTTTCCCTGATCAATCTTAACTGGAGATTACCCAGGAGAAGATTTCGAACTTTTAAGTCTCTAGCATAAACTCTGAAACATATTTTGAAGTTGGCCGAAGCCAAAAAAGTTTTCTGAAAAGTCATTTAATATCTATGGAGAATTTAAATTTTTTTTCGACTACTCATGGCATATTACCCCCTGAGATAACACCCCACCGCTTTGGACCACATGTTAGGTGTAACAGTGCGTGAAATATTCCGTCCTTATAGAGGACACGGTGATGAACAAGACTTTGCTGGGAAAAGTAGATGACCTGTTATGCTATGACTGCCTGCTTTTCAGTGATTCAAACGAATACCGCCCACGTGATAACACAAACAGAAAAATTTTACAAGGAAGGGGGAATGTGTCCACACATCAAACAGATTCCCTCATGGGAGTCAGTCTAGCACAGGAGACAGGTCATTATGGTGCAGTTGAAATTAAACCAATTGTAACTTATTACAAAGCTTTTCCGTTGTTCATTTGTTTATGTTTTGTGTTTACTGAGCGTAAGATTTATATGGATAACACTAAGCCAACCTGTTTGAATATGATATGTTTTCTGCTGCCGGTACAAACTGACCGAGAGTTTGGTCCGCGAAGCTAGAATCGTCATCGCTTCGACCTGTGGGATGAAAATCAAGTTGCTTCTGATGAATCCGATTTTCCCGCCCTTTTCGCGGTGGTAAACGTTTTCGAAAGTGAGGCTTTTCTGTAATTAGCGAGTAAAATCAGAGGATTATGATAAAAAATTCATGAGAGTGAAATAGCTTCCTTTCTCGATTTCAAGTTGACGTAATTATGATTCTTGGAACGTTCAGGTTTTAACTTCATTTTGTATCAGACAGACGATGGAGGAAACAGATTTTCTGCCATAGACTTTAGGTGAGTTATCATATGTCTCAACCAGCGTTTATTGATCAAAATGATGTTTAAAAATAGTCATCGATCTTTTCACGACTGGTTCTTCTTGTCTTGTGGTCTTGATTGTTGTCAGCCCTAAACCAGAACGATTGTCCTCTTAGTATCAGCCTCGGATGAAACACTCAAAGTAAGAAATAGCAAATAATAGAAAATAACGTATGTGATATTTGTAACTCCCTAAGTGTATATTCCTTCCTCTTCAACAAAATGATTCCTAGCATTAGGTTTGTGTTTACTTTGAGCTACGTAAATGGTTGCAAAATAAATTATACCCGAAAATATATTTAGACAACCAAAAGGATCGGTAGAGAGCAAGCTTAATTTAGATTCGCTTTCACTTTGCTCTGTTCATAGAGATGTAGGTATGTATCATCACGTCATTAGTCTGGTTCACGAAGACGAAACGAAATAACCAACAACAATTTCATAATATCATTTTGACGTTCGGTCGTTCTTTCAAGACATCGGAAGTCAATAAGTACTAGTCCACGTAAATAACTTGCAGCTAGATTTTATAAGGTATACAACTGTTGTTATATCATTGCACGGGTTATGGCCTTGACTTTTTCTAGGTTATCAACCGGGTCAAGTATTCATTTGTGCAAAATAAGTGTTTGTTTGTTTCTTTGCTTAGGTGCATGTGTAGAGCAATAGGGAGTAACCTTCGATTTAAAAGGTCTCGAATTACTCTCGAGAGATGGAAAATTCTTATATAGAACTTTGTATCACATAGCGTGACTATATCCTTAACTGCGCTTCAATTTGTTTATATTTGCAATTTGATGAATTGACTTGATGTCACGGTATTTGACACGCAAAGAGTTGTCGTATGTTTAAATCGCAAATAGACTACAAATCCTGAAGAGTAGAGATACAAAGTTCAATAAGCCATGACAAGCTTAAAAACTTTGAAACAGTATTACTGTTCTTCAGCTTTATGGTATTTTCATAGATGAAGTGGTTAAATTATTTATATGAATACGACAAGAAAAACAGTTTTTGTAACAAATAGCTCCTGTCGTGCCGGCAAGCACGCAGTCGCACACTGTCATATATCACCTCCTTACAACGTACCCATCTATTCAACTTGTAGCACTTGAATGTGACAGTCCATCTAGCTTGAAGAATATATCAACAAGACGACAATTAACTCTCTTGAAAGCTTTTAAGAGACACAAACTTAGCTCGTTCAAGGTCCTAAATTCAAAATACAATCTCTTGAAACGCTGCCGGGGGTCGATTAACCTCAGAAACAGGCTCTTCATAACCTTACCGCTACTGGTGCTAAAGTCCTCAGGATTTTCAGTGTGTCTTACCGGACTAATCTATTCTTCTCTCTTTTCTTTTGTGCTTTGTAGGGTTTCAAGAAATTTAAAAACGAAGGATCAAGGGCAATACCTGCCAGATTCGAGGATTCGAAATGCTTCATTATATTTTGTGCCCGCTCTATCTGATGTTACTCAAGTCTTTAACTAGAGGTCAAGGTATGTGCCTTTGTAACCACTTAGTTAACACGCTCTAGGTAGTCTGACACCGTCGATACTGTCCAAACGAATTTCTGCAAACAACGCTCATTTCGGGGCTTTGAGGTGAAAAAAAAATTATTTTTTCTGATAGAAAACTTTGAAGGATATTATTTTGTTGGTCAGTTATTTACATTGTTTTCAAATCCCCGCATGAATTTTGTACGAAAATTCCTGCTGCTTTGCGAAATATCAGGCGGGCTCTCAGGTTCCCATTCGTGGCATAAATCCAACAGAAAAGACCTTTTTCTTAACATGCTACAGATCTGACTTCTATTCTGGCTTTGATGTCTAGAGTGACAAATTTTGTTGACAAATGTTTTTAGAGGTATCAAACTATTTTCCCCTTTCTTGCTGATTTATATTTAAAACTTAATTCCCAAGGAAAGAACGTAATCTATGTCATTCAAGCAATTGTTTTTCATTAAGGATAAGCTTTTGAGGGCAGGAGGTATTCAGTTTAACGATTTTATTTGCAACGCCGCAGTTTTCCAAATGTTCCTCATGGACCAAAAAGGTGAAAACGCGCAAGTCCTGGACACCGTCAAGTTGCCTACGTGTACTCATTTGGACATAAAACATGACGTCACTTTACGTGGTGGAATAAAATCCGGGAACTTTACCAAACTTGGTTACCTAAGGGACATGCAGACATGTATTGATGCGTGTTGTCAGGACCAAAAGTGTGACGTGGCTTTCATGCCGGGTCACGTGTGCTATTCAGTGAGCTGTTTTAATGAAAAACTCTGCGAAAGTATTCCTGCCGTGCCATCCACTGCAGCCAATAAGAGCGTAAGGATATCTCACGTGGTTCGAGGCGGGGGCAAAGGGGATGATTTGGAACAGTTTAAGAAAACACAAGGGATGGCAAAATACAGTATGTACGCCCTTTTGTTTCGCAAGTATTGTTAAGTGCATCATTAAAGTCCTGGAGGCGAAGCAAAATCAAATCCAAATAAAAGCACGCACGCATTCTAACGACCCTAGCGCTCGTCGGAGTGGCATGCTCAAGTAAAGTATTCTTGTTGTAGGTACAGTTTGAATCGAAACTATGCGTTGAATAAGTTATTTTTTAGAAGAGTTAATTTTCTTATAATGTGGTCATATTTGTTCGTTGAAGAACGAAGCAACCTACAGCGCGGAAACATTTGTCAGAGGTTTTGACCAATTTGTGCGAAAGGGTTCGATAAATCAGTGTTTACTACGTTGTTTTAAATTAGCCTGCTAGCCCTACTTAGTCGCTCAGTTGAATTTTAATGTTAACAAACATTGCTATGTAAACAAAACAAGAAAAAAAGAGCCATACGCACGACGTTAAACAGAATAAAGCCAGGATTTCGAATGTAAGGCCAATGTCTTTTATGCTGCTGCAGTCGTACAGCCTTAATCGTCTGTATTCATAGATCATGCATTTAGAACACGACCATGGTTAATATTTCGTACTTTTCTTTTGATATAACAGCCCACAACTTAAAAGACATGTGCATACCTAGCAGAATTATGGCCAAACACACCTTAAAGGGAGGAAGGACAGCTGGAGAAGTAAAAGAACTTGGAATTGTTGAAAGTGCCGAGGACTGTATCGATAAATGTTGTGCAGAAAAAAATTGCGAAGTTGCTTTCCTGGTGAATGACACATGTCACTCTGTAGAGTGTTATGGCGATGAACTTTGTCAGAGTGTCCCCATGGAAGATGAACATATCTCTCCAACTATTATCTACATGAACACGAGAAATGGCAAGAGATCTAAGGATAAAGGTATTTTTTTAAAAATAAAATCGTTTAACTGAGTTATATCCTAAGATTGTTGGAGGAGAAATTTTGGACAAACCTTTTTCGATTATTGAAGCTTTACCTCAGTTTCTTTGAGTCTCATTTGTTTCGTTTCTCAGGCACTTGTGATTCTCCGTGCGTATCGGGAGTTTGTACAGCTAAAGACAAGTGCATCTGTGACCGAGGATTTGATGGAACAAACTGCAATGATACTGCTATCACAGGTGAACTGATAGTATAAGTAAAGTAATGGCCAAAAGAAAAACGAGCGAGAAAAAAGATGCGACGTCCTTTCCCCTTGGTGCTTCAGGTACCAAGGATGCCAATTATACTCTTACAGAAATAGCTCCTAGAGTTCCAGAGTACCCGATACCTCATTAATTGTCGGGAAAACTTGACAGAACGTACACATGGCACTTTACAAAAGCCAAGGAACCCCTTAACTAAATAACGAATTGACAAAGAGATAAAACAACAGACACAGTCAAAAAAGACAAGAGCAAAGACCCAGTTTTTAACAAGCTCGGCATAAGAGTTTTAAAAGTAAATTAGGCGCTTAGGATGGCAGCTCTGTGCTTGGTTTCCCATGCGTTTGTTAGACGACTCGCAAAGTGCTTGACTTAACAAGTCAACTACCGTATAAATAAAGGGGGTAAGTTTCAAAAGAAAAGGTGCTGCGTTGGTGGGATAGTATAACAAGGTAATTTGGTATCATCAACGTCAGCTTGGAAAGTCTTAACAGTGGCCAATTTATGTTATCAACTTAGTTGATAGTACTAATACCAAATTACCAACTATCATATAGTCTTTGTTTTGATGTGAACTTCCTTTAACGTGACCCTTTTATGAATGGCTAATATGCAGACCTCAAAATTTTATATCAGGTTTCTGTGGTTTACCCGGCTGTGGAGAATATGGTAAATGTTCCTTTAACGACACATGCGTCTGTGAGCCTGGATATTTTGGGCACCTCTGCGATAAAACACGTAAGTACATCATGCTTTCTTTTTTTTCCTTTTTTTTTTCTTTAAAGATGTTATCAGCGACTGGAACTTATCACAATTAATGGCCCATCACAAATTTCTCGACGGTAGTTTGTTTTGTATGAGAGTCAGGAATTTACTGGGAACGCCACAGAGAACAAAGATGAACAGTCGAAATCCAGAAATTTCATCACACCAGTGGTTCCAAGACAAGCAAAAGGTCACATCAGGTTTAAAATTCCAAAGCATCTAGGTGATAATACATTCCTAACCTATATTTTACAGTTACATGTGACCCACCATGTCAAAATGGAAGATGCCTTGATAATTCAACCAATTCAACGAAATGTTATTGTGAGATTGGATGGGAAGGGCGCTTTTGCAACAAAACGAATGGAGGTGAGCAAAAGACAACTCAAGTCCAACTGAATGCTCCCGGTCCTGTTTTGATCGTGGGCCCTAAATAGGGAACAGCATAGTTGTTAAGTTTCTCACTTTTTTCCTTTGTTAAACTGAGATAATTGTCCTGCATATGTGAAGAATCTGGCAACAAGTATAGGCTGTAACGATTCATTCATCTAAGTAACTAAAAAGACTATGCAACATCAAAGTAATAGCTGTGTGATAATTTTCTCTTTGGCATTCTTAGATAGGAAAATTTATTCAACTTCAGGAGGAGAAGTATTGTTTACAAAAATGGACCAAGAGGCAGAAATGGATATCAAGGTATTATGTCTCTCCATCGATTTTTCATCTTCATCTTGGAAAAATCTTTATCACACGTCCATGTAGTTGAAATTCGTTGCTTCCGCTATGTTTCTTTATATATCCATTCTATTTAAAACAAATGTTACCACTCCTGCGAGTTTTCATTACACCTATTCATGTCTAGTGAAATCATTTTAATAATTGTTATGATGCTGCTAAACGAAGTTAGAATGCATTAAGTTGGCTTCTCAGCTTTACGACACGTTCCTAAAAGCCACTTGATTTTGATGTTGTTTTAGATTCACCAGATTCCTTCCAAAGGTGCTGAATCCATCTCGGCCCTCGCTGTTGCCATTGGTTGCGGAGTGGCAGCAGCAATTGTTGGAACAGCCACAGTGGCCTTTATCGCACGCAAAATATTGGGTAAAAAATCCACAAATTATGAACTTCTTAGATCGCCTATCAGACACAAGACGTAACGGGAATCTTAGGCCTTTTTAGAGGTGTCTTATGTAAACATCAATATATCGTTAAGTTCAGAAATCATTGACAAAAGCGAAGGATTCACCACAACAGAAAACAAAATATGTGGCACTCCAAGCTGTGAGCTGTAGTTCAATTCAATCTAATATGCTGATTCAAAGGAGAGCTCTAAGAGTACGTTTTTCACTCCTGTTTAGTGAATTATTATTTAGCTTCAAAAGTAAAACATTTAGAAAGAACAGCCAAAATTATCAGTTTTGTCCATACATCAACTATGGTCCATTTTATGCCTTATAAGAAATCAATTTAGGCTCTTTTATCACCAGAAGGATTCCACTTCGCTACTTTTTTTGAAAGATACAGTGAACGAAAAGCATAAAATATGTACATGTCAGAGACCTGTATTTTCGCAGACAGGAATTATCTTGAACGTGCCCATGACTGACGTTTGTGGTACAGTTTCAATATGATGCACCTCTAAAGTTATCATTACATTAGTGTCTGACAAAGGTGGGAAGTCGCCTAATTCCAAAGTCAACATGTGTTTTACAACCTTCGTTTTTCTAAATGGAGCACAATTATAACTTTTTGATAAGACACACTATAATACTGATAAGTGTAATTATTAGAGCTTCTAGATAAGCAGACTTGGCTCAGAGAAGATTTTATCCCCCAGTTATTTTGAATAAATGCTTTCTTATGATGATTACAAATTTTAGAGGAATCTATTTAGACTTCTTTCTTATTTATTTCTGACACAAAAATAAACTAGTGTAACTGTCGTAGAAAACCTTTATCTTGAATAATTTTTCTCATTTTTCAAAACCAAAACTAAAACTTTTTGCGGGATACTGTGATGGTTGTCATGGAAACGGCTGACTCAAGGATTGGCATGTCTAGGTAATAAGGACATTTCAGAAGAGGTATTCAGTAAAATGATTAAAAATGTCTTAAATTCGGCCTTAATCTTGTGGAAGGTTCAGTTGGTTTACATCGATTGTACCTTTGAACAAAGAATATTCTAATGAAAACAAAAAACATCCATGATATTCAGTTACACTGGTTTATCTTGATAGATACGGTTAACCATTCAACTATTATGATCGCAGCAATAAAGAATAAGAGATTAGAAAAACATTTAAATTCATTCAAGAAACTATGTAGATATTTGATAAAACTCAGCGAGAAAAGTAGGATAAAATTCCACTTGGAGTATTACTGTGTAAATAAAGAGGAATATCTGTAAGTTGTACAAAATATTTATTAAATAAAAGAGAAATTAACCAAAACTCTGCCTTCCTTTAAGGTTTGAAATTTTAGTTGATAGCCTATAGTTTCCATGACAACCAAAAACCCTCAGAAAACTGAAATTCAAGCAGGCAGTTCACGTAGGTAACTACGACTTTTCGCAAAATATGCATGGCCTCGTCTCTACAGTTGCCTGGCTTCAACTATTGAAGCTATCAGTTTTCGAGGACGAAAACTTGGGAAATGGCCTGAATCATAACTTTATTTCTTACCAACCGAGCACGATGGCCGTACTGAGTAAGCTTGAGTAGCCCGAGGTTGTGGTAGTGCGAACCGAGCGTGCTAATGTCCGTACAAAAACGATAGAGGGCCAATGTTCCCCAGTACTGCTCAAGAAAGAGAGTCTAGTAAACAGTGTATTATAGGTCACTCGGACCAAATTTGTTTATTTTTAAATTTGTCGGCTTTCGCTGGCGAACACGAATACACGGCTTATGATCGTTTTCGTGTAAATGGTCCGCATTGAAAAATCTCGATCAAGTAAGAACCAAAAGGAGCGCTCAGATTTACCCCAAGACTACCTGACCATATATTAATAATACAAATATAGCATAGAGTTCACAATACTGATCACTGCTCCTTTCTCTCCCTGGTGCAAAATGGAGCTTCAAATCTAACCACATTTTCAAATCATAATAAGGAAGCCAGTGTTCGATAAAAAGTGCTGGATCATGAGTCATCATTTTCGTAAAGAAAATTGAACTTAAACAATCTGTATTTCTTTTTTTTTTTAATTTTCATAAATTTATCAAATGTAGACTTAAGCATGCAAATCTAACCGTAGTCGAGGATTGTGCGCGATGAATGTGCGACCAATGCATGATTATCTGGCGACTATTAGATGTTTCTCAACATGTGTACTTTTGGTTGTGCAGAGGACCCGGATGGATGGAGGTCGATACGATAACAGACACAAGATAAAGAGTTTCTTCTTCTTGAAGGTGGGAGCCTGGAATTCAGAAACGCTTTCAGTTTGGGGCAACCAAAGTTAAGAGGAAGATGCCCACTCAATTAACATTTCTGATACCTTAGTTTTATCAAAATTGTCTGCGATAAGTTTTTTTCTGGCTTTCTCTGCATCAAAAGTGACTGGTGAAGTGTATTTACACTTTACTGTAAAATCTTTTTCATCGAAAAAAAATTAAAAAGCCAAATGTGAATTACCCAGAAGTTTAAACATGAAATTAGATGTTACATATGAAGGCGTTATATGTATACACATGCAAAGCACGCACGAATTTTTCATGAATTGCTCCACCAGATGAGAGAAGCATCCACTCTTTTGAAATAAGATCTGAGAGGAGACAAAAGTAAATTTTTTGCCTTGAGTCAGCAAACTAGAATCAGGCGTTTTCGTGGTTGCTATTTTTTAATTTATATAATTTTTGGAAATTTAACAATATATATCAAAATGTTAGATTATAATTTTCGAACACATTTATTTTGCTGTGACTTACAGAATTCACAAAAAATAGAATAAAATAGCTTAGATGAGAGATGGTAGAATTGTAAAAGTTAGCCAGAAGTTTATAAATCGTTTTTTTTTTATTTAATTCGGGCCATCCTCTTACCCATGAAGAATTAACTTTTTTATCGTTGTATACTTTCGGACTCCGTTGAATTCCCAACGTTTGGATACGAATCTGCCTTAATTTAAAGGCCTTTTCTATTTTGATGTGCGAGCGTAAATTGTAAATAAAACTAATAGTATATGAATAAATAATGACATTATTTTATCAAATCATGCTATTACTTTGTAATTTTTGAGTAGGGCAAGCGATGATATACTTTGTTTTTGACAGCGATAAAACAAACCAAGAACTAGTTTGAATCGATAAAGGGCATTTCAAATGAGAATTGTGAGATCAAAACCTAAGTAATCAAGGTGGTATGTTTCACCGATACTCGGTTCAGAAAAAGGTTACAGTTTTTCCTCATGGTGACAAGCAATCTCAATTAAGTGTCATCGTTGTCTCCCGATTAAAATAACTTCTGCGCAACGTGGATCCACGTCATCCAAATTTAAAGGAACTGCCTCGCGAGATGAACGATAATTCTTTACTGGCGGCCTAATTTTAATACAGTTTAGAAGACTGTAAATTCAGTCTCAGCCTTTATAAAACTAATTACTATGATTGTAATTTGCGATATAGTGACTTACGATGGTACATTTACCGGCCGGATAGACTTATTGGTTTAAAATTTTTTTTCTCAAATATTGATGTATCACTTGCTTTAGATAAAATATTGTAAACTGGTCACTCTCCTCATTACAAAATTGCCTTAGCCTGTCAAATGATGAAGACTTCTACAAGAAACGTTCATGAAGCCAGTTTAGTCATTGCACTTTCAGTGAAAGGCATTAGCATTTAGCGTTGAGCGAAGTGTAGCGAAATAGAACACTTAAATATTATCTCTAGAGATGTATCTTCCGACACGTTTCAACGATGCAAAATGACGCACTCGACCTTTAAAGTTGATTAAATTGTACCAAATAGAAACGGTACAAACTATAATGACTCGAGTGTAGTAGCAAAGCGCATTCTCAGTTCACACCCGAGAGTTTAGTGTCTGTTAAGTTCATTCACACTCTTTGATCAAAACAATAATAATCTTGTTGATTCAAAAATAGGTAAATAGTTTCGTTCAAGATCGAATGTTGTTTAAGAAACAATAAATAGGCAACACTCCCCACATATTTGCGAATATTTACAACAAGAAGTGTTATACGAAATGCCTTGAATGTAAATACATCCTGGTTACCTTTTAATACATAACTTTTCCGTGCAATGTTTCCCTTGTAAGAGTGATAAAATGCTGATTGAAATACGGCATCTGGAAAAACATTTTAATGTAAATCTGGTTTACAAAAGTCAATTTCCTCCTTTACTTCAAAATAAAGTAAAAAATCTATATAAAAGTGATATTGTTTACTTTGTCAATTGAAAATAAACTTGTAGTATTTCAGTGCACAATGAGTGCAGGAGTTAATAGCTTGAAAACTTCCCACTGAAAACACCTTCCTAGGGAAAAACGCCAGGAAAGCAAAATAGAAGAAAACCTGTCGTTTCTTAAATATCATCTAAGTGCTATTGCCAGACTATTGTGTGAGTAAGTGTATTTGAATTTTTTATCAACCAAGATATAAATTATGTAATTGCTTTTTCAAAACATTCGGATGCCATCGTCGAACAAGGGGGTAAAAAAATCAAACGGAAATTCTTTAAATACGAGCCGCAGGCTATATTAACGGTTAAAAATCGAACGAGCATCACAGACGTGGAATTTTAGATAAGTACCGATTTAATGGTTTCCTGTTGCATTACAGGAATCAGCCAATTGAGATCACATATTGTAATTGCAATTGATTGTGGAATTCTCATCGGGTCTATTTAAAGGCAAAGGTCCAAACACAACAAGATCCATTTGGTTAAGAATTGAAAAGCCTTTTCCACGATGACTAATTGATGTCCCACAGGGTGTGCTCATGGCGGATTAATCGAAATGCAAATAGTGCTGGCCGTTTCTATGTTTTTTTTATTAAATTTGAGAAAGGGGAGTTGCAGTTGGCGCTTCGCGGCAGAACTTAACGGAGCTTCTCTCTTGGGCGTGACAAGAAATACTCAATTTCTACTAAAAACATAGGGAGAAACATAAATTCATAATTCCGCTTCTGAAGAAAACTGGATACAAAAATGAATGCGATAAACGCATCTTTAAGAAATTCCTCTTTGGAGAACATGACCAATGCTCAAATTGTCTGCCCAGTTACTGGTGATGGAACGGTGTCAAAAGCCGTGCTGACAACAGCTTATTGCATTATGTTAATCCTCTCTTTGGTGGGAAATACTCTTATCATTCTGATCGTCTACCGGAACCCTCGCATGTGGACAGCCTCCAATTTCCTTATTGTTAACATGGCTGCATCAGACCTTCTTCTTCCCTTCTTTGCCGTTCCAAGAATGATCGTGGAGGTGCTGGTGGGCAGAGAACGATGGCTTATTGACGGCACAGCCGGACTGATCCTATGTAAACTCGCGTATTTCTTCCAAGATGTGTCCAATGCTGTCTCTGTTCAAAGCCTCATCGCTATAACAGCAGACAGATTTTACGCGGTGATGTTCCCTTTGAAAGCAAACGCAATGAAGTCTTATATCAGGTTTGTGATTCCGGCTATCTGGCTCACAGCATTTGGTCTTCATGCGCCATATCTTCAAGTCTTCAAATTGTGCCTGGTAGAAGACAAGCTATACTGCTGTCAAAGGTGGCCAAAGACTACATCACTCCACAGCAAATTTATCTATTTTTATTTAATTCTCTTGTTGGTGTTTGGTGTTCCGTTAATAACGATCATAATTTTGTATGTATTTATTGTTTATAAGTTGTTCCGCCGAAAATTTCCCCTCGGTGCCGGCAATTCCATGACCCAAACTCAGCGAAACCGCCGCGCGAAGCAAAACAAAAACATTTTAAAACTGTCAGTTACTATTGTCGTCATCTTTTTCTTATGTTTTTCTCCCTTACTTGTTCTGGCTATTCTCAGAACTACCGGCAGTATAAGTCAATGCAATATCGAAGTATTCCGAATAGTTGCCAAGTTGTTCGCGCAGTCAAACTGTGCAGTGAATTCCTTTGTTTATTACGTTTTTAATACACAATTTCGTCGGGGATTTATTTCCTATTTAAAGGCAATTGTTTGCTGTCTTGATGAAAGCGATGATGGCACGAACACTACAGTTGGCTACTCTACCACGGGTCAAAAGATTTCCCTTCTGTCACAAAAACGAACCAAACAGAATCTTTCTATCACGGAAACAATCTCAGAGTAGTAAACTTTAACGGGAGAAACAGTAATGTTTGATGTCTAAACTTCATAAGAGTTTCTTTTTTATGCCCTTCAGTGCACTTAAAAGGCTTCCTACAGCAATCATCATATCCTCATCCTAAAAATTGATAAGATTAGATTTTTTGATGCATTTTTATGGTAGACTTTAAGGTGATATTTTACTTTAGAGAAGCACATTTGCAGACTCTGAAATTCGGCTTACATTGCAAATTGTTAGATTTATTTTTTCATCTTTTGATTGTTATTGTACAAATAATTATGTTACCGAAATGTGTTCTCAGAGAAATTACTTCTGACCTACGGGTTCTACCGCTGTGATAAACAAGAAAATTATTTTGCTTAATTCAAATAATGGTTTGACATGCAATCAGTTTAAATTATTAAATTTATTTTATTCTCCTCGGGTGGTAATATCAATTTAAAAAAGAGGGGAGTTGAATTGAATTTACTCAATTCTGAATTCAGCTTTGTATGAACGAGCAATAAATGTGCAAATATCGAGAAAAGTTTCTTAGCTGTTAGATTGTGTAATTGTTACATTTTGCTGTTCCGAACCACATAATCAAAAACAATAATAGTATAGAAAAACTTTATTGATTATTGACTGAGCTTGAACTTATTAATAAAGCTGTTCAAATTACGGTCGCTAAACGTATTTAAAAAGTAAAGGAATTAAAAGTTACTTCTAAAAATTTACCTCTGGCTGTGAGATATTCATTAACTGTCCTTCCTCAAGCACGCAAATATCACATATAAAAAGAACATTTTCATTCCATTTGAAGGAAGATGCTCCAGACCTTCTGAATCTGAATCTAGCCTTTTTGATAACAAGGGTCTGGAGTTTCAAAGATTCCCGTGAGTGCAGCTTTGTGTAATTGGTTTTTTGAATAAACGAAATAATCAGAGAAGGTTGTATATCTAATAAAATCTTCTTCAGGGGAGCACCTCAGATTTACTTTCATTATTAAGAGAAAGAATATTCATAGCAAGCAAGACAATGATTTAAGAGACAAAAACTGCTTATATAGCTGAGGGCGTCATGATTGAAAAAAAGAAAATTTAAAAGTCGCTTAGGTTACATGCGAGATCACTTGTAGAAGCCATAATTGCTTAAAGATCCTTAAAAGCATCAAACAAGATGAACGTCTGACACCATTCGCTTTTTGTAATAAATCAAAGGACTGCGCCTCTTTCGTCACTTTGCTTACTTGGGAAAACAAGTAAAGGGTAACTGACGGCTAACAGATCACTTTTTAGGAATACCGTCTGAATCCCTCGGGTAACACATTGAAACAGATACAAGATGTTTCGTATGCCTCACTGTGCCTTTTTTTGCCGGGAAAACTGTCGTAAATGCTGCTTCGCGAGTCATCCGCCGTAAACGCTTCGATTTTGATCATGTGACCTTACACGTCACACGTGTGTACATTAAGCAAAGTAAATATGGCGGATAGTACTTCGAGTGAAAGCAGTACTATTTCGGGGTCTGATTATTGGGATTTTGAGGTTTCGATGCATGGAAGGTGAACATAATGAAAGGGTTTATGAAATCAGGCCCTGGCAATTTGAAACGTAACCTAAAATAGAGCGCGAGAGTCAGAAGAGGATCAAGAGCGCGTGCGCCGCGGCCGCCTCAATCAAGAAAGCGAGAATGATGAGTGCATTTACGATTGTAAATAAAGTATCTGAAAATCGGTTGCTTATTAAATGTAGGAGCGATCAAGTAAAGAAAACCAAATGTGCAGACTCTTGAATACCATGGGAATAAAGTGTTTTTATGTTACACGCACCACCTTCCGAAGCTAAGGTTTCACTGACTGTTTGGATAATCCTCTCAGGTGACTGTTACAGGAACACGTGCAAGGAGTTTCCTTTTGGCACATGGAATCGCTATCTTCATTGGAATCTCCATAACATGCTTGTGCTATCTGAAAGTGTTCCTGGTCGTGCGACAGCACCTTTCTCAAATCAATATCCAGCTACAAGCCACTGGGAATGCAACATACGATGCAGCTCGCTTGAAAAAGAAATTTTTTCAAAGTTCTCTTTATTGTAGCAGCTTTTGTACTTTGCTATTTGCCTTTCAGCCTTTCAATAAGAACATCTAACAACAAGAGAGGCCGCGCCATGACGTTAATAATTTTTATTGGGAGGGAGCTCCTGCATTCATTCTGTGATCTACTTTTGGAGGATAAAAGAACTAAAGCGGGCCGCCAAAGGACAAATTTTTCGTGTATGTAAATGTTTCAGTAGTGATAAACGACGAAGTGATTTGACTGCCGTTGACAGAGTTCTAAAACAGTGGTTTACACAAACAATCATTTTTTGCAATCAACAGCATTTCTCTCATGCGCAGATAAAGAAATGTAAAAACCAACGGCATAATTGTATTTTTGCTCACTCTCACGAATATAATACTAAGTTTATGATGTGAACACTTTTAAATAACAAGAATTTTAAATCATGATCGCATTTAAAATATCATAGTTTGCCAATGTCACTGTCGGTTTTCAATTTAAATTTTAATCATCCGACTCGTGGCGTCAGCTTCATTTTTAGAGGAAGTTTTAATTTCCAGCTAATTAATTATTGAAGCTTTTTCTGACTTTTATACCATATTTAATTATTTTTCTTTAAGAAAAAAATTGGCGAAATCATGCATTTCGCTTCTTATAAGCAGAGACGATGTCAAACACATCTCCACTCTCAAGGTAATTCTTACCTGTGACACTTGTGCACTAAGGTTTCTTAAGAAAGTGTTTGAATTTAAAAAAAAATGAAGGAACAAAAAGAATGGGAAAAGCAGTTCTCCGATGAAAGTTTTCTTTTGTATTGTGACAAATAAAGAACGGAGGAAACAGAAGAAAAAAAACACCTCCTGATTTTCTCTTTGGTGGTCCAGGCGTCCATCACTTACAAAGTCTTTTTCATTTCATTACTCTCACAATAAGCTCTTGCTCCAGGCTTCATACATTTTTGGCGATTGTCATCAATGGTTATTACAAATGTTTCCAAAAAAACTACTAAATATTTATGGCATAGCCATTTAAGGTAAGAGTTGATCACTGCGTTCATGGATCGTCAGGTCTTGGCTCGTCATCGTCATCATCACCATCTGTCTTTTTCCTGAACAGTTTTTTCGTTACCAACGCAATGGACGCTGTACCCACCATTGCGCATGCAATCCCAATACCTATAGCGACAGCGAGGCCAGAGGACTGGGTGCTATTGTCCAATGCAGACTGAAATGAATATAAAACTGAATTGTATTCAACTTGCGATAAAGGTAAAGCAGAAATGACCCCGAAGAGCATTAAAAAAAATACTTACGCCAGTGAAAAGCGTTTTCTCGACCTCTTGGCTCTCTGGGATTGCTATAGCTCCACCTTAAAAGAAGAAGAGAAGTCGAGAGCTGCAAAAGTTCTAAAAATGAGTAGCGCGCAATGCCGAGGTAAAAGCTAAGCTCTTACCAATAAGCATTTTAAGGCCATTTTATAAATAATTACAGATTAGAACCCAATTACCAAAATAAATTTCGGAGAGGCCGGGGTGAAGAGAATTACTAAGTTTGCAGACCCTCATGGAAGAAGGGATAGCTAATCTATTGAATGAGTAAAAGGTGTTTATTATTTGGATTTTATTATCCAACTGCACAAAGTAGAGTTCAAATAACGCGCGCATAGAGTACAAATAGTACGACGTTCAGTGTACGGTTATTTGGATAGTTGATTATTTTGTACTGTAAGAAGACCAGTTTGACCGGTCAGCTGCGCGCGCTACGCTTCTCCTTCTGCTTTGCCTTTCCTGCCTTATGAGAAATTAGCAGAAAGACCTAGCAGAAAAAAAAGTTGGATAATAAATAACTTATTGGACGTTTTGGTGTGTAGTATCGCTGAGTATTTTTACTTGTAGTTTGTATTTTGACTCGCACTACGGGCTCGTCAAAATACGGCACAATTCGCGAAAATACTTAGTGATACTACACACCAAAACAACTAATAAGATATATGTATTATGTTTATCATCCGTGGTGTGCTTTCTTTAACATGCAGATCTGAAATTATTTCGAGCGTGTGAAATTAAGTAAATGGGGAGACACAAAACGTTTTCCTGACCAGCAATTGGTAATAGAAAAAATTGGTCGAAATTTCTTTCCTTGAAGAATTCTTCCGATGAACTTCAGGTAACCGATCGATCGGATTAGAAGGAAGTCAACTCTGCTATATTCTTATCGACCGGGTTTCAGAAACAGAAATCTGATTCCTACCACTGTAACCACGAATGTATGTATCTAACGTAATTTATTTATAAAGGTGGACACAGGCAGATAGGATCAATATCAGTATCTGGGCAACTGCCCACCTACCCCTCCCCTAACTCAATATTAACCTCAACTTGTTGTCAATTGACTGTTGTTGAGTTAGGGGAGGGGTAGGTGAGCAGTTGCCCAGATACTGATATTGATCTGGCAGATATGCTCACCTGGAGTATAATAGCAATATGTTAGTTTCATCTGTGATCCATGCTTGTCCACTTGGAATGGATTTTTACCCTCGATGCTTACTTCATATCTGCCAACGTTCTTATCGAAATTAACACTTTCCTCTTTTAGTGTTGCACCTTTGACTTGCTGACAATTTTCGCCACTTTGGGAGTACAAGTAGAAAGGCTTGTCGAGGGGAAGCGAAATAGAACTGTTAATTTCACCTGTAGGAGGGAGAGTTACAAAGGCTCGAAATTAAAAGATCTAACGAGGTATGTGAGGACTTACAATGTTTACTACAAGGCTGAAACATCAAGGGATCGTAACTTGAGCCGGATCCACCAAAACTTTGTTACAATTGATAGAGAATAGCGAGAGTCAACCTTAGTCTCCTGCATGGTCTTTCCTACGCTACAATCAGCGACAAAACGGTCGACACATCACCACTGAGATCGCAATATTTGGGAATAGCATACCAGTTTCATCCCTAAAACTTTTTGTTTCATCTATTTACTCGTGTACGATGTGGCATTTTGTTTTCTGTGATTGTGCAACCATAGAATGGGGGAAGGGACCCACTAGTATTGTAGCAAACTGCAGTTCACCACAAACTTCAATCTAACTGGGAACGTGGGTACGTGGATGTTAGTTGTCAAAAAAGTTTGTCGTGGACTGAAACCCTTCTTGAGTTAGTGTTGAAACGTGTTACTAAAATGTTTTGGTGTAAATTTAGATGATAGCCGAATGGAAAGTCTACGCGTAAAGAAAGTTCGCGAAATAATGTTGCTTATTTTAAACTATATCCACCTTCACGTTTGGTTAAGATTTTAATTTTAAAAGGGGTAGAATAACTTTCACCTCTGGTACTACAACAGTAGTTAACTGTTCTTTCTTTTAACTTTTTCCCATTGACAGTTGCGTCTTGGAAGCTGGAAGATTTTGGACGCCAAAGGACGGAGCTGTAAATTTAAATAAAAACACGCCGAACAAAAATAAATTAATTAAATTGATAAAAAACAATTATGAATTACCATCCAATTAACCAGCAAAAATCTGCAATTGCTTTCATTTGGAAGCCTGAGAGGAACTCTCTTTACAAAATTGTAGCTTTTAAAATATATCTAGTGCCCCAATGATATCAAAGACGACATAATGGTTATTTACCCATCCGCGAATCCAACTGGACAAGAATCGTGTTTTAAAATACAGTATCTTCCGGCTGGCCAATCCTGTGTCTTGTCAGTACTTGTCTTGATACAAAAGTCTTGTTCAATACCTTTAGCAAAGTAATAAAAATACTAAAAAAAAGTATGATCCAAGCTTGCGGAATAGTTCTTGACAGTATGCAACGTATCTTCTGGGTGGGAATTTCTCCATCGTTAGATTTTCAAGGAAAACTGCATTCGAGGCCGGAAGCAGCATCAAATAATTTTTAATGCGAACTTGTGCCATCCGTAACGTGACCATCTTATTACACACTCCTTTCATCATTTCATCGATCTTATCATCGATTCTCGATTAGAAAGAGAGTCTAAAGGTGTGTCATCGCCACGAATGCCAATTGGTCTCCCGAGGGAAAGATAACTAAAGTTCACGATTTTGATCTTAAATATACAAAAATAAGGAGTTTTACTTTTTTACCTTCCCCCATGTAAACTGGAGGGGTTTCAATTAGGACCAGTTACCGGCAGGTTACTGTCGCTTACAAATCCCCTTACCGCCGTCTTACTGCGCTATTTCTAAGGCTTTGCACGGCATCTATCGTTTTCACATCTTCCTTTTCCATGATCGGCAGCTACTGCGTGTTTTTGTCTTACCAGCTTGTGGCTGCAAGAACCGATCTAACACGTTGAGCAGTGCCAGTGAGAAATTAATTTAACCTACGCATACCTTCCTTAGTAATCCAGCCAGCCAAGTGTAGGTTATTATAGGCTTCTCGGTCGACCAGGTTACCAGTTTTATCATCGTGAAATCTTCGACCTTCGAACCAATTATTCGGGCATCCCGCTTTGGGCATAGGAAGGCCATATTTACCGGTTGGCCATGAAACTTTTCCTAAAAACAATACAAAAAGGCTATAAGGTAATAGAATAAAAAAAAGGGAAGGTGACTCAGGAGCAGAAAATACAAGGCTGTATATTTTTGCGTTATGGTGTTTGCACGCAACATCAAATTTAAAACTCGGAATTGTATTCTTAGTTAGCCGTATATAGTCTTATCTTCAATGTATATAAATTGAGTCTCCCATGATATATAGCATACATGTATGGCAGCCATGATTTCTCAGCTTTAAAATGCAAACCTACCTTTGCTTGACTGTTTCGAGCAAAGGCGACTACTTATCGTCATCTGAGAAAAATAATCTTTCTTATAGACTGGCCAAAATCTTTGAGCTACTGCAAACGATTCATCATTTTCCTTATTAAACTTTCGTCTCTTTTCTTTTTCCAGCGGTAAGTGGAGACTTGGTTATGCTCCAAAAATAATACTTGGAACATATGATTCGCTTTGAATCTTTTTTTTTTTTTAAGGAAAGCTCAAGCGGGATTTCATCAACGCTATTAGCTTAAAATAGTTTACCTTTGGTCGAGTGACACCAGAAAACCACCAGTGATAAAGTTAACCAAAACATTAGGTAGCTTGATATGTCTCTGTCTTGAGAGTCCAGTCAACACTATGCTGTTTAATGCGTCATTTTCTGTTTAACATCAATGTAACAACATCAATGAAACAAAATATTCGGTTCTAGCCTGGTGAAAATTATTACTGTAAAAGATGCTCTCGAAGCTATTTCCTCACCAACATTACGAAATAATTTCCAGTTGCACAGTCATTTCAGCTTTTACGCCAGTTTCAGTCAACCACTTGAGGTTTAAAAGTAGAATTGGAGGCACGAAACTTTGCACAAAAAAACGGCCTCGTTCAGCCTTTAAACAGGAAGGATTCAGAGATTCCAGACTAGAAACACCTTTCTTTTCTTATGACCGCATTTAACCGTGAATTGTACCTGTCGATTAGGTAATGTCTTCTTATACATAAATCTCGCGCGAAAATTTAAGCCGTTGCTTTGTTCTTCCTTATAGCCCCTTTGTTCCTCCAATGTTTTTATGAATCTTTTTTCGAATATTCATTTGGTGCAATTTTTAACATTATTCGAAGTATCTTCAAAATTGAAAGTATGACAAAAATTCTTCCCTAATCTTGCAAGTTTTGCCCGACAAACTTGGTATCTTGTTTGAATGTCTCATGAGTCTGAATACGATGTTTCATGAAACCTTCAGACGAAACACGATCGCTTTGAAAATATAGAGAACAACTGTAACACAATAGGAAAAAAATGCTAAAATAAATTGGCTGAAATTTTAATCCGTCACAGTTATGCTCATAAAACAAAACGTCAGCCATCATAAAATTGTTTCCCCGGGCTTACCTTGCGGGCGCCTTTTAATCCTTTGTTCTTAGAAATACTCCCTCATATTTCTGTAAGAACGAGAGAGGGAATTTGTTCTGTGTTTACAGTTTTCTGCCGTCTAGTGTATTACCATGAAAAATGAACCTAATTCCAAAAGGATTTCTTGCAAAAAGTCATGGAACCGTTAAGTTGCTCTGCCTACGCAGTTTTCGGATTTGGTCAAACCTGTTGTCAATTGTTCGTTGCTCGTGGCGCGAGATGACAAAACAAATAAATGCGATACGGTTCAACAAGCAAATGAAACGGTTGATAAGACGAGCGCAGAGATGGCAGAGAGACTTATTTAAGAATAAGTGGTTATAAACCATATAGGTAATATTTATGTATCTAAAATGGAAAGCGTTTCTTTATGTACGTGAAATTAACTGCTCTTCAAGGCGGTAATCAGAGACGTAGCGACGCAATAATTAACAAGCGCGGTAGACCTCTCACTGGGCAATTTTGTCATGTTCTCGGGCAAAACGGTTTACCCTCAAAGTACCCTTTTCCACCCAGAATTGTAAATTAATACTACATCATCGCCTATCTAGGAAAGAATGCTCCGGGACGACAAAATTAACAGAAGTGTTAATTGTTACCGGAATCGTATTCAGAGTCAGATTTTGGTTCTAAAGTAGTAGAGTTGTTTTCAAATACATGTTAATATGGGGGGACCCTACCTCAGGAGTGACTTTCAACTTTGACTGACATACTCGCCCCAGTGTCAAACAGGAACTCACTGGATACTTCATGTAACATGAATGCTTGCATGGGTTTCATCACGTCGTGAGCCAAATGATTAGTGGGTTTTTTTATGTCACAACTGATTTTAATAATTTTTAATGAACTAGTTTTTATTGATTTAACTTCTTTTTCTTTTTTTGGGCGGGGACGGGGGGGGAGGGGTTACCTAACAAGCTTTCACAAGACTGCCGCTGAGGTTAACGACTACTTAATCTCGAAAACACGCAAAAAATGCTATTTGACGAGAATATAATTTGTATCCTGCTAGCATTTGTAACCCAGGAATATGCCTGCGTGGAGTACCGTTTTCTTGCTAGCCATAGGTTATTTTTAATATAACGTTCGACTATAAGGTGCAAGAGGGCATAATTGGTTCTACCCGAATCAAGCGCTTTGTTAGCCAGGAGCAAATAAATCCATAAATAGCAAGAAATAAAAACTCCCGATCAGTCCTTGATACCTTTTAGGTATATCTGAGTGTATTCACTTGTTTAAAGTCTACTTGGTACCGCGTGTTGCAATGGCGACATCTTGTCTAAACGCAAAATACCCTTCCATCCCCCCATATACATATTACTTTTCATGACAATAGGCCACCCCTCTCCACCTGTTATATTCCTTCCCTTGAAATACAAACGACACCTAAGCTATCGCTAAAACGCAACGAATATCATTTCCTGACAGATTCAGCGGAGGGGAACACACAAAACCGCCTGATTAACTCTTCATAGAATCCTTCAACTTGAAAAACGGAAGGACTTACCAGAAGGCCAGAGACATGTGACGTCACTAGAAACCTGTTTGTTGTTGCGGATGAGCGGGTTATTATCTCACTCGAGGGGTCGCGTTAATATATTGATAGAAAAAGGTTGTGAAAAGAAACATGGCAGACACTTGAAGCCAAAAAGGTATGGTAGACTAGGACGTATTTTAAGTTGGTTTCAAATACTTTTTATTGAACCCCATCGATTTTGTTTCGGGGATGTTTTAATGTTCAGTCGACTTTGTTCGAGAGAGCATCGAACGCAAGGGTGTGAGGTCAGTTTAGCTTACAATCACGTTTTTGGTTTTATGTTTGCTTTGTTTGAATTCACAAACCCCGACCGCACCGCAAGTTGTGAGTACTGCAAAATACTGATCAATCTTTTCAGACACTGAAAACATATGGATGTAAAAATATGCGAAAATCTCTGATCACAAAAAGACATTTGGATCTAATCTTAATTTTTCTTAATAAAAAAATATGTTATTGGTCGTTTAGTGATCGATCTTCGTCTCGAAATTCCATCGTTTTAGCGTTGCTCGGAGGGGTTTTTTTTCTTTCCAAATAACTGATTGAATTTCTCTTTTAGTTGGGTGGTGTTCTGATTTGAAACGCAGATCGGGCAAAATCGAAGTCAGCAAAACGTGAACGCGAAATAACTTTAAAATTACGAGAGACTAAAATCCTTCCAAGCGAGTGATTCAGGAAATCAAAACAAGGAAAAAGGCGTCTGAATGACAAAGCTACTGTTTAAGTTTTGATTTTCATTGAACCATTGGAGTCTTAGAGTTTCAAGTTGGCAGAAATTTGACAGAAGCTGTCTCCGCTTTCGTTAGAACATCTATCAAAAATCCACTCTATAGCTACTCAATAAACACGCCTAAAATTAAATTGTTTGGATAATTACGTGTTCAAGTTACGTGATGGATGAGTTTCGCATTACCGTGCTGAGAAACCAGTTGGAATCAGTCCGAACAGTAAAATGCCATTATAAAGCATCATTCTACTTATTAGTGGCTCGCCGATGCAAGGTTTGTGAAAATGGGAAGGAGTGCAGCCTTCACAGGGCACTCGTCCGGTAGAAGTGCACCAATAGGGTAAATATATTATAAACCTGTTACTTTGCAGACACTCAAAAACTTAAAAGAATCTAAATTAGAGAAAAGTTTACCGAAGCAACCATAAATAACCACATTTTACTTGAATTAGAATTAGCAAAGGTCAAACGTTTTAATCGAATATAGAAGAAAACCTGTAGGACTGCTACGTGTTTAGACTCAACGTTAACGCCCACTGCAACGCACTTAACTCTATTTTTTCATACAACGAATAAGTCCAGACGCGTTTAGAGGGAGACATGAGGTAATGTTTGGTTAGGTTTGTGTCGACAAAATATAAGTCAGGTCAGTTGGATATCTGTTGCTTTCAAGACTGCAACTCTCGACGAATTTAAACAGACAAGTTCGAATTTATATTATTAATTATTTCCTCTCCTTTTTTTTTTAGCTAAACTGCAACAGAAATGAATATCATTCCTGTGATTCCTGAAAGATGACTTTTGCTTTCAAAGTTCTTTTCCTCGCACTGTTGGAACTTTGTCTTTTCGTGGAATATGACCTAGGTAACTGACATTGTATAATAACAAAGTTTAAATTCAATGGCATGCACGATATTTAAAATGATGAAGCTAAGAGAAGTGTCTGCATCACATCACAGCCCATTCATTTATATCGAAGCATGTTTTGTCTTAGAAGACAGCCAACTGAGTTTGTTATGAAGTGAAAGGATTGACGTTGGTGAAATACCATTCACTCGACTAGAAGTGAAGGATGAAGTAAAGGTCACTTTGAATGTGAGATTCTATGATAAGCAAACTTGTGTTTAAGTTGCTGCCAAGAAAATCATTTACTCAGCTAGAGATAGATGAAGAAGTAGGTGCCACTTTCAAGGTGACAAGCAAATCAAAAGATTCCATGATAAGCAAACGAAAAAATTACCTTACAAATGTCGCTTTGCTTAGTTCTTCCCCCCGTAGTAGTATGCATTATAATTAGAAGCTATAGAGACTGGTAGCACTAAGTTATTTTCTTTCCTGGCAACGAACTGCGAAATATGAGGTCTTTGACGTTTAACATCCATGCTATGGTTTTCAGACTTAAATGACAGTGCCACTTCAAATGTTTTACTTGCAGCACCTTTGTTTTACGTAAAGCGAATTCCAGAGACAGAGATCCAAATTCTAGGCACGGTCAGCAGCGTGCGGCAAGAAAGAAGCTCATCCGTCACTAATGCGCCTGCGCTGGCAAAAAGCGTCATCGAAACTAAGGACAACCATGACAAAAATGTGGAGGAAACAAAAAGAGATGTGAGTCTTGAAGAACTGTTAACAGATGACAGTCGGAAAAGAGAAAAAAGAATTGACAAGGATAAAAAGAGCGTTGAAGGAGAGACACAAATACAAAAACCGGCAAGAGCGAATAAAAATTCAGTCAATTCTTCGCCGACATCGACTCTGGGTAAGCTAGCAGGCAATAGCCAACTTTGCTTATTGCACCGATGATAGCACTTATGATAAATGAAATCAAATTCTAATACGTAAAACTGATGCACTTTCTACCAAAGCACGCTTTTTGTGACTCGTCAAAGAGCCGTGCCTAAGCAAATCGTTGGAGTATGACTTTCCTTGAAGTAGGTGACTCGAGAACATGAGTTGCGTTGCTAACGGCAGGCGTTCAATTACAATGTTACACTCTCATTATACTTGTGACTAACTGTACAACAGTGTACTGAAGGAAGGTGATGTCATCAAGCCTGAAATTCACTGGCCATGTATTTCTAAGGGGACGACTGTGTAAAACCAAAGTAATGGAAATAAGAAGATGGAGAATTTCTCCCCGGTTGGGAAATTTTATCTCCTCGAGTCAAGTACTTTCTTTTGTGTACTGTCGATTTTTTGTGTGCTTCCGAAAGTTCTCGACCTTCATACTCTCGAGTATAAGAGGAAAACTCTTTACTCGAGGAGAAAAATCTGGACTTGAGAAAGAGATTCTCAGCTCCCGAAGACTAAATAAAAATAAAACAAAAATCTTCAGCTTTTTGTGCTCCACAAAATCACAAGACTAGCGAGAATTGGGCGGCCCCCAATCTCAAGAATTTTTAAAATCACCAAGCTTAAGAAACTTAAGCTAGGCCAGGGCGGGTGTCGTTGTGAATCTTGTTCAAATTAAATTGCTGTAGCCAATAGTATAGATAGTCATTTTTATCATGAATCCTTAGTTTCTATATGTTCTTAATTTCTCAATATGTTATTGTAGATACGCGTACATTTTTTAACGAGACTTGGTTCATTTGTTTTGGCTAATTAGTGTCACGAGTTACAAAGAAAGTCTTTTGTCAGCCTTCCATGGAGACCTCTCCCAATTAGAGTCATAATACTTTTGGTAGCAGAACACCCTTATTTTGAGTACTTTTGATCTCACAGCATCATCTTACCTGTACATTCCGAGGGAAGATAGTACGCGTTCTTACCCATGGATCCTTAATTCTCAAAACATTAATTAATTAACCAAACATTTATGAAAAGCAAAGTTGAATTCTCTTTAAATAAGTCCATCAGGCAAAGAGCGATGACAGGTCGCTGTTTGTTAGTGCTACAAGGAGAAGATTAATCCAATTGCTGTACACCAAGAGGAAATAATGTCCCAGTTTATCCTCTTGTGTACTCACTTAAATTTTAAACGGTGCAGGTTTCTGATTGATCACATCGGTTTCCTTTTTTTTTCTATTCAATTAGAACTTAGATGGCCATCCGGGACTTATGGACTTCCCAAGCCGGTTGATGGGTGTCCGAAAGCAGATGGCTTTGAGTGGAAGACTGGGTACCGATTCCACGACACTGAGGATGATGGGACGGAGAATCAGCACTCTGACAGTTTTCATTTGGCGGGTGAATTCAGCGATGAAGGAATAAAACATGAATTTTGCATTAAAACGGATGATACAGGCGGAGGAAGGTATGTAAACTGAAGTACATATTAGTTTACTCTTGAATAATTAATATTCTATTCAACTCAACTCATTTGCTAACATTAGATGGAGCAGTTATATTGGAATCGAAATTCCTGAAGCTTGGATACCCACGATTAAACAACACAACAGCCGATCGATGAGGAGCTATGAGGGAACATTATCTTACAACCGGAATAATAGTGAGGATCGAAATGCACCAATAGCAGCCAACCAACGTGCCCCAAATAGCGACATGTAAACAATCGACCTCATCGCCTGATGAAGACTAGTAGTGTTGCAGTTAAAACGTCGCGATCAACATCAAAAGTGACTCTATCGTGAGACAAAGGCGAATAAAGTTCAACTCCTATCTTACACCACGATTAACAATAAACACATATTTTATTACATCTCATTTCTCCTTACAATATCACCCCTGAATCACACATTAAGGTCACGAGAACAAGGGAAATGATCACCGAATAGAGAAGCTCTTGCAGGATTGTTGACTAAATTCTAATACAGCACCTTAGGAAGCGTATAGAGAACAGTACGGAAAATATACATGCTGATGTTAGGGTGTAAAGGGCTACGTACTGTACGTCATGCTGCTTCTTGTCATGTTGACTCTTTTTCTGTTTAAAAGCTCCTAATCACCGCATTAACCTTTCTCAGATGGCCAGATGGAAAATACTGCATTTACAAAAAGGGATCCCGCTGCCCCACTGGCCTCGACGAGGGATTTGTTATATGGGATGATGAAAACAAAGACAATAAAAATTCTAAATACGGAGACTTACCCGAAGGTCTTTTCAACGAAGACTCCAAGATTTTCTTTTGCTGCAGCACAACTGGTAGTGCCAGCAAAGAGATCACTCTGCCCAACAAAGCTCCATTCTTACTATTTGCTTACGAGTCTTATCTTTGCCAGAAGGTGAGTCGTCATAAAGAAAACAATAATTTTATCAACGTTCGCGCAAACCTTTAAAACTACTAATTTAAGGAAAAAATTAATTTTCAAGTTGTTTGTGTATTCATTATTATCTTCAGGTTAAAGGTATGAGAGTGGAGACAGAGTTCGTCAAATTCGATGACGAAGACCGAGGCAATATCGATTACGAAGGTGGCGAATTTCCGTTCGGAATACACCGAGCAGACAAAGACCACATGTTTTTTCTATGTTACTACACACCGGAGGGACAAAACAGCACTTTGATGCCAGGTAAAGAAACGTTGTCTGAGTCTTCCCTCCCATCGGAATATAGATACTGGAAAAATATAACCTTGAATCAATTTGTAACCTGCGATCGCGGATTTGCTTGATCGTTCGAGCGATGGTTACACGGTGTTACTAGCTGCAAGGAGTGCAGGGAAGTTTTACAGCTCGTTATCTGAGAGTCCGTCGCCAAGATGTATCCCATGTAAACAATAAACTGCCACTGAGCTGAGCAGAGAAATCAATATTAGTAGGATAACTTCTTGTTTAAAGGTTTTCAGTCCGTAAGCGCAATTTATGAACCAAACACATTTTTTAAATCGAGGCTACGCAACCAAACCTAGGATAAGATTTACAGAAGGACCTCGATTTGACGAACTTCTGTATGACGAAGTTCTCGGTATAACGCACGATACTCTTCAGCCCGGCTAAAGTTGCTGTAGCTATGTACAGACCTGTACAGTGTACTGTAGCTTTACGTAGACATCAAAACACAAATATCATTTAAAGGAATCGTTCCGATCCCGAGATGCTGGGTAGCACGACGTCGCACCACAAATAAAACAAAAACAACTACAACAAAACAGAAAAAAGAAATAAAACAAAACAGCAACTGTCAACCAGCCATCGATATAACGAACATTTTGATTGTTTTTCTGCAAATTCGTGAAATTGAGGTTTTCGATATAACGAACCCTCCCTAAAAAGAACCAATTTCCCCAATCCCTTGGCACTTCGTTTAATCGAGGTCCCACTGTAGCAATTTGATAGTGCATCTTACAGACTCAACACCCAATGCCTGTGCATAAATGAGCGTTTGAGACTTATTGACTTTTATCTTTCTGTAGTCTACCTTCAAGCAATTTTGTCAAGTTGCAATGTTTCACGGCTAAAGCACTCCAACCTTCGTTTACGTGTTGTTCTGTTACGCTAACGCGTTGTCTCGTCTCCTTAGTCTCTGCAGATAATAAAAGTAAGAGCTCATCTTCTTCCAAGAATTTCATTCTAAAAGATGGACTCAAAAAGCACAAGTCGAAATCGGAAAACAAACAAGTCGATAAACTGGAGGAACTGGAAAAATTGCGAAACTCCGAGAAAATGATGGACGCATTCCTTGCCAGTACTGCTCCGCATACCAAAGAAACAAACAAAAATGAGAGGACGAAGACGATCATTAAAACTATAAGGGTATGTCAAACAATCTATTTTCATACTTATTATTATGCAACAGTGGGTGTAAACTAGTTGACTAGTGCTTTCTGGGATCCTACGCCTTAATGGAAACTTTTTTTCTAGATCCTTACGTATTTGTCGCCATCGAAAAAACTGATTATCGCCACCCTTTAATGTGAAACTAATCTTTGCCTATTTAGAGGGGACCCATATGCTAATTTACAGTCACACCATAATTTGAGCCATCTTTAAAGTTATTGACTGTGTTAGTCAAAATCAACTTAGCTACTGATAGCATAACTGCTTAGACTAACTTAGCTGATAACAGTGACTGACTGACTGACATATTCACCTACCTACTGACTGACTGACTGACTTACTGACATACTGACCTGCCGATTGACTGATTGACCGACCGAGTGACTGACTGACATACTGACCTACTGGCTGATTGACTGACTGGCTGACTGATTAACTGACTGGCTGACTGACTGAATGACTGATGACTAACTGAATGACTGACTGATGACTAACTGACTGACTGACTGACTGACTGAATGACCGACTGACTGACTGACTGACTGACCAGCTGACGGACTGACTAACAGAATGGCTGACGTACTAACTGACTGACTGATTGATTGACTAAATGACTGACTGATTTAATGACCGACTGATTTAATGACTGACTGATCACGTCTAACTGATTAATTGAATTATTGATTCATCAATTAATTCCACCACCCGTCAACAACTGAACCATATGTGACATGTCATATTTTCATTTTCAGATCCCCGAACGCGAGAACACGACCTCAATAGTTGTAACAACAGCTGGGATCGTCTTGGGTATCGTGGTGTTGGGGGCAGTGGTCGGTATAGTTGTCATAAAACATATCAGGTCAAACAGAGATGGGATCAACGTAGATTCACTGGATGAACAAATTTACACGGCGTCCTCACGGAGAAGTAGCTTCACCACCTCAGAAGATGAAGTGGAACTCACTGAAGCTGACTTTGAAGATGAGTTGGTTGAAGACCAATATCTTCCGTCAGACTCCGAACTTAAGTCAGGCTTAGAACTCATGTTTCTTAAACAACAAAGACATTATTGGACACGGAAAAAGAAGCCCTGATAGAATGCTTCACAGATACAATAGTGTATTCAAGGATATTCCTCTAGGAGACTTTAAATGGACCTGGAAAGTTTCCGTGTGGACCGTGTTCCGTTACTTGAGGTCACCAAGACAGTTTTCATGTGTGTCTCCCGCTAATTCGTTCGTTTTACTGAGCATAAAGACTGAAGATAATTTAATTGTACCTCGATGTAAATAAATGAAAGACCTGCACAACTCATAAAGAATTGGAAAAAATTTGAAAAATGAGGCACACAAACAGTAAATGTCGCAAATACAGGACATTCAGATAACTCCCATTCAAAGTTTGTCCATCATTTAATAGAGACAAGTAAACTTTTTAGCAATGAAATAACGGAACCATGTTTCGATGCCGTACCCTGTTTAATTTGCACTTTGTTACTTTAGACGATTGATGAATCAGGGAAATTTTTAGCCATAATGAGTGGAGATCAGTGTCATCCCACTCCTTATTTGCTTTTTAATTAAAACACTGAACATTTATGGAAGTTCTTTTCGTATGTATTTGGTCTAAATAATTCTGGCAGCGCTAGCTTAGTTCTTTTTTCATTTCGTTGTTGCGAGATCAGCAACATTCGGCGTCAAGTTGTAGGGAACTTTTTCAGCCTAAACATCTTGAAAATCCAAACCCCTGATCTTCATATTGCCTCACCGCTCTCGTTAGCGGCAGATTGAGCCGATAGTACTTAGAAGTGTACAACGTTCTTACCGCCCATGCTGATGGCACTGTGCGAAATATACAAAGTATTACTGGTTGTGTTTCCAACATCATCCTTAGGACTGCTACTCAGTTCTACGCTATGTTCATTTTTGTGTCGACGCGACTTTTTTATTTCAGTAGACCATGCTGGTATTAAGATGTGGAAGACTTGAAGAGGTGGCTTTGGTGAGAAACTGAAAGATTTTTAAGTTGTACTCTGGAGCCCAAAATATGTGGCAAAGCGCTAATAGAAGTGACGAAAGGCCTTCGCTGAGACAAAGATGTTTTTTTCTGCCGCTGAGCCGCAGAAACTCTATGGTGCGCAAGGCCCATTACGAAGTTCATATATGACATGCGTCCTGCATAATGCTAGGATCATGTCCCAAGCTCGAGACTAGACGAAAAAACATCTTTCTCTATTTCTTAATCGAGCTAAAAAATCATCATCTTTTTTATTCCATCAACAAAACATGACGCTATCGACATTGCTGATCCTAAAAGATGTTAGCCGAACACGCAGAAGGCGCCCAGAAACTTATGGATCATAATTTTCTAAACTTGATGGAAAACGAAGGAATTCTCAAGTTGCCTGGAAAGGCCAATTAACAAAATATTTGCTCCCGGGGGGGCTCGAACCCCCGACCTTCGCATTACTTCAGCACCAGTTGGGGTAGTGTGCCGGCACTGCTTATAAGTACGACGCTCTAACCGACTGTGCTACGGGAGCTGGATAATTTTCACGATGATTCATGGTATATATGAATAACATTTTACAAATACATCAGTTTATAAGTAAATGGAAATTCCATTTGAAAACCCCTGCGTTACCAATATTAACTGACGTTTAGTGAACAGAAATCCTCTTGGAGATGGCAAGGAAATTTCACTACAGTGGTAAATTGAACTTTAAGTAAATCTCTATATACAGCAGAAAAGAATTCAGCCATCCTTACGAGGTTAAGAAAATGATTGATTCGTTTTACGGCTTAAGATCTCACTAATGAAATACACTCAAAATTGGGAGGACGTGGGACAACGAGGGAAATCACGGGGAATGGAGAAGGACGTGTCTCGCCCCTCGAATAGCCAATCAGATCACAGGCTGCGCACTGTCTTACCCGCTCGAGAAGCCGGCCATAGTTACTATTTGCCTAAGGGCAGGCAAACTCTTTTACTTGACTCCATAAAAATAGTACATCAACATTAACGTCAAAGAACAAAATTAAAAGACGAGAAAAAAAAAGTCAGAAAAAAAAGTAGACCACGACCCTCTCACGCTCTCTCTTGATTCGACCATATGGTCCACGCAAAGAAGGAATATTATGCTTTATAGAAACCTATTTAAGAAATCGAAAGTCAACAGACAACTTGTTAACAAAATATTCGACGTTTGTAATTTTCTTGTGTAGTTAGAACGTTTTTAAAACATATGGCTAATTACATCTACTGAATCAACATAAGGGAGGTTTCATTTGTAGCTCATTTTACCAGTAACCGGCTTGTGATATTTTATGTTTCTAGTAATGTTTATACCATTCAATCCCCGGTGATCATCAGCAATTTAGATGTTATCGCCCAAAAATTTAAATACACCCAAAAGCTATTATTAAAGAAAATGCTGAATTATTCAGGTGCTTGAAATAAAAAGTAACTTTTTCAACACAGAGACTTGACGAATATTGACTTTTTATGCCGAAAAATTATGCTATACGAGGAATTTACTTCCCTTAGAAACTGTCAGTAGAAGAAAAAAATAACGCGTTTTCATCGGCCCCCTGCCATCAAGAATGGCCCTAAAGGTATCAGTATTGACAAAGATGTATTATTTCTGACAATAAGCTTGTCAAAAAAGCTTTCAATGTGTTGCTGGCGGGCATGAAACATAGTGTGAGCTTGGAGAGGAATGTGAAAGATTCCTTTCACCAAAACAAGCATCGAAAGAAACTTTCAGATCCTTTGCGGACATGTAAGAGAATCACAGATGAATTCCCTGATACCCGCTGAGGCGAGATTCTTGACTTTAGGAAGCAAAGGAGTCGGCAAATCAGGTAGGAGAAACGTATTATCTTTGAATCCGTTAGAGAGACGCAACGATACAGGGTTGTTTGAACGATCTGGAGTTTCATGTTAGACAGTTCTGAGCTTTAGAGAACATAAAAGATTCATTTCCCACGAAAGTGCAGCGAGTGGTTTCAATGTTAATTGATCAAACCGCAATCGACTAAACACAACCGTACCACTCCGCAAGGAAAGAAGTCGGTCAAGCAAAAATTAAATCGTCTCAACTTCATGTGTTACGTGCATTCACTTTTCAAAAACAAACTGAAAAAAAGTTCTGTTGCTGCACTGTGCAGATTTTAGCTATATGACTTTTTATTTTCCGAAAAAGTTTGCAGATAGCGTTTAAAGCCAATTCACACTCAATATCTTTCTGTAAGCGGCATTTGAAAGTTATCCATTATCAAGCGCAAATTAAATCAACGTGTACAGAAAATGTGGTATTTATGCAGAATAAGGAAAAAAAGGAAGATATGTTTCTTTTATCCATATATAGAATCACTTGCTATCTAAAAGATGACCACTCAAAACAGTACTTTAGGACTCTTTGTTGAAAGTATTCATTAACAAAACAGTCACGAAACGGTTAACGAGTTTGTATTTATTTTATCTGTTTGTGTTTATAACCTTAGGACAATAACGTGATAGAAACTTATTGAATTCAGTTTGCCGATGGTCATGTGCGAGAAATCAATCAGACGTACCTTTTGCGAATAATTTTTAAACCCTGTGCCCTGGTTATTGCTGATGACACACATTTCATAGCTGTTCTGCCAGTGATCAAGTGTTCTTCTAATAATAATTCTGCTTTTTTGATGTTTCCCGTCAGAGGACCCCCAAACATCCCCCCACCCCACTACCCCATCCCAATCATCTTGACCGACGAAACGTGATAATATTGTTGTGAACAAATTCATCCATTTATTAGACGTTACACCGTTCTTTGTTGAAAGTGATTCGCTATAGAGAGATTCGTTATCATAGATCTTTTTTTCGGAAGCAAAATGCAATTACCAAATTTTATCCGGTTTTATAATATTATCTCATTTACATCTGTTTTTTTTAATGGGCTGCAATCGGGGAATGTACTACAGTGAAACTTGATTTAGGCGGAAAACCACGGGAATCTGGCTAGCGTCCGTTCAATAGAGGGTGTCCGTTAAACAGAAGACCAAAGAAGCTAATGCAGGTTTTAATTGATAAATTGTGCAATAATAACAAGTGTAATTTATCAAATGTTCTGAGCCATTTTCTACATTTCAATTCGTGAATTTTCCACCTTTCTTTATTAATTTACTAGTAGCATGAAAAGATACATGGGGGAGCATATCCACCTGTACAAATGTCCTAAATCTTCTCTCTTTTTACCACCCAGCCACCCAGCCAGTCCCTCTCAGCACTTAGCGACATCAGCTCCTCATTCCAACTGCAAATGTTTGCTTCAGCTTTTCTTTATACTTCGAAGTAGTGCGTCTTCCTTTCTCCTCTTTTTGTCCAGTTGAGGACATGTACAAAGTTCGTGTAACACTTTCTATTACGTGTACTGACTCAAATCATTCTTAGGGTACGTGGTTTCCGTGCCAGAAAAGCGGAACCTGAAAGAAATCAACTCTAGTTTCCAGACCAGAAAATAAACAAAATGTGTCTCGCACTGGAAATAGATACGTTTACCACATGTTGTTCGCCTGAAAACAAATGAGATAATTGACACCGTGCATGTTTTTTTTTTCTCTTTTCATCAGGCCGATGGATTCTAGGAAAATACTGTAAAAGAGAACAAAAACAAGCGTCAAATACGCGTTATTGATAAATCATAGAATCCTTGCAATAATAACAACAATGAACAATAACAATGCACAACAATGAATATTAGCTAAGTGAGTGATGAGTTGGAGCCGACTAGAAAGTAGAGATCGAGGTTTTACAAAAATGAGCAAACAACGCCTGTTAGATAACAACCTGGGCACTAGAAAATGATGGAGTGTTGAAAGTAATCCAGCAATGGTTTTGCCGTATTGAGCGCTATGAACGGTCTTCATAACGCTCAATAGGTTTCGCCCCATGGCAAGTTCACCCCATACCAGTTCGCCCCCATTACGAAAAGCTCACGTCATCAACCTTGACAAGTCCGTCCCCATTTTTTCTTCAACTCGTTTCCTTACGGCAGAATGTGTTCCTTCATAAGAAGAGGGGAATAATGACGGTCTTAAAAAAGATTCTAATATGTTCGACTCGTCGGAAAAGGAACACGTTCTGCCTTACGGAAACAACGCCCCTAAGCAAGCCAGGGACAGGCTTGTAAAGGCAAGGGCGAACCGAACCGAATAGGGCGAAACCCCTGGATACATTGTGATTATTTTGGTTTTGGGTTTTTACGACTCTCAAGCAAAAGAAGTTCTTCCTGGACAAAATGGGTAAGGGAGATGCTGTAATTTTAATTTGCTTTAAGATTTCTGTTATAATAGTCTTAACATTTTACATCATTTTTATCACCAGCCTTAACTGTTCGTTTTCTGACGAAGAGATTTATTGGCGAATATCAGTCACTTATGCGTAAGTAGAGAATTTAATAAGAATTTATCAATATGCGTTGTTTCTCTGCGACACCAAAACTGAACATTTTCTGTTATTGTTTGAATTGAACTGTTTGGAAATGATAACAAGATTTTTCTCCCAACCCACGCATGCACCCCTAAAGTGATCAACTAACTTGAGCTCCATGATTTGTTTTATCCACAACGTCGCACGCAAACCAATTCAATCACAAATTTTATGGCCACGCTTAGCATCAAAAGAAGCGCGATGTGTCTGAGCGCCACAAAAAAAGTTTCTTTTTAAACTCCCTGACTTGTCCCTCCGTCTGTGCTCCACACCTACATCATGTCTCGTTTACCGACTGAACCCTTAAAATAGGTTAGTATTCCTGCCTCTGAGGGTTCATTTTCGACTGACATCACATATCATTCTTCCCCATGGTATATAAAAGACTCATCCAAAACCGTTAGTAGACAGTTTTTAGTCAAACTAATTGGAGCAACAAATTGTTTCGGTTGCATAGTCCTGGCCAACCGACCGTTAAACATTGTATTAATCACCGACTCTCTTGTGCGTTAATGTTTGTGTTCTCTGAACCATGTCGGTTACTCTTTCTTAATTTACTAGACAACTAACACGCACATTAGTACATTCGATTCATGCTCTCCATTCTTTGCCTATTTTGGCCAAAATTCACGGAATGAAGCATGCTACAAGCTGACGCAGAGATGGAGCCTGCGGGGTCATTCGGCCACGTGCTTGAATTCAAGCAGTGAACATTCAACCGTTGAGAAATTAGTGAAGTGATTCAGGCTCTCTGTATTTACTTAACAACACAATACACGCAACTTTTAATATTCTATTGAGGGTCACTGATTAGAGCAATCCTTGGTGCGCAATGGAAACCGAAAAAGAGAATCGAACAATGAATTGAACTTTCCCGCATTGCTGAAATATAATTTTGTTTTTAAGCAATCAGGAATGCCACATGTTCATCTCAATAATTGCTCATTTCCTGGTGTTAAGTTGTGTAATGAACATTTAATGCTCTGCTAAAGTGGATTAAACCACACAATGATAAGATCTTAGTTCGAACTTAAAGCCGCTTCAAGACAGACGTTTCCATGGCAATGTAGCATTGGACTCCACTACTCCCTTACCAGTATTCGTCTGCCTGTGGGAATTGATCAAAACCAAGCAGAACTTCTTTCACACTGAAATAAACAATTGTCTTAAGCCTCAGCCCTAAATTATGAGCACAAGCTCTCAGTTCAATGAACAGATAAAGTTATTCTTAGATAAACATCAACAGATTTTGTACGTCAGGTTATGATAATTTCATGTTTTGAATATTTTAACATTTAATAATTGTTTGCATTCTTTTCAAATACCTACAATAAACTCTTGTTCTCTAATTCTTGATTTCAGAATTAACCTACAGTCACAAAATCAAGCTGGACGATGAATTTCTAACATTTGAGTTTCGTGATACCATTGAAAAGGTACGAATTAATGTATTCTGAAGGTCTTTCTGACGGCTTCGCCAAGTTTTAAAAGCTTCTTTTGTTTACTAAACATCAATTAAGCGTAGGTGACGTTTGGATTTGGCTTACCTCCGACAAAAGACTGAATCTAATTCATTTTTTATTAGGTAATGTTCACATCGCCCTATTTATTTTGTAGATATTTTAAAAGATAGTTGTTCCTCTGTCGTTTTTTACATACATCTCATCTGTTTTTATCTTACTATATGCCTTGCCATAAAAAGTCAGCTATCGAATTTTACTCTGTGACTTGTTGTTTGGACAGACTCCATTCGTATGTACATATATGCTCTTATATACAGATTTCTCAGCTTAACAATAATATCTAACTTCTTCTATAATCACGGTAATTACAATCATCCTGTGCTAATTATATTTGAGGCCCATACATAAAGGGAAATCATTCTGCTAAGTTTTTAAAGTTTCGAAAAATCTTTTGCCAAAATGTTCGAATTTTTCACGAAAAGGACTAAGGCTCCAAGTTCAAAACAACGACAAGTACAAACTGCTAAGTCGTTCAGTCCTCAAAATCAACAGCTCATAGAAATTGAATCCAACGTTATGCTCACGCCTTCGTATGCACTGCGCGTTTAATTAGGCACATAGAAATTTTGTTCCCGCGGGGGCCATGCGATTGTTTGACGGATCACTCGTGCAGCAGCTATAGAAAAGGGTTAATCTCAAAAAGAAGTTCGAAAATTAGAGATGAATTGGGACATTGTGACGTTCAAACGAAAGCCTGTCAATCTTTCATGTACTGATAAGGAAAAAAAAAAATTTAAGTAATCTTTGTCAGAGAGTTGAGAAATTGGGTGGAAAGAGAAACAGCTGAGCACTGTATCCCACCCATACAGTTAGGTACCGACCCTACAACCTTCCACACGTCAAGATCGATATCGTAAAATTCTACTTTGTCTGTTCTTTCGCGGGAATTTTTCTTTCCTCCGAGGACGTAGATATGATTTCCTACGAAAGCTATCCCTGCCAGCGCTCTTGATATGCACAGATTAGCTATGTATGTCCAGGTGTTATTCTCTATGTCAAAAGCCTCACAAGAGCTGTGCGACGAGTACAAATCATCTTGGGTTCCCCCTACTACGTAAAGGTTTCCTCCAACAGCTACTCCGCATGCGTATGCTCTACGGACCTGCATGGGTGTGGTCATGGTCCAGGTGTTTGTTCTGGGATCATATTTTTCAACCGTGCTCAGGTACTTGAACGGGTCATTGGCATTATCGTTTTCTGTTTTTCCACCGATGGCGTAAAGGTATTTATCAGATACTACGCATGGACCACCTCTGTTTGATGTCATTGGGGCGACCGCTTCCCAGATGTTCGAGTTCGGATAGTACCTTCAAAAAAGAAATGATCTCTTTTTACCTCAGTCTTTCATAGGAGCACAACATTCTTTACACATGACCTGGCCAACAATAATCAATATCCTGATTACAAAACACAACATTTTCGATTACCTCAAAACAGTGTTTAGCGGTCTTCCTCTATGCCAGCCACCTACTGCGTATAAAGAACCATTTAGTTCAGCCACACCAAGAGCAGAGATTTCCTTAGCCATCGGTGCTACTCCTGCCCATGTGTTAGTTCTGTGAAAATCACATGTAAAGAAGCATCAAAATTATCTTTACAACGAGTAGCTTAGCTTCTCAAAGTGACTAAAACTTACCCCAGCCCCCCACCCCCCGACATCTTCTCGGGTTTTTAAAACAGTACGCTGGATTGAACCGGCCATGGCTCACATTCAGACCTCCTGGATTCATTTCCGTTACACAACGGGCCACTGCATCACTCCCACTGTGGGTAAATAACGATTAATACCTGACAATAACCTACCTGTAGTCATATCTCTCCATGCTTGACAGATGCCCATTCAGGGAGACTCCTCCCACTGTGAAAATAAACCCCTCGCATGCCACAGCGCCGTGACTGAAGCGCGGGATTAACATTGGCGCCAAATTGTACCACTGATTGACAGAAGGCACGTAACACTGAGTTGAGGAACGCAATTCGTCTCCAGGTCCCCAGATCGTAATGATGGCATCTACATTGGAATCCAAACATTTCCGCGTCTTGCAGATATCCCTGATTGGCTGACGCTGAGGTCCATGTAATGCATATGACTTCATGGCTTCGTAAAGAAGCTTGGTGCACTCAAGGTTATTGGTTACCAGTTCTTCATTTTCAACATATTCTGCTATGTAATATTTTGACATGCAACCCAAGCGAACCTGAGAGAGCAACCGCGGGAAATTCTCTCTCCTGTTATTCACGTCATGTTTGACCCACGAAACGACCGCTTCGTACACCTGTTCCTCCGTCTCCACAATAACGTCGTCTAAAGTGATAAGCTTCTCAATCTCAGAGAGGCAAAGATGCAGGAATTCCTCCGATTTCGAAACAGCCACGAAGTTCTCAAGAATAAAGCTCTCAGACTTGTCCATGAGTTCTTCACAGTCAAATTTCTCTGAAAACGCTCTCATTGACAGACAATTTGAAGGATTTAAAATTCCTTCTAAGTACTCACTCCCTTTATCCTTTAAGCTTGTTATTAACAGGTAATCAGCAGCGAAAACCAGTTCTTTGACATTCTCATCGGTTATTTCAACTTCTCCCGTGTATATGTAATGAAGCAGATCATTCATCACAAAGGCTCGAAATCCTTCGAGTTTGACTTCAAGTTGATGTTTTTCTTTCATGTCGGATGTAAACAAACCAAGGAAATACTCGCTACATGCCGCTAGGACGTTTTTGTGGGCTGGAAATTCTTGCCCGTCCACTTGAAGAATTGTGTCGCACAATATCTCCTGCCGACGAAAATCATCCATTCGCTTGTAAAGATTTTCTTCGTAGTTAATTCGTGGCTGGCGGAGATATCTATCTGTTTCTTTCAAATCCATTACTTTGTCTGATGGTTTTTATGTCTGAGGAACACACACTTTCGATTCCGGTAATCAATTTGAATGAAACACGTGAAATTCAGAAAAAAAAATTTATACAGTAGAGTCCTTCGACGATCTTCGCTTTCGTCGCTGAGATGAATTTTTCCCGTTATCCAAATGCCAACAAGCGCATCCGATTTTTTTTAAAAATAAATATCACGCTGAGTCGAGAAAGCCATTTAAAAACATCATTGCCTTCCCCGAGACACGTGGCAGGTGTTGTTATCCTTATATGGATATGAACATTGCTTTCAGATGGCTCTCTGCTTAATCGAAATCATAAAAGCGTCCGTTTAGCTCATAAGTCAAAAAAAAAAAAATTAACGAGAGGTCTCGGTAAAAGGATGAAGATGTTCTGCCAACGGAAGTCACGAGAACGAAACATGACAATTACGAATACGTCAGCCGCGGCGATTTTGCGTTTTGAGATATGCAAATAATTTGTAAGAAAGTGAATAATCATTGACACGAATTTGATTTTCGACACACATTTAGACTTTCGCAACCGGAATGATTCAAATAACATCGACTCAAAAATATGCTTCCTTATTGCAAGCCGAAATTTATTTTCAAACATAGTAGTTTTTATAATTCAGAACGACTTTGAGAAAAAAAAAGGAAAAGAGGATTTATTTTCATGCATGACGTTAAAAATTCATTGACTGTACTTGACATTTGTTCCATAAAAGTGCTGGGAAGCTACTGATTTAACCTTACTAAAGAAAGATACCCTAAAGCAAAACTGTTTTACTTGACCTCGAGACGATTATTACAATTTTTAACATAAAGGTCAGAAAAGCGTGTTGCTCTGAAAAACCGTATCATCCACTTAATATCAATGGTGCGTTTAAAAGAGGAAGAGCAAAGGTAGAAAACACTAGCAAAAAAATTTCTGAAATTCAGTCTCTGCAAGCCGCTTCGTTCAACTCGACTTTCCTTGAAAAAATTTCAAGAAAAGTATTTCTTCAATGGAAACTGAGAACCACTCACGAAATTGAATCTTATTTCTACAAGAAGGCTTAATTAAATATGAAGACCCCAAACTCTGTGAAAATTTGAGTGGATTCAGGACAAACGCATGTATGTTTTGTATTAACCAATTCAAATATCCTTTAATTGCTGACAAACTTTTTCAAATTCAAATGATACCAAGTTCTGTTGATAATTTATATATGCGACAGTTGTGCGTGGATTCCGTCTGCAATCAATCAACTGCGATCAATTCTGCACGAACATTTGGGTCAAAATAGAAGAGACAACTATTTTAAGAATAAGAAGTCGCTAAAAAATTGGGGTTCTATAATAACAGGGTTTTACTTTCACGTGCCATGGAACCAGATGAGTTTCCAAAGCACGTGGAAGTTACTCGTGAGGGAGAGCACCCTATCCAGGGGTGAAGCAGTTAACAAAAGCCTCAGACGATGTGGTCCATTTGGTTCATTCTTGTATAGGCCTCTATGGAATTTTTTTTTTCTTGCTCTGATATCTTGTTCCCTTGTTTCCAGAGCGATACGTCTCAAGTTGATAAAGACATCAAATGGGCCGACGCTTTTCTCGTGGTGTATTCCATCACGGACAAAAACAGCTTTAATAATGCCATACATCTGGTTGAAGCAATCTACGACGGCAAAGGCACAGATGAATTGCATGTCGCTCTGGTGGGAAACAAGATAGATCTGGAGCATTTCAGAAAAGGTAAGAAAACAGATGTCTTAAAAAAAACGCCTCAGACAAACAGCCCGTCGGGTTCAAAGACTGAAACCTTAAAAGAAATCCGTCAACCATGACCCAAACTACTTCGTGATGATCAGTGAAACTTTAAAAGTCACGATAATTTTGATATGACCTTGAGAGAGGAAACGGAAGACAAATGTCAAAGGTATTCAATAAATATTATGATACAGAATACACCACGGAACGTGGTTGCAAAAAAAATGAAACCATCGATCATTAACCCTTGGTGGGTTTTCTGAACATCCGGAAATGAATTTTTGAAATTCTGACCCTTTGTGCCTGAAAAAGACCATTCCAAAATACTACTGACCCAAACATTGATAAGCCGCTCATCCTTAGTTTATGCTTTTCAGTAACCACAAAGGAGGGCCAATCGGCTGCTGAACAGCTCGGATGCATGTTCTTCGAAGTTTCCGCTGCAGAAAATTACGATAATGTTCAGGAGGCGTTGAATGTTGTCTTCCGAAGGGTGGCGCTTCACAAGAAATACTTGCGACAGGAGAAGGAAAAGCGAAAAAACACTAATCCACAGATAGAGAAAAAGAAACAGAAATTTGGAAATTCTCTTTTCAACTGGAAAAACGAGAAAAAGAAAAGTCCAAGACGAGCAGACACACTTTAATTTTAAAATTAGTGTTCTGTTGACTAGACTGATTTTCGACGACCTAAATTTTCCTACGAGTTATCAAGCTGGGCTAGTAACAGTTTGATGAGGTCTTCTCGTGCCTTTCTTCTTGACTGCGATAAAAATAAGTTCCCTACAAGATTAAAATACCCGAAAAGTGACTATAGGACTCTCTCTGAATCAGTGTTGTTGTCCAAACGCAACGTGTGTACAATACAGAAGGGTAGTCAGCGATGATAGGTTTTTATTTTCCTATTTACTTTTACAAGAAACGAAATTTACTTGTCAAAAACACTTATCAAACGTTGATTACCCCACTTTACCACAATTAAGGCCTAAATTCACGCTCTGAGAGCTCTTTTGCTAAAAATCCCTGACAAATCATGAGAAAGGCTTCGTGAAGCTAGCCATTTGTCTTGTAAAACAAACCTGCTGACCTTAGTGGGGTGTATTACTAGGAGGATAAAAGAAAATTGTGGTCGACTGATAGCGGAAAGGGAAATGGTAAGAACTGGCTTTGGAAAGCCGTAGGCCTATGATCATCTCATGACATACAGATATCCCGAGCGATGCAAGAGTGCACTTCTTGTGCAGCGCTCTGGGTTAGAACAGTTTGAAGTTTGAATACTGCGCGACAGAACTACGTGTATTCATAAATTCCAAATAAAGCCCGTTGTAGTCAATTTAGCACAACTTAAAATAACTAACATCTGCCATGAACGAACGGGCTATAAAATGCCAATGATATTAATAGAAAAATAGTTGCAATTTTTACACGTATGACGCTAAAAGATTCGCTAATTACTTGGAATGTGTACTACATAGTAGGCATAGTTTCTTCTGAACGCCAAATGAAAAATTCACAAGATCCTTTCCCCTCCGAAGACGAGTTCTAACTAGTAAAAGATCACTTATTGCGCATTAATAAAAATGACTGAGATTATCTCCCTTAAACCAACAAGATCACCGCCACCTCGACAGACTTTTGACTTAACGGCAGTGAATGCTTCAGTAATTTCCAATACACGTATGGGCTCTTCCGTCCTTACGCTGACCTTAATCTGAAGTGTTCAACCGTAAAAAAAAAAAACAAAACAAAACAAAGAGTACTCAACAAACCATTTTCCCAATGCATCACCCCTTCCATATCCACCCCACCCCCCCCTGTCCCCGCTTCACTACACTTTCACGGCATGCACCTTCGCATCCTTACAACTCAAGTTTACCGCTTAATACTGAAATCACAAGTCATACAGTCTGGTTTCTTTGTTTACTAATCACTGAAAATATATTTGCTAAAATAATACAAAAATATAACGTTAGAGTAACACATTAAAGTGTTTGATCCAACAGACTGTAACTTAGGCAAACTGACTAGGAAAGTGTTCCAAACAATACACCTGGCCAGAGAAAACACTGGGTGAGGCAACATTGTTATTCTACGTGCATGCGCTATTTCAACATACAACGCTGTTTCCCGTAAGACACAATTGCACCGGCTGTTAAGCACGGTCTACACCATGATAACTTGTGATAGAAACCTTCTCAAAGAAATTATTTTTAAAAAAAATCTCATAAAATGTACACGATTTCGACACATTCCTCATAATTTAGACTTTCCAGTCGACCAATGAATTGTCTGAAGCCATTAGCAAAATGCTACCCAGAAATCCTAAGCAGCCGTTAAGAAGGTGTGCCATTGACTCCACCTACCTTTCAATAGAGGAGTGAACATTCTCCTTCACGAAATACGCTTTGCAAATAGCTATGAATATTTTTCAACAATATTGACAGAAACTGTTTAGAAAATAATGCCAGCACTTCCTTTAGCCACGACTATTCAACAGCTTTTTTTTTTTTCAAATTTTCTTTCGTATATTCTTGAATCGAGCTCGAGGAATGACCCTCTTGAAACGGTCATAGAGCCTCATTCTCTAAGGTTGAAATGTCAGGAACGTCTCAAAAGCTGACAACAATCACAGTAGTAATTATCAGTCTTACAAGAGTACACAATCAGTATGGCTTCTACAAAAAGATTTGCCTCCACAAATTAAAAAAAAAAAAAAACTTACACCAACCGATAACACTATTTTAGGTGTCAATTGTTGAACAGAAATAACAGCGTCTTCATTCAGAACAAGGTCACCGACCGTTTTAACTCTCATTTAGGAAATTTTGCAAATTGGAAAAGGAAATAAGTGGTTTAAAATCAAATCCTTCAAAGAAGAGGAAGCATTCAAAGGAATGACCCTCTTGATACAGTACATGTATCCTACTTTCACAGAATTGTCCTTCTTTACTTTCTCCCTGGATAGCGACTTGAGTTACTTTTCTTTTAGATATCACAAGCTCACTGATTTACCTTATCAAGTTTGCAAAATCCCGTTTCCTTCTGATTAAAAAAAGCCAATCAAATAACTTCCTGTCACATAACAAGTACTCCACACTACCAAGATAGCCACTGCGCTTGACACGTAACAAGTACATATGCTATAACAGATCTGTTATGGATTGACAGCTCTACACATAATGACATTTTTTTTGGGGGGGTGGGGGGGAATGGGAGGTAACAAGTGATAGTTTTCATTTTCCTTTTTTTTTTCATCAAACGTTCAAACCCTTCTCGCTCGTTAGGAGCTCCAATAGTGTGGTTAACTCGTTATTCATCAAATAGTTGATTGTAAGAAGTATAGAATGACCACTGTAACACACCAATGCATCATAATTGCAAGATTCTAAGCTGGCTTGCAGTCACTCTTTGAGTAAAAATTGTAAGTAAGATAAAAATTGCATGAAAACATCAGTGACACAACACCAGAATTTGTTTAGCACTTGTTGCCCGGAAGATTGAGGAGATCTGGATTTCAATTTTTTTCTCTGTTTGTGTAATTGTTGAAACTCCATTAAAACATCACCTTTGACAGAAATATTCACAGTGGATAGACTTGAAAACAAATAATAACTATATTTCAAAAGAGAGTATGGTTTACTACACAACCCCTTACACAACAAGTAAAAATTCAATACTCTCATAGGCATGTTACTGTATGACAAAAATGCCCCAAAAAACTTACTAAGATCACCTGATCTTGGTAAGGTATTTTTTTCCCAAGCATATCCACTGCAATACTAAGCACATTCTTACTATCTACAAAAAAGAACAGCTTTTCAGCAACAAAGCATAAAAATGTCAAGTCTCTTTCCTTAGCCTGTTACCTGTTCTATTCAACATTGCACTACAATGGAAAGTTCCAAGCCAAACTAACTTTTGCTAAATACTTCATAAAAACAGCCTATAACTTTTCAAGCTATACAAACCAAAGAATGACATTATCCATTTAGTCAAACTTGTGCATCCTTTTGTGATAAGCAATCATCAAGAGTGACAATTCAACAATGGCATTATGCTTTACTCCAAGAAGAATTCCATTCATCCATGTGGAAAATGTGTTAATGTGGAATGGCTGCCATCCATTTGACAAAATCAGTTTAACAAAAATAATTCTACTGCAGCCAAATAAATGAAGATTTCAGCAGTTTGAAGCCTACTTCACTGGTTTCATTGAGCTGATATTTGACTTATAACTCGTAATAAAGAGCTGTTTTCACCCTTCAAGCAAGCATTCTCTGTCCGTAGTATTTCCAGCTCCTGATATGAAATAGAAAGAAGAACAATTTTAAATTTCCTGCATATAGTACCTAGATATTGGCCTCAGAGTAAGTAACTTTTCTTGTCAAGTTAGCAAGATCGATTTGCTGCACATTTCTGTTTTGTCAAACTTGTTTGTACAATAGGGACTTGTTAGTTCAGTGGACAGAAGAGCAAAGTATGCTTATTCCAAAGACAGAGTTGCTTGCTAGAGAAGCTAAGTGCACCATATAACTGCACCTGTTACAAGACATGTCCTCTTAATTGCCTCAAAACTTAACAGAACAGTGACATAACAAAGAGACAAACATAAGTTAATTCTTCAAAAATCATACTTTTGCAAGAAAAGAGAAGTACTGCCCACTGTTTTCCATAAAGCTTGTAAGATGAAAGGCAACCCCTCTACATTTCTACTGTGGTTCTCATAATGTAATGTCATAAGAACTTCTCACCTTGTTTGCTTTATCAAGCTCAGATTCGTAGTCTTCTAACTGACTTTCATAATCCTCTATCTTTTCAAGCAGTTTTTGCATTTGGATGGTTTCACTATCCTTTTGCTACGAATAAAATAATTCCTGAATCACTTACAAGATGGTATTTGACCAAATATTACACAACCTGAATAATATCAGGATTAATAAGCACTGTACAACCACATTTACATATCTACAATCATTTGCTGAAAGGTTTAAACATTTGCAGGAAACAGGCCACTTAATCAACACAGGGTGATTATTTCTTTTTTGAGAAACAGCAAAATATGCAAAAAAAAGTTTTAATGTTTATTTAAATAGGATCATGAAGACTGGGAAACAGACTTGTTGTCTGTCTATCCTTCCTGACGAGAACAACTGCCAAGGAATTGTTGCAAAAGTTTAACATGAGTGCATCATCATTTGAAAGGAAATGTGCACTCATGCAGACATAATAGTTGAGAGACTGAGACAAAGACCACTGAGGGGGCTAACTCACTACCTGTTACATCAAAATAGGGGCACTTCCTAATGAAGACAAATTTGCAGGAGGGGTAAGGGGTGCTAAATCCTACCATCACGATAGCCAACTTAGAATTGTAATCATGATTATAATTTTAAGCTTTCACACAGACATGAATAAATTTATACTTACAACTTTTTGCTCTATTCTTTTGTTTGATCTACAAAAGAAATAGTTCTAGTTATAATTTGTTATCCTTGTAAGTAAACATGATTTTTTTTCCATTAGTGTAATTTGATGAAAAAAATGTTTTAAACATTGAAGTTGGGTTAAATTGTTAATTTTACTTAGGGTGTTAACTACACAGAACCCAAATCAAATCATGTCATCCAATACCAAGCACAGTAAAAATACTGTTGACTTAGACTGTCTCTGCTACTCTGCCGAAGCATCACCCAGCATTCTGATCAAATCATCAGTAATTATTGTGCCATTAAATGCCTCACACTGTATGTAAATATGTATTTAATATAGCACTAGAATCTACAAAAGCAGAAAGCTAAAATACACTAATCCTTTAAAAATAAAATGACCAGCTTCAGATACACACCATTTTAAAAAACTGATGCCAAATTTGAGAGATGCAAAATGGTAAAAAAATTTAGCTTACCCTTTACTTTTGGGAGAATCCTACGGTGGGAAAAGAGAGGACTTGTTAGTAAATTTGGTGAATAATACAATATATTCAACATTTACAGATAAGCTAAATTATTAGGATATTGTTCAAACCTAACCAGACTTTTTACATTCAACTGAGTTCAGTAACCCAAAGCAGAACTCCTGAAAAAACCAACATGGATATTCAACACATTTTTTAATAAGTAAAGAAATGCATTCCGTCACTGAGCAATGCAACAACTCTCATCACAATATATCACATGTACCAACCAAACTGAACAACTGCGTGCCTCAACAAACTGATTTAAATATCACTTGTGCACTGCACCTAATTCATAAGTTAGAACAGACCTGTCTTAACTGAAAATCTTCTGCAATATTACAATATTTCCGCGTCTTGCAGATATCCCTGATTGGCTGTCGCTGAGGTCCATGTAATGCATATGACTTCATGGCTTCGTAAAGAAGCTTGGTGCACTCGAGGTTATTGGTTACCAGTTCTTCCTTTTCAACATATTCTGCTATGTAATATTTTGACATGCAACCCAAGCGAACCTGAGAGAGCAACCGTGGGAAATTCTCTCTCCTGTTATTCACGTCATGTTTGACCCACGAAACGACCGCTTCGTACACCTGTTCCTCCGTCTCCACAATAACGTCGTCTAAAGTGATAAGCTTCTCAATCTCAGAGAGGCAAAGATGCAGGAACTCCTCCGATTTCGAAACAGCCACGAAGTTCTCAAGAATAAAGCTCTCAGACTTGTCCATGAGTTCTTCACAGTCAAATTTCTCTGAAAACGCTCTCATTGACAGACAATTTGAAGGATTTAAAATTCCTTCTAAGTACTCACTCCCTTTATCCTTTAAGCTTGTTATTAACAGGTAATCAGCAGCGAAAACCAGTTCTTTGACATTCTCATCGGTTATTTCAACTTCTCCCGTGTATATGTAATGAAGCAGATCATTCATCACAAAGGCTCGAAATCCTTCGAGTTTGACTTCAAGTTGATGTTTTTCTTTCAAGTCGGATGTAAACAAACCAAGGAAATACTCGCTACATGCCGCTAAGACGTTTTTGTGGGCTGGAAATTCTTGCCCGTCCACTTGAAGAATTGTGTCGCACAATATCTCCTGCCGACGAAAATCATCCATTCGCTTGTAAAGATTTTCTTCGTAGTTAATTCGTGGCTGGCGGAGATATCTATCTGTTTCTTTCAAATCCATTACTTTGTCTGATGGTTTTTATGTCTGAGGAACACACACTTTCGATTCCGGTAATCAATTTGAATGAAACACGTGAAATTCAGAAAAAAAAAATTATACAGTAGAGTCCTTCGACGATCTTCGCTTTCGTCGCTGAGATGAATTTTTCCCGTTATCCAAATTGCTTTCAGATAGCTCTCTGCTTAATAGAAATCATAAAAGCGTCCGTTTAGCTCATAAGTCAAAAAAAAAAAAATTAACGAGAGGTCTCGGTAAAAGGATGAAGATGTTCTGCCAACGGAAGTCACGAGAACGAAACATGGCAATTACGAATACGTCAGCCGCGGCGATTTTGCGTTTTGAGATATGCAAATAATTTGAAAGAAAGTGAATAATCATTGACACGAATTTGATTTTCGACACACATTTAGACTTTCGCAACCGGAATGATTCAAATAACATCGACTCAAAAATATGCTTCCTTATTGCAAGCCGAAATTTATTTTCAAACATAGTAGTTTTTATAATTCAGAACGACTTTGAGAAAAAAAAAGGAAAAGAGGATTTATTTTCATGCATGACGTTAAAAATTCATTGACTGTACTTGACATTTATTCCACAAAAGTGCTGGGAAGCCACTGATTTAACCTTACTAAAGAAAGATACCCTAAAGCAAAACTGTTTTACTTGACCTCGAGACGATTATTACAATTTTTAACATAAAGGTCAGAAAAGCGTGTTGCTCTGAAAAACCGTATTATCCACTTAATATCAATGGTGCGTTTAGAAGAGGATGAGCAAAGGTAGAAAACACGAGCAAAAGAATTTCTGAAATTCAGTCTCTGCAAGCCGCTTCGTTCAACTCGACTTTCCTTGCAAAAATTTCAAGAAAAGTATTTCTTCAATGGAAACTGAGAACCACTCACGAAATTGAATCTTATTTCTACAAGAAGGCTTAATTAAATATGAAGACCCCAAACTCTGTGAAAATTTGAGTGGATTCAGAACAAACGCATGTATGTTTTGTATTAACCAATTCAAATATCCTTTAATTGCTGACAAACTTTTTCAAAGTCAAATGATATCAAGTTCTGTTGATAATCTATATATGCGACAGTTGTGCGTGAATTCCGTCTGCAATCAATCAACTGCGATCAATTCTGCACGAACATTTGGGTCAAAATAGAAGAGACAACTATTTTAAAAATAAGAAGTCGCTAAAAAATTGGGGTTCTATAATAACAGGGTTTTACTTTCACGTGCCATGGAACCAGATGAGTTTCCAAAGCACGTGGAAGTTACTCGTGAGGGAGAGCACCCTATCCAGGGGGTGAAGCAGTTAACAAAAGCCTCAGACGATGTGGTCCATTTGGTTCATTCTTGTATAGGCCTCTATGGAATTTTTTTTTCTTGCTCTAATATCTTGTTCCCTTGTTTCCAGAGCGATACGTCTCAAGTTGATAAAGACATCAAATGGGCCGACGCTTTTCTCGTGGTGTATTCCATCACGGACAAAAACAGCTTTAATAATGCCATACATCTGGTTGAAGCAATCTACGACGGCAAAGGCACAGATGAATTGCATGTCGCTCTGGTGGGAAACAAGATAGATCTGGAGCATTTCAGAAAAGGTAAGAAAGCAGATGTCTTAAAAAAAACGCCTCAGACAAACAGCCCGTCGGGTTCAAAGACTGAAACCTTAAAAGAAATCCGTCAACCATGACCCAAACTACTTCGTGATGATCAGTGAAACTTTAAAAGTCACGATAATTTTGATATGACCTTGAGAGAGGAAACGGAAGACAAATGTCAAAGGTATTCAATAAATATTATGATACAGAATACACCACGGAACGAGGTTGCAAAAAAACATGAAACCATCGATCATTAACCCTTGGTGGGTTTTCTGAACATCCGGAAATGAATTTTTGAAATTCTGACCCTTTGTGCCTGAAAAAGACCATTCCAAAATACTACTGACCCAAACATTGACAAGCCGCTCATCCTTAGTTTATGCTTTTCAGTAACCACAAAGGAGGGCCAATCGGCTGCTGAACAGCTCGGATGCATGTTCTTCGAAGTTTCCGCTGCAGAAAATTACGATAATGTTCAGGAGGCGTTGAATGTTGTCTTCCGAAGGGTGGCGCTTCACAAGAAATACTTGCGACAGGAGAAGGAAAAGCGAAAAAACACTAATCCACAGATAGAGAAAAAGAAACAGAAATTTGGAAATTCTCTTTTCAACTGGAAAAACGAGAAAAAGAGAAGTCCAAGACGAGCAGACACACTTTAATTTTAAAATTAATGTTCTGTTGACTAGACTGATTTTCGACGACCTAAATTTTCCTACGAGTTATCAAGCTGGGCTAGTAACAGTTTGATGAGGTCTTCTCGTGCCTTTCTTCTTGACTGCGATAAAAATAAGTTCCCTACAAGATTAAAATACCCGAAAAGTGACTATAGGACTCTCTCTGAATCAGTGTTGTTGTCCAAACGCAACGTGTGTACAATACAGAAGGGTAGTCAGCGATGATAGGTTTTTATTTTCCTATTCACTTTTACAAGAAACGAAATTTACTGGTCAAAAACACTTATCAAACGATGATTACCCCACTTTACCACAATTAAGGCCTAAATTCACGCTCTGAGAGCTCTTTTGCTAAAAATCCCTGACAAATCATGAGAAAGGCTTCGTGAAGCTAGCCATTTGTCTTGTAAAACAAACCTGCTGACCTTAGTGGGGTGTATTACGCCCTTATTATTGATTTCATACGCAGCATGCATATGCGACATCAAAAACGCTAGGAGGATAAAAGAAAATTGTGGTCGACTGATAGCGGAAAGGGAAATGGTAAGAACTGGCTTTGGAAAGCCGTAGGCCTATGATCATCTCATGACATACAGATATCCCGAGCGATGCAAGAGTGCACTTCTTGTGCAGCGCTCTGGGTTAGAACAGTTTGAAGTTTGAATACTGCGCGACAGAACTACGTGTATTCATAAATTCCAAATAAAGCCCGTTGTAGTCAATTTAGCACAACTTAAAATAACTAACATCTGCCATGAACGAACGGGCTATAAAAAGCCAATGATATTAATAGAAAAATAGTTGCAATTTTTACACGTATGACACCAAAAGATTCGCTAATTACTTGGAATGTGTACTACATAGTAGGCATAGTTTCTTCTGAACGCCAAATGAAAACTTCACAAGATCCTTTCCCCTCCGAAGACGAGCTTCTAACTAGTAAAAGATCACTTATTGCGCATTAATAAAAATGACTGAGATTATCTCCCTTAAACCAACAAGATCACCGCCACCTCGACAGACTTTTGACTTAACGGCAGTGAATGCTTCAGTAATTTCCAATACACGTATGGGCTCTTCCGTCCTTACGCTGACCTTAATCTGAAGTGTTCAACCGTAAAAAAAAAACAAAACAAAACAAAGAGTACTCAACAAACCATTTTCCCAATGCATCACCCCTTCCATATCCACCCCACCCCCCCCTGTCCCCGCTTCACTACACTTTCATGGCATGCACCTTCGCATCCTTACAACTCAAGTTTACCGCTTAATACTGAAATCACAAGTCATACAGTCTGGTTTCTTTGTTTACTAATCACTGAAAATATATTTACTAAAATAATACAAAAATATAACGTTAGAGTAACACATTAAAGTGTTTGATCCAACAGACTGTAACTTAGGCAAACTGACTAGGAAAGTGTTCCAAACAATACACCTGGCCAGAGAAAACACTGGGTGAGGCAACATTGTTATTCTACGTGCATGCGCTATTTCAACATACAACGCTGTTTCCCGTAAGACACAATTGCACCGGCTGTTAAGCACGGTCTACACCATGATAACTTGTGATAGAAACCTTCTCAAAGAAATTATTTTTAAAAAAAATCTCATAAAATGTACACGATTTCGACACATTCCTCATAATTTAGACTTTCCAGTCGACCAATGAATTGTCTGAAGCCATTAGCAAAATGCTACCCAGAAATCCTAAGCAGCCGTTAAGAAGGTGTGCCATTGACTCCACCTACCTTTCAATAGAGGAGTGAACATTCTCCTTCACGAAATACGCTTTGCAAATAGCTATGAATATTTTTCAACAATATTGACAGAAACTGTTTAGAAAATAATGCCAGCACTTCCTTTAGCCACGACTATTCAACAGCTTTTTTTTTTTTCAAATTTTCTTTCGTATATTCTTGAATCGAGCTCGAGGAATGACCCTCTTGAAACGGTCATAGAGCCTCATTCTCTAAGGTTGAAATGTCAGGAACGTCTCAAAAGCTGACAACAATCACAGTAGTAATTATCAGTCTTACAAGAGTACACAATCAGTATGGCTTCTACAAAAGATTTGCCTCCACAAATAAAAAAAAAAAAAAACTTACACCAACCGATAACACTATTTTAGGTGTCAATTGTTGAACAGAAATAACAGCGTCTTCATTCAGAACAAGGTCACCGACCGTTTTAACTCTCATTTAGGAAATTTTGCAAATTGGAAAAGGAAATAAGTGGTTTAAAATCAAATCCTTCAAAGAAGAGGAAGCATTCAAAGGAATGACCCTCTTGATACAGTACATGTATCCTACTTTCACAGAATTGTCCTTCTTTACTTTCTCCCTGGATAGCGACTTGAGTTACTTTTCTTTTAGATATCACAAGCTCACTAATTTACCTTATCAAGTTTGCAAAATCCCGTTTCCTTCTGATTAAAAAAAGCCAATCAAATAACTTCCTGTCACATAACAAGTACTCCACACTACCAAGATAGCCACTGCGCTTGACACGTAACAAGTACATATGCTATAACAGATCTGTTATGGATTGACAGCTCTACACATAATGACATTTTTTTTTTGGGGGGGGGGGGGGAATGGGGGGTAACAAGTGATAGTTTTCATTTTCCTTTTTTTTTTTCATCAAACGTTCAAACCCTTCTCTCTTGTTAGGAGCTCCAATAGTGTGGTTAACTCGTTATTCATCAAATAGTTGATTGTAAGAAGTATAGAATGACCACTGTAACACACCAATGCATCATAATTGCAAGATTCTAAGCTGGCTTGCAGTCACTCTTTGAGTAAAAATTGTAAGTAAGATAAAAATTGCATGAAAACATCAGTGACACAACACCAGAATTTGTTTAGCACTTGTTGCCCTGAAGATTGAGGAGATCTGGATTTCAATTTTTTTCTCTGTTTGTGTAATTGTTGAAACTCCATTAAAACATCACCTTTGACAGAAATATTCACAGTGGATAGACTTGAAAACAAATAATAACTATATTTCAAAAGAGAGTATGGTTTACTACACAACCCCTTACACAACAAGTAAAAATTCAATACTCTCATAGGCATGTTACTGTATGACAAAATGCCCAAAAAACTTACTAAGATCACCTGATCTTGGTAAGGTATTTTTTCCCAAGCATATCCACTGCAATACTAAGCACATTCTTACTATCTACAAAAAGAACAGCTTTTCAGCAACAAAGCATAAAAATGTCAAGTCTCTTTCCTTAGCCTGTTACCTGTTCTATTCAACATTGCACTACAATGGAAAGTTCCAAGCCAAACTAACTTTTGCTAAATACTTCATAAAAACAGCCTATAACTTTTCAAGCTATACAAACCAAAGAATGACATTATCCATTTAGTCAAACTTGTGCATCCTTTTGTGATAAGCAATCATCAAGAGTGACAATTCAACAATGGCATTATGCTTTACTCCAAGAAGAATTCCATTCCTCCATGTGGAAAATGTGTTAATGTGGAATGGCTGCCATCCATTTGACAAAATCAGTTTAACAAAAATAATTCTACTGCAGCCAAATAAATGAAGATTTCAGCAGTTTGAAGCCTACTTCACTGGTTTCATTGCTGATATTTGACTTATAACTCGTAATAAAGAGCTGTTTTCATCCTTCAAGCGAGCATTCTCTGTCCGTAGTGTTTCCAGCTCCTGATATGAAATAGAAAGAAGAACAATTTTAAATTTCCTGCATAAAGTACCTAGATATTGGCCTTAGAGTAAGTAACTTTTCTTGTCAAGTTAGCAAGATCGATTTGCTGCACATTTCTGTTTTGTCAAACTTGTTTGTACAATAGGGACTTGTTAGTTCAGTGGACAGAAGAGCAAAGTATGCTTATTCCAAAGACAGAGTTGCTTGCTAGAGAAGCTAAGTGCACCATATAACTGCACCTGTTACAAGACATGTCCTCTTAATTGCCTCAAAACTTAACAGAACAGTGACATAACAAAGAGACAAACACAAGTTAATTCTTCAAAAATCATACTTCTGCAAGAAAAGAGATGTACTGCCCACTGTTTTCCATAAAGCTTGTAAGATGAAAGGCAACCCCTCTACATTTCTACTGTGGTTCTCATAATGTAATGTCATAAGAACTTCTCACCTTGTTTGCTTTATCAAGCTCAGATTTGTAGTCTTCTAACTGACTTTCACAATCCTCTATCTTTTCAAGCAGTTTTTGCGTTTGGATGGTTTCACTATCCTTTTGCTACAAATAAAATAATTCCTGAATCACTTACAAGATGGTATTTGACCAAATATTACACAACCTGAATAATATCAGGATTAATAAGCACTGTACAACCACATTTACATATCTACAATCATTTGCTGAAAGGATTAAACGTTTGCAGGAAACAGGCCACTTAATCAACACAGGATGATTATTTCTTTTTCGAGAAACAGCAAAATATGCAAAAAAAAGTTTTAATGTTTATTTAAATAGGATCATGAAGACTGGGAAACAGACTTGTTGTCTGTCTATCCTTCCTGACGAGAACAACTGCCAAGGAATTGTTGCAAAAGTTTAACATGAGTGCATCATCATTTGAAAGGAAATGTGCACTCATGCAGACATAATAGTTGAGAGACTGAGACAAAGACCACTGAGGGGGCTAACTCACCACCTGTTACATCAGAATAGGGGCACTTCCTAATGAAGACAAATTTGCAGGAGGGGTAAGGGGTGCTAAATCCTACCATCACGATAGTCAACTTAGAATTGTAATCATGATTATAATTTTAAGCTTTCACACAGACATGAATAAATTTATACTTACAACTTTTTGCTCTATTCTTTTGTTTGATCTAAAAAAGAAATAGTTCTAGTTATAATTTGTTATCCTTGTAAGTAAACATGATTTTTTTTCCATTAGTGTAATTTGATGAAAAAAAGTTGTAAACATTGAAGTTGGGTTAAATTGTTAATTTTACTTGGGGTGTTAACTACACGGAACCCAAATCAAATCATGTCATCCAATACCAAGCACAGTAAAAATACTGTTGACTTAGACTGTCTCTGCTACTCTGCCGAAGCATCACCCAGCATTCTGATCAAATCATCAGTAATTATTGTGCCATTAAATGCCTCACACTGTATGTAAATATGTATTTAATATAGCACTAGAATCTACAAAAGCAGAAAGCTAAAATACACTAATCCTTTAAAAATAAAATGACCAGCTTCAGATACACACCATTTTAAAAAACTGATGCCAAATTTGAGAGATGCAAAATGGTAAAAAAATTTAGCTTACCCTTTACTTTTGGGAGAATCCTACAGTGGGAAAAGAGAGGACTTGTTAGTAAATTTGGTGAATAATACAATATATTCAACATTTACAGATAAGCTAAATTATTAGGATATTGTTCAAACCTAACCAGCCTTACATTCAACTGAGTTCAGTAACCCAAAGCAGAACTCCTGGAAACCAACATGGATATTCAACACATTTTTTAATAAGTAAAGAAATGCATTCCATCACTGAGCAATGCAACAACTCTCATCACAATATATCACATGTACCAACCAAACTAAACAACTGCGTGCCTCAACAAACTGATTTAAATATCACTTGTGCATTGCACCTAATTCATAAGTTAGAACAGACCTGTCTTTACTGAAAATCTTCTGCAATATTGTTTTACAAAAAACTCTTTTATTTGTTTTGCTTAGCTTTCTAAATATAGCACAGAAGTAAAAGCCACTGTTTTACTACAGGCAAAACTTCCCTTGTCTATGATTTATAAGGAACTGCCTAATATTGGATGATAAATAACACAGCCTGATTGAATCCTCCCTTTCTCTGTGCAATACACTAATAAAAAATTTAGAAGGTAGAAAACCATTTTAAGCTGAAATTCTGGCAAGAAGAGTAGGTACTTAAGTACCTTTCTAGCGAGAAAAAAAAATAACAACAAACTGTCTTACGCCAAGGAAAGATACAAACTACTGCATTTACAAGAATGATCTAATGGCTTGAAAAATTAATGACATAACAACAGAACAATAGAAAGAGCCCAAAGATTTTTCATTTATTCAGTCTAGCAGCTTTTACTTTGTTAGTTTTTGGTCTTAGATGTTCATTTTTGTGACTTAATATAATTTAGCTCCTTTAGCAATACCTTGATCTGCTTAAATAATCTTAAATCTATTACTGACTTCAATTTTATGCTTTCTTTTGATGCACCCACTCAAGTATAATGGAATTTCTCTTGACAAAATACTATGAGACATAATTCTGTGTACGTAATCTTTTTATCTAAGAATGGAAGTGCTTCTAAAATATGTAATCAATGCATCCACTGCCCTGATACTGCATAAACTGGAACAAATATTACACATATAATCATATGATTATTGTTACAGTTTTCCAAATAAGGACATAAATCACCTTGGAGATCTCCTCTGAGAAAAGAAGAGTAAAGTTTTTGAAAATTTTGGAGTTGGTAAGAAATCAACAAGATGATTGAAATAACAGATTTGCAGTTCAAGGAAAATGGACCAAATTTATCCCAAAGCAAACTAGCGTAAGCAAGAAACATCTTCAAGAGAAAGTAGCACTTTCAGTAATAACAAGTTAGCAAACATAGCGAGTAACAGTTCACCTTTGCATACATGTTTAAGCATAGACACAAATCTACTACCACTCTTTCAACAACATCAAAGGAACAACAGATAAACTTCATAATACAGAAAATGGATGATCAACACTGAACAAAATCATTAGATTACCATTTCACTTCTGCTAAAAAACAAAAAGACTTCTTCAACTCAAAGAAGGCCTACAGTCCACGAAGTCAGGCATATGTAACACAGACAACACCAAAACCTCACCATTAATGCTTAAGGGCCAAGAACCAACTGACAGCTCTCATTAGTAAGAGATATTTGATATTTTACTTTGACTGTCTCTTTAAATTCTCAAAAGCAACAGCAAAATAACCTTGTTATCTTTCACTCTCACTTGGTTGCTATCAAGTTTCCAACAGATGCAATTCAACCTCTGCATACTATGTAATCAACCATTAGAATCATTTTACAAGCAGAGAGCTCTGTGTTAGTGGTTGCGAATAATTTATTTAAACCAATATCCTCGAATGCGAACATTTTAAATTACTGTAAAACAAGCCTTTGTTGTCTAAAATAACTCTTGTGAAAAGCAGCCTTATCATTTAAAGAGAGTTTCAAGGGCTTTTAAAATGTCCAGATTTAGGTATACTAAGCATTTCACTGCAGACATTTCAAAATTTGATCCCCGTGAAGTTTACACAGATTTGACAGGAGGATTTAAAGTAACATTCCTAGCTTTTTAACCAACTTTTCTGTATAAACAAGGCAAGTACTTGAAAACCTCAAAGATACACATGACAGTATATGCCACCATGTCTGAAACACTGCATAAAAACACAAACGGATTTTCGCCACAACGTTCGAACAGCACAAACGAACATACACGTAAGCTTACCTCTATGGCTTCATCGTCGTTGGCTTGCTCGTTCTGTTGCGTATTTGCTTTTACTTGCTTCGTATCATCGTCGCCTTCGCTCTGAAAGTGCAAGTAAAATATATCCAGACTACAGCAAGTTACCTGGCTAGAGACGCAACGAATTACATACGAAGGAAGTCCATAAACAGTATTACATTTGAACGCTTAGTAAGTTGTATCGAAACTGGACATCTATAAGATCAATGTACTAATCTCATTGAGTTAAATAAAGAGAGAGGAAGCGAGACAAAGTTTCTGACATACTACAATTTGTCCATAGTAATCGGCTACATTAAAAAATATAATTGTGATGAAACGTTCGCGTTATTCTCGGAAACGTACATGAATTAAACAGACTAAAATTCGACATGTGTTCACAAACGAAAATCGTGCTCAGACAGGGTGAGACACCATGAGACACTCATCATTGCTATGAAACGACTAAAGTCCAGTTATAATCACTGACTTTTTTATGGCAATTACATTTTAATCAAAGCCTGATGTAAGTGGCATTTCTTATGCAAAACACATAGAGATCCGTACACTAAAATTAAGTAATATCATTTACAACATTCAACTACGCTTTCGCATTGGAAGATTAACTTGTCATACTTAAAGCTTGAAATTTTTTAAAAGGCTCTACCTTGACTGAAATGACAAGGAAAAATTACGAAATTAGCATCAAGTCTACAGTTCCCAAAAAATACTGTTTACAAACGTCCATCGATGCGCCCTGTGTAAAACTTTATCACTAGAGTTCTTCTCTGTCACGATGGTAATAAACGAAATAAAGGCGAAATTTGCGTAAACATCTGTTATATTGCCTTGCGCTTATTAATTTCCACTTTTCTTGAAAAAGCACTAGAGCTGGATTGATTTTAATTTATTGTTTAGATTTGCCGATGGCGAATCGCAAATACAATTATACATTTTTTATCACATTCGCAGTACAAGAATGCCAATTTGCAGTAGCCATGAACTCCAAAGTACGAGAGACTTTTACGCTTTTATCATCATGACGAACTTCGGATATCCAGACAGACTAAAGCGCTTCTTATCGTACATGATTTTACCATCGACAGATGAAATATAACTGTGAAAGGAAGCCAGCAAAATTCGAAATAAATGAACACCTAGCTCCAAGGTTTATTGTTCGCGATGCCAAAACCCCACACCACGAGAACTACTCGATAAACAGCCCCGACAGTTCGATTTAAGTATTCTTTTGGACTTTAAAAGCCTGAAATATGTATCAAGAGTGAAAGAAACGTGAAACTCGCTTGATACTTACATCTGCATCGGCTCCACCAGGCATCATAACAACTCCGGTTGACCTTCTTTTTTCCCTCAAATGTCTCTTGGCTTGTCTCTTATGCCCTGCACTTTCGCTCTTTCTGTCTTTTTTGAGGCTCTTCTTCGGCGTTGTTTCCTCACTGGCTGCTGTTGCACCTTCAACAGGCGCCTCGTCGTTCACACTGACATTAGCTTCTTCATCTCTGGGTTTCCGCCTTTCTCGTCTCTCCCTATCTCGTCTCCCCGTATCTCGATCGGCACTACTATTAGCAAGGTCATTGGCAACCCCGTTGTCTTCTAAACCTGGACTCTTGTTTTCCTTCGAAGGCGATGTACTTCCATCTATGACATCACCATAACGATTACCCCTTCGTTCTCGCCGATCAGTTCTATCCTTTTTGTATTTAGACCTGTGTGTTTCAGCGGCATAACTTTCGTCCGACACGTCCGCCATTACTATGACAAGGGAAGCGTTGCAAGCGATAGCTCAACTTCCTGCGATAGTTGTTTGGCGAAGAAACAGCTTCTAGATGCCAGTTATGTCATTAGTCACCGCAAAAATACCTCAAGTATACGCTGCAGACTTTCCGAGTTCAACTTAGCGAAGTTGTGTGGAGGAATTTGGGTTACAATGGGGCTAGAAATTCTTGAAAACAACCCAACCAGGCAGCCAACGTGCATGAACATTACCCAGAATTTGTGAGTCGGGATATACGACATGCGCACAACGATCGGAGCCAAATTCCTCCCGCGGGCGGTGATTGGCTGATCGCGGAGACAATATAACCTAACCAACTGACACACCAAACATGTAATTGGACACCGAATTGAAATAAAATCCCACCATTAAACACATTAAATCGGTATGTGCGTCAATCAAAATGCATGCCTTCCAGAGATTCTCAAATCGTTTATACATTCTGCACGTAGCGTGACTGCAGAGAGGGAAAGTGAGTCGACAAGGGCAATCAGACAACTTTCCAAGTCATTTCAAGCGAAGTTTTCATGGTTTGTGCCCTCATCCGAAGTCAACGAAGCATGTCGAGTGAGCTGGGATGGTCATAATTGAATTTCGTCCTCTTTGTTTACTTAGCACATAAAATTAAACTGACATTGTCCTGCTTGCATTGTTTTTGTGCATCTTCCATTTACACTTGAAAAAATCATCTTTCAAGTAAAAGACCCTCATTGAGAACGTTTTAAGCAGATCTTACGTGGGCTAGCTCAACCGCACTGATACCAAGAGATCTAAGCTGAGGAAGTACTTTGTAGGAGGGTGTTTTTACACCTCCTACGTAGTGAAAGGTGGGATGCAGGGATGGCGAGATGAAGACAAACAACAGGCAAATAGGACTTGAAACCTAGACGATAATGCCAGTCAAATGGCAAGAAATAAAAGCTATCGCCTTTAAGAGATCGTTAAATCACTCGACAACCCATATTTTTGAGGTACTGGATTAGATGACCTATCACGACAGTGAGAGAAAAATTAAAAGTCACAATGCAAGCGCCCCCCCCTCCCTTTCAAAGGTATCCCCTGGTTCTATTTTTGCTTGCTATTGGGTAGAATCTATATCAGATATTCTTCTTTCTCCAGAATAACCATATGACATGGGCGGCGGAGCAGGGGGAACAGGGGGGTGAGAGAGGGAGGGTGGCTCCGCCTCTCCCAGCGAAAATTTGCCGGGGTCCACTACATATCAGTGCCGACGATATTAAAAGCGCAGGATAAAATAACTTTGGCAAAATATTCAGTCTTGTGATTTTTTCAAATCTCTTCATCAGGATCGTGTTAGTGAAATTATTCAAATGGGGACTTTTTTACTTGAACAGCCCCGTTCTGTGTTCAAGAAGCGGACATTAGGGTACGTACTTGGCTTGGTAGGCGTGTTCACAGAGAAGCAAAGTACGTCTTGCGCTCGTGCTACGTACTTCCCATACACTGACAGCGCTCATACTGATTTCTTTAGCATAAAAAGATGAGGATGCTGTGAAAGTCCATGACGGGCGGGTTATCCTCAGGAATTTTGTCCAGCTTCTCTGAAAATTTGTTGGTACCCATTGATACTTTTGGGAAAAAACAACGCATGCGCAATGACACTGGGGAGGACTCAGACCAAGTCCTATACATTGGCCGAAGCTAAACCTTAGAGAGAAAGAGAGGGAGGAGTGCGCACCTGCGAACCACTAGGGCACTGCATCTGGTACCTAGTCGTTTCGTACACAAATTCAGTCGATTCGTACCCTGCATCTCCCTCTACGAGAATTTTATACATTCATCCTTTGAATTTACTCATAAACATATCTGAGAAGTCTTCTTTGTCTTTAAGAACCGCCCCCCCCACCCTCTCCACTTATACCCCTCCCTTTACAAGTTACTGGCTGGGGATGAAAGTACGATTTCCCCTGCGACATCACATCAATTACAAAAAGGTAATTGTTGTTCGTTGCAAAAGTTTCTATTCTGAAATTAACACCTGTCCAAAAGGGGTGTCGTACACTAAAATGGTAAAAATATTCCGTATTTCTCCTATACTGTAATTTTAAATAAAAACTAAAATTCATTTGACTATCTTTCTATACCAAATGGTTATCTCCTGAAAAACATATAAAAGTAACCATAACCCTTTTTATTATTATTATTATTTGAATCCACCCCCTCTCCCCTTCCTCCCCTTCCTCCCCTCCCTCCCCTCCCTCCCCTCCCTCCCCTCCCTCCCCTCCAGAAGGAAGGGACGGGTGACTTTCCAACCATGCTTTCGAGCGGGTTTACTATTGTGTGCGGTTAAAGGGGGAGAGGAGTGGGAGTGGATTTAAATCAACCAGAAAAAATGTTAATCGATGCAGAAGTCATTACTGAGAGGGGACCTGGAGGTGCAAAGCCAATCAAATTAATTTTAAAAACTTATGAATTAATTAATTTTAAAAGCTTATAAAATCCTGAACCCGAGCAACCTACTTATTAAGTTGTAAAATTCTCTCTCAATAAAAATTTAAATATTCACAACAGATTATCAGGTTTTTGATCAGTAATCGTTAGAGGTTCCCTTCGAGGATATATTGTTTCAACAGTCTAGCCACGTAAGTAGGTGTTAGACCCCGTTATGTTTTCTAATTTTTTTAAAAATTGTACAAGAGAACCCTTAAAACAATTGACAAATATGCATCCACGTAAATTATGTGGCATAAAGGATATGGTTACCCTTGGACGTTCAGGTCCAACATTAATTTGGTTCCAGAATATTGTGCACTCTACAATTGTGTTTTTAGGACAGGAACACACTGAGATACGGTCAATAACCACGAGAATAAATTTGTGGAGTTACTTTCGGGCGCAAAAAATAATGTTCGCTGATCACAGAAATGTAACCGTGGAAAAACGGAAAGACGGACGCCTTCGTGGAAGGTGATAACTAGATCAACAAATACTGTTGAGAGGATATGCGTCTGAAAACACCAACAAATGCAACCTACGTTAATTTGCGCATTTTCCTCCACGTGTTTAACTTGAGACGGAACTACACGTCATGTAAACTCCGTCATCCTTTACCTTTTGTCGGCCTTGCCTGTATCGAACCTTCCCATAATGACGCATCAAGGTTAGTGATGTTACCGAGATTAATAATTGACCCTTCTACTAACCTTCCAATGACTGCCATCGTTCGCTCTAAAGGTGCCACAGTTTAAAATCCTCTGGTTCAGCTTAAAAAAAATTTTTCCCTTTTTTTCCTTTCAGTCACTGTTACATATGTGGTTCCGTTAGCCAAGTGTTAGCTCAACCGCAAGGGGATATCAATGATGAAATGTTCTGTTTTTGGTTGAGTCGACATAAGCCTCTTAAACTTGGTAGTTCCGGAATTTCAGGTTGAAGAACGAAAATAGGAAGTCTATTTTCGTCTTTTCAAAGGGGAAATATCAACTAACGATGAAAATTCTAAATGAAAGATAAGAGTTCACACTAAGCCAGAAGAAAAATGTTTAATTGGCATGGATTGGAAAGACTTGTAAACAGCTCTCTCCTTTTCTTTCACTTATTTCAGTTTCTACTCGAATACTTTACTGCTGAAAGGAAAGCTTTCTATCTAAATTGAGGGAGGTTCCTAAATTATTGGGAAATTGGTCAATCAAAATATGCAAAATAACTCCCTTTTGCGTTGACTTTCTTTGCCAAACCTCATCGGAACATGCGCATGACCAAGTCCTCTAGATCTAACATTCCAGGTTGCTTAACCACTGCAATAATTCCCACTTTACTGACCACAAACTGCGTTTTATATTTCCCCCTTTGATTCTAATCTGTTCCGCAGATTTTAATCTATGTTCTCAGTAAGTGGCTACCCATCATCGATAAATAAGTTATAGAAGCGCTTACAAAATGTCGAAATAAATATGTATTTTCGATATTATTTTATTATATGCCACAATAACAGTTTTTACACCCCTGTTGAACGTTAAGAAAACCTCCTCCCCCCTTTTCTTATTCTGACATTTAATCCTCGATCCGGCTGCGTTGACAACGTAGGGAAGACAAGCAGTGACGTAGTATTCCGGCTCAAGTTCGATTCTCTGACCGGTAGAATTAATAACAATCATAATAATGGAAAATAATACCTCGAAAACAAGGGTCGCAGCGCACGTAGGGTTACACCATAATTACAAGAGAAAGGGTCAACTCATGAATTCGTGACGTCACAACTTTCCATAAGTCTTCCTGACATGGCATGACTGAGTTAGATGTGGTATCCACCCAGGTACATGCAAGCCGAAGTAAACAAAATTAATACTTTATTGCTTTTGGAAGTAAGTTAAAAATGACTAAAAACTGGGAAGTCCAATAAGAAACCCATAACACTCTTTCCCGCACGCTCCTCTACCGGTCCCTGTGATGAAAAGGCTTTACGAGGTCATAGGTTTGTATTGCTTAAAACCCTATATTTTCATTTCAAATTTCCTTTGACCCACCTACCCTGTCTACTTTGATTGTCTTGAAATTATTTAGCTTTCCTAGCCCCGTTGATATATCAAGTTGGCAGAGAAATAGGATCAGACCCTTCAACTGCTCCGTTGTGATACATTGTCGTACATAATAACTCCGTCCACGCGTGGTTCTCGAGTCTTGACTTCTCCGGATTCCGACTCAAGCACACCAACCTGGGTGATGTGAGTAGGACACCGGTATGTCATTTAATCAGTCAGGTGCAATTATCCCCAGGCGATCGATCCATAGATTAATTGCTGGATCAATAAATTGGTTAACCCTTTAACTCCCAAGATCTCATTAGTAATTCTCCTTACTGTCTCCCATAGAGTTCTTGTGATGTTAGTTTGGAGAATTTGGTATTAGGTCAACTTGTTGTCCCCTAGTTGATATTTATCTTTATTCTCATCACTTGTCTTCTTGAAATTGTGTAGATATTGTGGTTATTTAAATTTGATAACTTTAACTTTTAATCAAAAGGGTTAAAAGAATGATTGATCAAGCGAGACAATTGACTAAGAACTTCTTTCTTTGATGACATCAAAGTACTTGAACACGCTGGCGGTACCAGTAACTCAACCATGAAAGGAAAACATGCACGAGGGCATTCGCACATAAATCACTGTGCAAATCATTCCTGTTGCTTAGCACCCTCGTGCTCTAACCGCTTCAGATCTGGCTGACCCCCCTCACGTTATCGATAATGTGAACATGCCTTAAAGAGTAAAGATGGTCCTGTTGCCTTACTCCCTTTTAAGTTCAAGGTTTCTTTCATTCGACACCACCCAATTTTAACGACACATAGCAAACTCACCAATGAAGTCGTTTTATCCCTGGGTGCAAAAACTCACCCCTTACATTTCAACCAAAAATATTCAAAGAAAAAGTGGTTAAGGACAAAATCCTAGGAGAAGCAATAGTCCAACGCACCACAGTTGAGCAAACGTACGCAGAACTAACACGCCACACAAAACAAGATTTATAAGAGACTGGTATATTTATAGCAGTTAGGGTTCGTATTCAACACAGAACCAACAAAGACGGGACAACTAATCAAATAAGATTAATTATTTTGTCCATAATCATGTAAAATAAAAGACAGAGAGCTACTCGTACAGCACTGTCGTACAAAGCTTGCCGCGCTAAAGTACAGAGACTGTGACCTGTTCAGACGTACAGGCCCTCGAGGCTCTGAGGAGGTAAAGCCAAGTTCTGACCCTTAATTGAAACAAAGTGGATTCCACTCATATAAGGAAGGATCGCCTCAGTCATTAATTTGAAGCCTGATTTACCGAAACAAGTTGACCGCCGTAACTTAGCGCAACATTCCGATCTGAAAAGTAAAGATAAAACTTTGATATTGCGGAGTACTTATGCCGAAGCAAGTTTCCAGGAATAACACCTGAAGTTGCCTGTGGATTCACAATCATGGCTCTACCTCGTTCCAGCAAGCGCATTAAGTTAAATTTCATACATTCAGTCGGACAAATAACACTCGTTCTTGTCTTATCCAAAAAAATGGACGGACAAACCTTCACGGATCTTGTTGCTAGATCATTAAACTAGTACTCTAGCTACAAGTCAGGCAACAAAGAAATTATGGCTACGGGATTCCGCCCGAACTTGTTCTTATGTCCCTGACTGCCCTAAAACCAATCACAGACTAGCACACTACCCTACCCTCCTGTGCAGCCGCCCTTTTGGCTGTCATGCAGTCAACCCATCCAAATGAAAAGCAGGCTGCGTGACGAGTCAAAAATCTACGATAGCGCAACTGAAGCAGCTCTAATTACGCTTAACCCTAACTAATTGAGATCACTGGAATTTATACGCACAATAACAACGATACAATATAATAAATGTTAATTTCAATACAATTATATTTGCGACGGCGCCAAACATTTTCTTTTTGAGATAACAGGTTCCTTTTGACTGCTATTAAATTCGTCTTTTCTTCTTCTTGTCTCTTGACTAATCTGTATTTGCTCTAAATCAAACACAGAATCGCGCGACATAGTCGAAAAGGCTCGTATTTGTATTTTTTTTTCTTTCTTTCTTCCTACCAGAAGCAAGCACTGTTTGGTTTTATTGAATCGTCTATGCAAAAAGTCGTACAAAACTAAACTTTACTACAGTAGTTGAACCTTTAGCAATCGGATTGATTATCATTAATTTGTTATTCTTATTAATATCACTGAACCCTCAAGAGTGTAACAAAATAGAAAAGCTTCTAGCAGACAAAAAGTTCTGCGTAACTAATGAAAAGCACTTCGGCCGTTTAACTAGAATATACACTTATAGAAAACTGCATTAGAAATAAGCAGAACATGGGCTTTTTGAGGGAAGTTCACAAATTATTCAATTGTAAAATCTATTTAATCTTCCTTTGCTTACTTTGTGTACAACGTTGCAACTGATCTCCGTTATCTCTCTTACTGACTCACGTCCAATTACAAAACATACACATACCTACATTACAACAAGGGAAAAAACGAACCCAACCAAGTCCTCATTATTGTACTATAGGCTGGCGGGGAAGGGAAGACTTTAATCAAAATCCGACCTTCCCCTGCCACCCCTCCCTCCTAGCATAATTAAAGAACATCTAAGTTGTGGTCTCGTACTGAATAAATAGGTACAGTTTAAGACCAGGAAAGAGGGGTTATCACATATCGGCATTATCAAGTTCTAAATGTCTCTAGTTTGCCTTACTAACACCATGGTTGCCGGTCAAGTGGGAGGTCGTGATAACTTGCTTATAACACGGATTAAGGCACCGTTCTCGTCTTTCAGCCTTTGGTTGTCCGCTTTCAGGTCCGCTAGTTGCTATCGGAAATAAGGTCAAGTGATTAGCCACGAAAGCTGTCAAAAATCTGCCACTGCAGCGGACAAAAGTAAATTGACTGGGCATGAAGGGGTAGGGGAAGAGAGGGGAGAGGTTAATGGAAGACACCTCAGTAAATTGTGTGGTCAGCCATGAGGAATTTTTTAACACCTGGATGTGGTCATGGCATTCGCTCACGGTAACACTACCTCAGGTCTAAAAAATCTTCTGGTTAAGTCGCGACACGGTGGAAGCTTTTACAACATCGTTATCTTTTCACGCCTTCTCTGCATACATACACCACACTGTTGGATAATGTTGGACATGTCACACCGATTTTTCAGATAAAAAGCAACAACTAAAATGAAAGCTACCACGATACAGAAAGATAAAAACAAGCTAACATGAAGATACTACAAGACACACTTACCTTTAAGTCGTCCTCTACGTTTGAGTATTTTCTTTCAAGTTCCTCTTTTGCCTGCAAAAAAATGCCAACGATTAGACATGGTTTACTTGTACACTTTCCTGTTACATGGTTCAAACTCAAAACAATTCAATACTATAACCTACTTGTAAGGCCTTTTCTAGTTTAACTTTGTATTCTTGAATTTCCAACTGTGCTACTTGTAATCTTTCCTTTAGCTTCTGAGGATCTGTTTCTGCTATGATGGTGTTGGCCTGATGGAGAAAAATACCAAAAATTGTATAGATATTTCTTAGTAATTGATTCTTTTACAGCTATGGCACTGGTAATAGGTATTTTGTTTTGAAGTTGGCACAAAAATAACTGAAAGGTTCTAACCTTGGAGGTCCCAAAGGGTCCTTTCGAATCAATGGTTCTACTAAAAGGAAAAGATGAGAAGTTTAATGAGTGAAAGCAGTTTACAAGCAGCAGGCCTCGGATACGCCTGTAATTGCATGAAAACAACCATTCAACTTTTCAGACAGCGCTGCACACGAACTACTACCAAATAAAAGACAAACTAGAATCGTACCTGCCAACTCTTATTCTGTCCGTGGTGCTCTGTGAAAGGAGGAAACATGAAATGAGAATTGTTTTTTTTTAATGAAGAGCCAATCGGCCGTGGCAATTTTGTCATCAAGTCCTGCTTCCGCTAATAACGGTTAGGAAGTGTGGTTAAACTTTACCCTGTGCCAGCTGTATACTTCTGTGCCACGCCCAACACATACCTTATACTCGTCGTGTCTGGTTTCTTGTGATCGTCTCCTGCTGGCCAAGGAGGCTTTCTCGTCATTTTCCTCATTTAGCTTTGTGTTCTTTTTTGGGTCTTTGGCCTCTTCAGTTTCTTCCTCGTCGCTCTGGAAAAACGACCGAGCGAAATGGTTAGGAGTTACAGTTTACAAGAAGGCTGCTAAGTCTAAAGAAACGTAATTGTTCGAATAAAAGCTGGACACCTTCCATTTACCCACGTGCTATACGATTCCTCTAACTCGATCTGAGAATTACTGATAGGAAGCAAAAACCTCGTTGAAATAGTTGAAATAAAGCTAAAATAATTTGACTATGATGCTTTTCCAATAGATCTTACGGGTTGGGAAAAGAAGACAGTGGTTAGCTAAGGTGGCGTCCTATTCCAAAGTACGCTAAAAATACCCACCCCTACGCGGCGTTTATCTCCACTTATCCCTTCGCTCTGACGAAGGGCTAACACTTGAAAAGTCAGCTTTTTTTACTCTTTACGGTGGCCAATTTATGTTTTCAACTCAGTTGTTAACACTAAATAACCTGCTTTACTTTCCCATCGACACAGCACCACAGTCTCTTTAGAAACTTACCCCCTTTATTCGTTTATCTCTTTGCCTCCTGGCCCTTCTTTTTTGCGCCGCAGCCGATGCAGAGGAGTCATCGTCCTCCTTTTCCTTCTCTTCCTTCTCTTTTTCCTTGTCTTTTTCCCTGTCTTGCCTGGGGCGGCGATAACTTGGCATCTCAGTCTCGTTCTCCTTCTCCTTTTGTCGTTCCCTTTCCTTTTGTCGTTCTCTCTCCCTCTCTTGTTCTTTCTCCTTCTCCTTTTCTCGTTCCCTCTCTCGTTCCTTTTGTCGTCTCTTCCAATCCGGTATCTTAGCTTCTTCGTTTTTGTCCTCAACTGTTTCACTGGGTCTGCTCCGCCGGCTCAGGTACGTGTCAGCAGTTGAGGCTAGTCTCGTCGACTTCGTCTCTTCCTTAGAGTTCCGCCGCACAGACGTGTCCTACGACATGCAAAAACTAACAATGACAATGCTCTCTGGTAAAAAGTTTGGAAAAAAAACCGAAAGAATCTTGATATCTCGATGAAGTTACAAATAGAAAGGCAGGTGGTCAGAAACCAGAACTCAGGCCCAATGCTCGCCTGTACAGATAAGGAAGAGTATGGGTCAAACACATGAAGATTTCTTGACTACGACTGTTATTAGCAGCCACAAAACCCTTCTAACCGAAGTTTGCTATTCACCTGGTGGTTCAAAATAGTTGCTATTTAAGAACACAGTTGTGAGTTACTAACAAAATACCCCCCTTACTTCTCTTCAAACAAAGTCTATATATCCTTGCCTCTCCCTTCCCCGTCTGGAAAAAAAGTTAAAAACATTTTCGCGCGCGTGTAAAATACTGCAATAAGTTCAAGGTAAAGACTAATGCCCTCACCGTGCTAAAAAAGTATGCTGACACTTGTAGATACTTAATGAAAAAGCACAACACTGTTCGTTAACATGTACGGATCATTTAACGCAAAATTTGGACCAACATGGCTATTCTTACTCTAGAGACATACGAAGAAAACATCGTACCAAACAAATATGATAAAAGAAAAAACAAGGAAAGTCTTGCCACAAGGGTTTGTATATAATTAACATTAATCATAGCGATGGTTGGAGCAGTGGAGTAAAACTGTTACATGAAGAATGTTTACTCTAGCCTTAATTCTGCAAGATATCATGAACCTTCAACAAAACTAAGTTAGAGGGAGTAAGTTTCACTGAAGGTCCACGCGTAACAAAATCAAGTGGCGTCTGGACCAATTAGCAACATTCAGTTGACCACTAATTGAATATACCGCCAGTAGGTAAATAACGACAACTCCAAAAAACAGGCTTTGGGACAAGAGCTTTGCCCCTAATGTACATATTTCAGAGGTTAAAACGCCCCCGGACGTCCAGCTCTGAGCTAGCGTTAAATTACCTGAACATGCTGATGAAAATCAGTAGGACAGCGAGGGAAGATTGTAGAAGGTAATTCAGCTGTTCTGAAATGGCCAGCAAATTAAACTTGTTCACTCACATTAAAATACGCTAACTGTAAAAGGAGGTACGCTTCATCGATTGTTTACCACCGAATCGCATCTGACTTATTGTAACTTCTGCTTTCCAAAAACAGAAGTAAATAATACCAGTATGAAGTTTACATTCCCTACGCGACTTGACATATTTGCCCTGCTGACAAGAACGTCAGATATTCGCCCTCACAATAGTTACGTCCAACATCTGGTCTTAAAAAGAATTACCCACCGCAAATCAATGAATTTCTACGGCCCTGCAGTCATCATTCGAAGACCTGACTTTAAAAACCGCGATTGGGCTCTCGCTCAAAACACCGAATATGTTTGTTAAGCTCTGACAGACGGGAGAGGTTCATTGTATGCAAAATGGGTGTGAATGAAATGCTAGAGATAACTTAACACAAAGCTAATTAACCACTTTAGAGCCGATTATTTACCCCTATCAGAGGCCCTATCTGGATAAATAATTTCTGACCTGTAACAAAAAATGCTGGCGGCTCGTATCTGAAGATATTAACAAAATAGCAATTTCATTTAGAGCCAATTTCTGTCATCTTGAATAATAATGCACGCAAGAGCTTTGGAAATGCAACAGAACGCAATCTTAGACTATTAACGCCTCACCGAGAGGTACAGATGTTAAGATATTTGCTAGAATTAAAATAAAGAACCCGCAGGATATTAAACTTTCTGTTTCTCAATAGGCTATACACTTTATCCACGCTAGTGTCACCGGCGAATAAATACAATGTGTTGTTGATAATGGAGAAAAGAACTTTTGTAGTCAGCGCCGCGGCGAACATGAAATATGTCGGTCAATAGAAATTAATTTAGCTTGACTCTATCGCAATGAACACGTTGATGAAATTACTCTTCCCATTCTGCAAAGATTGCATCCTGAACACTTCATTCCGTCCGCAAGAAAAAGAGTGCTTTTCACCACAGGATGGTGAACAGATGATTAAACTAGGCCTAACCAGATCGATAGCAAATTCGGAATGCAAAATATCGACTGTTGACAAACAAGTACAATGAACGCAATTTTTTCCGATCGAGCGATGGTCGCTCAGGTCGGATTAACAGCCTAAGAACCAACCAAACAATAATTTCACTTCATAATCCCAACTAAAATACGACCGCTTTGAACCTTGGAGAATGCGTTACCTGAGTTCTTGACGTATAATTCTTTTGACTCCCATAGCTTGGTTGATCGAACCGACGAGTTAGGTACGACATGAGCGGAACTTCGTGATCACCCCTCGATCGCACAAACAACACTCCAGCGGGACAACTTCCAGCTCAGGCTGTGAAGCCACTAGTCTCCACAGTACACTACGCTGAACAACTTTAAGTCTGGCTCAAATTTCAGTTTCGCCATTTTTATTTCAATTGTTTTAAGCTCGACCAGAGAGGCTCCTATGAATAATTAATAGCTAGCCGGACTAATTAAAAGAGCAAACCTCCCCCACGCATTTGGCAAAGAACCCTTTGACAACCAGCATATAACGAGCCTCTTCGTGGCATTCTGTCAACACAATCAACAAGTAAATCCCTATGTTATCTTAAGTTGTTGCAACGATGCATACCTGCATGATCTACAGTAATTCAGCGCGTCGGCATGTTTACTCTGGTGTGGAATTTATGACAATACTGCTTGATTAAGTTGGCACGCCATTCGGTGAGGGTGCAGGCAATTCAACACCTTGCAAATTAGTCTGTTTCTAATCCCCGTCTATTCTTACACCTTTTGTCATAATGGTTTTTTATTCCTTCAAATTTTCATTCGTATTTAGCCAACAGAACAAATATTTAGACAACAACAATAAAATTAGAAAGGAAAAAAGAAGGATAGGGAACAAAAAAAGAGAGAAAGGAAAGAAATATATATTTTACAGGTTATTACCTGAATCAAAAAAAATTCTGAATGAAAAATAAGTATAATAGTACATTGCTTAGCGAGATCAAACAAACCGCCCGAGGCTGAAAGGCTGGAAGGCAGAAACATGATACACAAAATAATATTAATAATAAAAAAAATGATAATAATAATAATAATAATAATAAAAATTTAAAAAACTGAGGTTTACAAAGACGACAAGCCCTGTTGCGAGCCCTGTTGTTCACCAGCAATATCGTTGCATACTTGTCCTTTAATAATATAATGACGATAATAATAACAGTATTAATGACAATAGAACAGAAAAAACGACAATTAAAGCGCTAAAGCAATGCGCGCCCTCTTGTTCATCAAAAATAATGCTGCATGCACGAAGTATTACCTTCTGTTCCTCTGCTCCCTTCCTGTGGGTCACATCATTACTCTTGCCATCTTCTCCGTTCATTTCCTCACCTTCCTCATTTCCCCTTCCGCTATTTACTACATAAGAGGTACTCGCCCTCTCAGTGACCTTCCTGTTCTGCCGTTTTGTTTTTGGAAGAGCGTCCTCGCTAGGTGTGGAGCTAATTACGCTCCGAGCCGCACTAGTTGTAGTTATGGTCGCATTACTCGTAGTATCAGCCGTAGTACGAGTTACGTTGCTCGCAACCCGTGGTTTAGTGTCTTCTTTACCATCACCCCTATCACCGAACCTTGGAGTCCTAGAGGGTTCAGTTTTTGAAACAAGTGAAGAAGGATTGTTTGCCTTCTTATCATTGTCTAGGAAAGGGGATTTCAGAAGCTTTGAGGTGCCTCCCACCGCTACTTTAGATGGCGCACTAACAGGCGCGCTCGGAAAACGCGACGACGCGGACGGTCGCGACGTAGAACTTGTTCGCGTATCAGGTTTGACCGGCTCTTCTTCCTCCTCCTCTTCAGAGGACTCTTCAGTTTCACTGCCGGTTTCTTCCTCTGAGTCGGACTCATCCGCTGGTTTTTTAAGCGAATTAACCGCAGAATTAGCTGAGAGAGAATTGACCGTCGGTCTGGTCCTGGAAGTATTCGAGTTCACAGCTGGCTTCCTACCCCTCCCCTCTTCCTCTGAATCCTCTTCACTGGACTCTTCAGAGCTGTCCTCCGTATCGGATTCGGAACCACTGTCATCTTTGTTGAAACCGTCTGATTTCTCCTTCTCGTTTTCCTTGTCCTCTTTGGGCGAGTCGTCGAAACTCGGCGGTCTGGAGGTGCGGCTCTTAGGGGAGGTGGACAACTGCTCCTTGCTAGCTTCCATCTGTGCCCTCTCCTGATTGATGTCCCTGAGAAAAAGGTTTTGGTCCTTTATTCTTGTTATGGAGCTCCTATGAAATGAAGAAGCCACAGAAGTTGCATGAATAGAAGTCTTGCAGGACTGGCACCACAAACACCACGCACTGGAATTGATCTCTCTGCTTCTCGAGGATCAATCTGTGCTTGGTGTCCAAGAAACCGATTCTTTCGGAACAATTACGACGGATACACTGCGTTTCATTTTCAATCAAATTCATGCATTGTCATTCCGAGTTTCAGGAATTTGAATAATTGTTTTATTTAGTGCCAGTCCGCAAAGAAAGGAAGTCAAGAACACCAAGAGAGACCCACATACAAAGAGTTACGCATCAAGTAGATGAGATAAGTGAAAGACGCAGCAAAGAAGATGAGCCCAAAGAGCAGTTTCACGTACAACAGCAAGCTTACTCGGTCTAGAGAAAGAAGCAGTGCAGCTCAAGAGAGTGTTAGTACAGTGTTAGTATCAACTTTTACATACAGTAGTCCAGGGTTGTTAGCAGGGGGTGCATTACGCCGCAGTCTAGCTATAGATGTTTCAGATAGACTGAAAAGGAAGGAAAAATAAAAAAATTTAAAAATTCAGTAACTATTACAGGGCTAAGGTCATGTTAGACCCGTTAATTTTCAAATTCAAAACGAACGAGCGAGTTAGGTCGTTCTTCAGAAACAGCTTAACATTGTAACTGACCAGAGTTTTCTACAATGTACAGTAACTGTTGACAAAGAGAGGGAACAATACTGTTGATATTAATGTTAGGCTCACAATTGTACCTATCCGCTGAGAAATAGACAACCCTGGTGTGGGGGGAGGGCAGGGGTGAGGAATACAACATTTGTTACAAAACATCAATGTAATATTAGGGCTGTTTGCCGAGCAATGTCAGCTAACTACAAAGGAAGAAAGCCTTCTTGACAGAACAGGATTTAAGAACAGCTGGAGAAGTGTTTGGCTTAAAGCTTGCTCTGCACCAGTAATCCAAAAAATCATTTGCAAGCAAAGATTAAGTTTTGCTGTGAACAGAGGTTATTTATCGTTACGTCCCTTGGCTGGAAGAAAGCACTAAAAACAGAACATGCATATATCAGGCAAAAGTTACTTGCAACTGCACTGCTCAAGGTTGGCACCAAAAAGGAATAATAAAAGAAAGTATCAAACAATTCACTGTCAACATGCAGTTACAGAGTAGATCACAACAAACAGTTAAAAAAGGTCTGTTTGTCACAAAGAAATTTTCAGTGATGATGAATGATACCTTAGTGGGAGCTCATTGATTGAAGAGATCAAAGGAGAAATAAGCTAAATATGGTTATTACATGTTCTTCCTTGATAAGTGTATAGATTTAATAGCAAAAACACACTGGGTTCTATTTGTCATTCTGTGAAAATTCTCTAGTAAAAAAAATACATTGTCCGAAATAACATAAATATTAATAACAACCCCTATTCCATAAAATAGCTGAATAAGGTGAGCTAAACAATTTTAACACAAGACATGACATCTGCAAACACTAACACTAACACTAACCGTCTTTTTAAGGGAGCTGGTCCAGATTCCATATTGCTTTTAATGACTGGTGTTGTTGACTGTTGAAGGGAAACAGTAACACTTACTGTATGAGGAATGCTATGCCAACAAAAATAAGCCAGGAGATTGGATATACTCAAACCAAATCTATTGCTGTCTGACCTTTAACTCACCCTGTCTAGTCAATTCTTAATCGTACAACTTGACCTACACTGACAATTTCTTGGAGGTAATCAGAGCAACCACTCAATTACTCTTTAATTTGTTAAATGTTTCCTTACATGCTATACGCTTATCAAAGCACATCACAGCTTCCATAATGAGCACAAATACATAAACAAGTCACCCTACTTACCGCATTGATCTTTGGCTTATCCTTTTGCCTTTTCTTAAGCTCTTCCAGCATTTTAACCATGTCTGGTTCTGCCAGGTCGATAGGTGTTGAACCCTACGGATGCATCAGTAAGAGCTACAAAACTTTCAACTTGCTTACCTACCCATCTTACATATGGACAGACAAAAAGACAGACTGATTTACTAACTGTCTGGACAACTCAAAGACTGCCTGACAGATTGACTCAATCCCAAACAGACAAGCATAGAGCCAGACAGAGTTCATTGACTGTCTGACTTGCTGAGTCTAAAAATGTTAACCATGCATATTACATGCTACACGATAGTGAAAACAGTAAGGAATGTGATTCAATTCTTACAGGTCAATTGAGTACTCACCAGTCACAAAAAAGGTTAAAAACCAACGAGAAAACCTCAAAACCACAGAGTAACTGCCTTTTCTGTTTGTAATTTAGTTTTCTGAGGTCTAATTGGCTTTTTCTTTGAAACCCTATAATATTCCATACACATTTCTCATGATCACGGTTTTCTGAATTTCAAAGCAACATCATCTTTACAATTAAAAGATGGCAATCAAAGAGAAATGTATACTGATCATGCTTAATTAAGAGCAGACACTGAAGACTGTAAAAGGTGAGGATATTTTGGTATTGATTTAATGGTTACTAGAACACATGTATACATGTACATCTCTTGAACATCTTACCGCATTACTCCTAGCACTAAAGTTGGCTCCATGATCAGCGAGTACTTCACATGCATCACTTTGCCCCCAGTGAACTGCTGCATGTAATGGCGTCCAGCCATCATTGTCCTTGGCATTGATGTCAACACCAAGTTGAAGTAAAAGACTGAGGAAAAACACAAGAGTGAAAGGAAAACTAATTAATTAAAAGTACTGTGTACAAGTATGTCACTGACAGAATGTCATGAATTTGCTAATTAACATTATTATGTACCATGAAAGTGAATGGTGTGTTTTTAGTGTGGTTTTTGTACAATTCACCTCGACGCAACTGCCTATTATACCTTTAGCAGCTTATGCAAAAAGTTATTGAAACTCCTGCCTAAGTGGCCAGCCAACCTACCTAATAACTTGTAGATAACCTTTCGATGCAGCAACATGTAATGCTGAAGCACCTAAAGAGAAAAACATTAGTCTTAGTATGCTTAAACTGCAACTCTTATGTACTACTTCAATACCGCTCAGATATATATTAATAAAATGCATAGATGTGCCCTGATCAACTCAGCAAAAAGGAATGCATTCCACAAAGGCAAAGACCCCAAACAACAGGCAAATGTTTTTTTATAACAGTTTATAAAACATACATGTAAAGGGCATATAAAAGAACTAGCTAATGCAAATTGATCAAAACCACAGATAGTCCTCTAATGGACAACAATAACTTTAAAAAGTCTTCAAATGACAAGGAAATCTTGACCATCAGTTTTACCTGACATAGTTGGGAACTTTTCGTCACCTTAATCTGATGAACCCCCCCCCCTTTCTTCCTTAAGGACAACTGTATTGTTTGATGAATAAAGCCTAAGGGGTTTGGATTACCTTTTCACTTAGAAGTAAAAACATTGTGCCATAACTTCACCTGATCTATCTTTAATTTCATTTATTGTTCTACCATTCATCCAACTCTGAGCATCTTCTAACATTATTCTCTCCTCTTTACTTCTTGCTTCTTCAACATCAATTCCTGAAGGCATAAGATGAACATTTCTTTTCATCACAATAAAAAAAAAATTTACAGGCCAAAACAAAACTAACATCAGACTCCCACAATCTTTACAATAGATATTTAAAATGCTGCCCACTGTGGGACTTCCTTCATGTCATAGTTGGGCAGTCAATCAGTTGTGCTGTGGTGGGGGTGCTTGTAGTCTTCATAATCTGTCACTTATTGGCTGATCACAACAACTTCAGAACCATCAGGCTGCTGGTACAGTAGTTAACCCTTCAACTCCAATAAGTAATTCACATGAAACTTCTCCCTTTTAATATCCATGCGTCATCATCAAAAAGGTAAGAATACTCAGACTTATCAGGAAGTTGTTTTTCTTGATCTAACGCCAAATTCTTGCAACTAATTTACAAGGAAATGTAAAAGCAGCTAGAGGAGAGAATTACCAATCAGATCTTGGGAGTTAAAGGGCTAAAATAATCAAAAGTTTTAAGGTAATAAAGCCATATGAGTAAAGACCTGGACCTCAAATTTTAATTCATTAGTTCAATTCATTAGTTACCAATACCACTGAGCTACAAGGTTAGCTTTCCATCATTAACATCTTACAGCTTAATAAACAGACTTTATATATGTATTAACCACGTGGCAAAGCTGGAAAATAAGAGAAATACCTCATGTGGGGCCAAAAAACTCTACATGTATCTACATGTACACTTATGCCACATCAATTTTTATAATGGTTGTATACTGTACATACTTTTTGTTGTTGTAAAATATACAAGTTGTATCTGGTGAGTCTTTTATTACTAACTGTTATTGACTGTACTGTACTTGTATTACTGACTGTACCTCCCCTCCTCCAGAAAAAATCTTAATTTTTGCAGTCAACGTGAACAGTTATTGACTTACACCATGGAAAGAGAAAATCAGTTTGAGATACCTTGGAGTTTGTGAGAGCAGAGAGCAAATATTGAAACTTCACTGTTAAAGAAATGGCCACATGTTCAAGTTAGTGCAAAGTGAAAGTTCGACACAGTTTGAGCCCACATACTGTTGTTGCACTGTTGAGTATTTTGGTGGTTCTGTGAGAATGTAATCATAGATGGTAAAAAGGCATTTCCTACACTCCTACACTTTTTAGAGCGAAACATGGCAGCACCAAATCTAGTGGAGTGTTCTATTAGCTTCAACAGCCAACTGGCCAAACTCCAAAAATATAATTTTCCATTTTGCTCACGCAATGGCAATATGATAAGGGATAACTGCAAAAAGCTGACTGGAAGTTTCGTTAAACAGCAATTGAAGGATTGTTTAAGGGAGTATGAATCATTTTAACAAGACAGGGGTTAAGAACTAGCAAGGTAATGCAATCAACCATGTACAGGGGTTCCTGAATATTGCTAATCACTACACCGCAAAATCAAAAGGTCGAAGATGTCAGCCCCTCCCCTGCCCTGCCCTACCCTAATAGTAAATCTCATCAAATACATTTTCAAAGATCCCTTTAGGAAATATCTCCAAATTAACAAAACATTTGGTGGAGAATGAAAATGCATGACACATTTTTTAGGCTCCAAAAGTTGAGCCAGGAAATAAAAACTCTGAAAACTTATGACTTGCAATAATAGAACAAATCCAAGGACTTAACTGATATATACAAGAAGATAAAAGAAAAGAATCCAGACGCATGACTGTATGAGACAAGGAAGGTCAAGCTTTTTGGCAGAATGTGTAATTTGATAGTAAATTAGGACAGCATATAATTTTTGTCTGATTTACTTCATCCATGATGCCGACTACATCTTTTGTTTATTTCAAACCCATCACCAAATATTATGACATGCAGTAACAAGGGAAAATAAAACTCAAAACAGGAACAAAATTGAGCTCTGATTTATGTACCTACATTGATACCCTTATGTGCTAAAAAGTGAAAGAGGAGATCAGTATTGCACCAAGGGGGTGCTCTTTGAGATCTACATTTATTTAAAATCTCAACCAACAATTCTACCTTGTGTATCTCTTGAGTAATATTTTCACAAAAACAAATACCTCCATGATAAAGTTGTCCAAAAAATTTGATTCCCACCATGGCAACCTACTCAGAGCACTAAACATTTAAACTTGTCTTGAATACTTCAATCGATAAATCTCAATACCAAAATTTGCTTTTACTTTCAAAGGCCGGTGACAAAGGGAAAAGTTATCAAAGTAGAGAACATACTATCAATCATGCAAAATGCGAGCAAAAATTTAAAGCCAAAAAAACAAATTGGGGCTTTGAAAGAGACATGGAATCTTGGGACACTAATCATTAAAAAAGAACTGGCAGGCTACAGGTAGTCCAGTTTAGAGAATTAATAGGTCAATTCTTAAATTCCAGAGATTAATAAAAATGGAACTTTGTAAAATTACAAAAGGGTTTTCAAAATTTGTTTTTATTATTTTTCCATTGAAAAGACTGAGCAGACAATCTTACTAATGGCAGGTTAACTAATCATTACAGTAGAACCCAGTCTAGTCAAACACAGTGTACTTGCATAGATTAAGAAAATAGAGCTTGATTCTATCATCAGCATGGGACCAAGGAAATAACTGAGCCCCCTTCCCCAAAAGAAAGAATAGAGCCCCAGACCTTTAGGTTTCATGCTATGATAATATGCCATTGCACCAAAGAGTCTCAACTTTGAGATGGAAGAAATACTTTCTTTCTTAACTACATACCTAATCTTTCAATTTCTTCTGTTAAAAGATCCTCCATGTCATCTTCCTCTGCAAGATCCAGTGGTAATTCCCCTTCATTATTAACAGCTGCCACATCTGCTCCATGATCAAGTAAACATCTACAAATCAACAAAACAGAATCATGTTTTGAGTGTACATGAAGTAGAAACACTTTCAGTACTAAGTTTGCAACTTATAATTCTATAAAATATTCAAAACCTGAAGAAAAATAATGCCTGAAATTTAGTCTTAAGGCCTTCACTCTCCTTGTAAAATACTCTTGGCAGCCAACCAGCAGAGTTTTTTCCCTTAATGTTCCAGAGAGGAGCATATGGGAAAAGAAAACAGAATAGAGAAAAAAAATTGATTTGTTATCAATATGTATGGATACTTAGGCTTGCCTTGCCTGGAAAACTTGATAAAGAAAATCAACTTTCTTATTAAAACCTTGGATCGCTTTTCCCTAATTTAATCATAATATGAAATATAAGAATATCTACACCGTGTTATTTCGGAATGTCTTTCTGTGACTTGACTTTAAGGCATAAGAAACATTTCTGTGATATTTATGAAACCCTCACACTGGCCTCTCCACCATCCTTTCATGTTTTGAGACACAAAAGTAGGACTATCCCTCCGGAAGAATCAGAGTGTTTATCAAGCTCTGGAGATCAGTAAATTCTTTGACTTTCATGCATAATCATCCACCTATATTTAAATTGCCTGATTTTTTAACAGAAGTCAAGGGGTGAGATGTCGTTATTCCTGTGTCATTTAACACTTTTCCTCAGTAACTAATTACCAAATGAAAACTCTACCAACAAAGTGCTCTCAGCACAAGAGTGGAACATCCTTCCTATACCAGTCAATAATCCCTTGAAAGAGGGTCTCTTAGCTATGCTACAATTGCAATTTGTTCCCTCTGATTTATAGAAACATATGCACATACAATGATCATGTCTGTCTCTGTAATCAGATCAAAAGTTAGGCGATTAAAAACAATACAGGTTAATGTGTGTACACTAAGTCAAGCCAAAGTTATACTAATCTTAAATTTTTACTTTGTTGCCAGGAAACATTTTTGAGACTGTAAAATCCTCTATGAACAATTCTGGGAGTTTGAAAGTGTGATACCCTAAAAATAAGAATTCCAGCAACTAAGGAAAAGGTACTATATTTCCAAACACTTTCCAAACCTGTGTGAATTCAAAAGGTTCTCTGAGAGTGATGAATCAATTAAAGTGAAAGGAGTTAACCTTGAGTGCTTTTGTTATTGTAGTTAGAAAAAGAACAACAAATACGTATAATATCTTATGAAGTTAATGCTCAGAATGAAACAAAAGCCAAATCCTGAAAAAAATTGTGGAAACTCTTTATCAGCGCAACTATTATCATAAAAATTATCACAGATACCATACATTTACATATAATGCAACCTTTGTGGAGTGACATTATTCGAGAAAATTATTCATTTTTTCACCATTTTAGCCTGTTCTAAATGTTGGTGTCTGTTAAAAGTGATTTTAGTTTAAATTTCTTCCAATCAAAGAATAAACTCCTCATAATTTTATTTCCCTTTGTTTTTATATCCCTGGCAAAAACAATTGTTTATTTTCCAACAGATAACCACTAAGTATTATATAACTTAACATAGCTTCTGAGTGCATGTATATATTGGCTCAAAATATCAATATCACTTTTTTTTCTTTAATTAGAGCTATTCGAGAAAATTCCAAGGTACTGCTGCACACTACCTCTGTCCATTTCCTACAACTTTAATTCTAGATTAAACCTCAGTTTTATCCACAGATTTTTACAAATGGCAGATACTGGCATTCTAAATACTGCCTAATCCATCTTTGGCAACCACTGACACAAAAAGTCATTTAAATCATTAATTACATGCCAGCGTATAAAATCTGAAACTGTGTACTTCAGATACAAAATTCCTAATAAGCTGATTAGGCCTCAAAAGAATAAAAAAAAATCGCAGGAGCTGTCCACTGGTATGAAAAACCAGGAGGATACATGTAGTGTTCTTACCAAACTGTAAAACACTTCAGAGGAAAAAATCCTCAAACAGTTGAGCATAAGGATACTAGTTTGTAGTTTAATTATCTCTTGGTAACATAAAATAAAAAGAATCCCTTTTGTAATTTTTCAGGTCAGTTATCCTATGTAGAAGAAAGAAGACTTAAAAATTTGGTAAGAATATCTGCAACACTCATGAGCAAACTGTGATCGTATTTACTTCATTTTGAGGACATCTTCAAATAATCAGCCATCGAATACTACCTTTTACACAATATACATTTTAATAAAGGGTTTTTAGGAACTGAACTTCATCTTAAAATTTTCAGAAAAACAGTAACACTCCAAGTGGAAAAAGCCAATTTAATAGCACCCATTGTACACAACTGCTTAGGATGATTAGTGTGAAAAACTTGATTTTTAAAATAGCTATACTGCATTAGCTGGTTATGGAAATACTTGGAACTGAAAGAAAGTATCTTTAAGACGGTGAACCTCACATAATTCAATGTAGAATACATTACAGAGATGATGATATATATCAACTCTAAATGTTAAAGCACAGATCTGTCTACCTCTTGGCAATGCCTCTTTACTCCAGAACTTAAAGAAAAAAAGAACCTGTATGCATGGATTACCACTTGTATTAATTCATGGATGAACTTCAATTTAGTGAAACACATATATATATTTCTTTTAACATTCAACATTATCTATAGGCCTGGTAACCATGAATGGTGATCCAATATACAGATACCATCCTTTTTTTAAAGTTAACTTCTCCTAATTTTAATTATACATGTGGTTTTTTCATGTGCAAAATGAAAAAATCTGTCTCAAAGTTGATAGATCAGGACAACTTTATCTGCCTAAACAAAACTATTGTTATAAATAGAGTCTCAGTTTAAATATTGAACTGGAAGTAAACAATTAAAACACTTCCAACTTAATGACTTTACTTACTGCATTCAACTGATAACATGACTTGTTTTAATTATTTTCTCTATTGATTTACTTGGTCTGCTTGAAATCTGTTGCTCTAAGCCAAAAATTTAAGTCCATGCAGCAAAAGTACAAGATTTCAGAAATGTTACAACCTTGAAACACAATTGCTACATAACTCCTTTCAAAATGAAACTTTTTTGAGAAAATCATTGTGTGATAATTTTCATTTCAGTCAATCCAGACTGTGAGGAAAACCACATATTTTCAAAATCAAAATGATGAAAATTTTTTAAAAAATTATTCATTGCAACATAGGGAGAGATTTACAACCAAATTTAAGTATCAATAATCAAAACCTGGATATCCAAAGTTAAATACAACCTCCAAAAATGAAGTTAAAATGAATAATATATACTGCTTGACCCTGTTACATCGAACTGGAAAACTTTTAAATAAATAAAACTTACTTGAAATTTCATGAAAGGTGTTATGATTATGTTGAGCTGATTATGTAGACATGAGATCAAGTGCACCAAAGGATGAATAGTACTCAGTTCAAAGTAACACTGGTAAACACTGAGAAAAGAAAATGACGTATTGTGCATGTGTGTTTTGACGAAAATAAATACCACTACTAAAGGTTCAGTAATAAAAGTGCAAATAGTTTCAAACATGAACAATAACGGGAAAGCAATTGATTTAAAAAGGTCTTCCGTAGAAACAAACTAATTTGCTGAGGTTGATTCGATGTGCCAGGAAACCAACAGTTATTTTTGTCCATTACAAATATTTGTTTCTTGTAACTTGGATGTTAGTTATAGAGTAAGAGTAAACACCATGAACCACGAGGTATCAAGGTTTATGATCTAAGACAATATGCTCTATCCCACAAAGTTTCACTCGTAGTAGGCACGCTGTTTCCGGAATAGTTGGATTTCTCTATAAAAATATTTCACCGCCGAAGTTACAATTGAAAGTTTCTTATCAACAAACTCTGCAAAACCAGCCTTGAACAAAAACTGTATGATTTTGGGAAGCGAACAGCTCGAAACTTGTGTCTAACTCACTCATGAAATTATACATAACAGAAGATTTGACCCAAGATAAATGAGCCACGATAGGAGTGCACAAGCTGTGTTTTAAATTTCCACAGTGCATGATTCCGAAAATAGTCTGGTCGATTTTCCAGTTGTAACTGAGAATAAGAATGACTTAAAATTCACACGGATTTGCATGGTCGGTTGGTAGATCTTGAAACTACAAGTCTCCACAAGTGAGTGTACATGGTTTCGTACTATGCAAGTCACGCTTTTAATTTGACCATCTCGCAACCACTCAAAAATTGTTACAACACTTGGTTAAAGTGAAACGTAAAGGCCACTTGAATATAAATTTCAAGAGCGTCAAAGTCTAAATCCCTAAAATTATAAACGAAAAATAAAACGACTACATCAAAGCAAGTTTTAATGAATTTAAGCCACAGCGACTTACACACACATACATACTTCTGAAGATATAAACGACTGATCTAGTATCCTTCTTAGGACAAACATTGCTTAGAACATTTCCGTACCGTACCACGGAAAAGACAACAAAAGATTAAAGGAAAAACTACAGACTAGGTCAAAAAACGAACGCCAGGGATACAGCACTTCAAAGGTATTTCATACAACCTCGGCCATTCGATATAAATTTTCCGACTGACAAGAGATTCTAATCGATTGAAGAGTAATTTTATTATGACCTCTCTTCTTTAGTAGGAGAAAGGTTTATCGCCTTCTTTCAGCTTGGAAAAGCCTCAAAGCAAAATCACAAATATACCTCAGCGATCCAGACCTCACAAACCTCACACATTGAAGAAGAAGCCTCTAAAATTTGCACCGAGTTCCTTGCATGTTTTGAAACGCGATACAAATTTGGAACTGACACAGACCACAGATTTAGGCTAGTTGTGTTAAATGTGAATGAAATGCCGCTAACAATAAAAGCTTCTCAACAAGCCCAGTTCAAACCTAATGCCAGGCCGGTTTTAGAGAAGATTACAATGAAATGTATAAAGCAAACACAAACTCACTGTGCTATTTCAACGCTCCCACAACTGGCTGCAGCGTGTAAGGCCGACCAGCCTTCGTTGTCTCGTACGTCCAATCGGGCTCCATGATCGACCAAAAATTCAACGAGATCACAACTTTCGTCGATGCAAGCCTGAAGAACACAAACAACAGTTAAAAGCCTACATTACTACGAACAGATGTAAATATACACGACGGAAAGTGATTAGTTTGAAAATCACTTGAATACCCCGAAATACTAGGTTGCCTTCGGCTTTAAGCTGCTCACTTGAAGGCATATGAGACAAGAAATGATAAGGAATGTTTCGGCTGGAAGAGTTTATATCACAAGAATAAAAAACACTGAAATTGTTGAGAGGAATATACAGAGATTGGTTGTGATTTAGAGCTTAGAAATCGACATAAATTTCCTTGTAACCATTTGGACTTGGTCTTAATAGTTCGAGGCGTTAACAAGCATTTTGAGAATTGCCTGGCCAAAAAATAACTGCCAGGGTTATAACTGATTTAATGCCTAACTTTGGTCAAGTAAGAATTCAAAGGAATCAGCACCGAGAAATTTAGCTTTCCCGAAGCAAGCTCTGTAATCACTCGATGTTTTAAGGAGCGAGTGATTCCTTAATTAGGCTATTGTTTTGGGTTCTGCCTAGGACCCCGGACCTGGTCTACAAAACCTTCTCGCACAAGCTACTCTTGCTTCAAATATAATTTTTCTATCTCTGGCAGGAATGTCAGATACCTTACCTGATGTAACGCGGTAAGTCCATCGACATTTTGGTGATTTATATCTGCGCCTTTGGCCAGAAGTTTCTTCACCTCCTCCACGTCACCGCTCGATACCGCCGAAAGGAACACAGTTCCGAGCGAAAATTGAATTTTGGTCTTCTTTCTAGATCTGTCCGCAGATTCTAAGGCTGTCTCGCTTTTACTCCATCTTTTTAAGGATTCTTGACGCTTCTGTAAAGCATTACTAGCCCTAGAGCTTTGGCCACCCGTAAAAGGGTCCGCCATCTTCCCATGACGTTACACACCGACCAGCCCGAGGACCGAGCATGAGGCCACGTGACCAGATCGTAGGTGAGATGAGAACCAATGACGACTCTTAGGAATTGTCAATAACGCTACCTAGCAACCGTGACGTCACTTAAGAGCAAGCGTCAACTTGAAAGTCACAGATTTTCTTATCTTCAAATGATAACAAAGCAAAATTGAAATATATTCTAGAATCCATTTATAATAAATTTTTCCAAACTATCTTTAAACGTTTTAGCGGAGTAAATTAGTATTAACAGGTCCGCACAATTGTTTTCAGTCTCCCCCTTCAATTTTCTGGAAAAGAAAACAAAAGCTCTCATATCTATATATGTATGTTACAAGAACCCTGAAAGTTGTATTTCACCAGTCTCTATGGTTAAATAGTGTGATTTAAAATTATTATTCATACGACAAGTATTGCGTAGAGTCCTTGCCTTTTTTCAATATGCATGTATTTATCCGCCCTCTTCGCTTAAATTGACATAACATCGACATGGCGAGCATTTCAAGAAAATTCCAACCGGAAAAACTGAATGGAATTCCTTCCTCCCTCTCGACTCATTTCCACTGCACATTTCAGCGGGAATTTGCCAGTATCCATTGTACAACTGAGTCAATGGGTCAAGTTGATCACTTTCCATATTAGGAATGCGCTCAAGGGGCCTATTAAGTGTGGATAACAGAAGTTTAGCGTGAATTGGATGGAGCTTCTGTTGCTGTCCTTCAATTACGAGGGTGCCGGCATCAAACTTTAATTAGAAAAATACCCCTACTTCGGAGTTTACATTCCGCGGATACCAAAACCGGGTGCATCGCTGCAAACAATTTATTTACGATTGAAGACGGTTTCGCAGAACGAAAGCCCAGGTGAATTTGTCATTTTCAAGCACTGAACATGGCCTTATCCGGGATACTTGCTGACCGTCCGGAATATGGAAGCTCGCGTTCCTCAAGGAAAAAATATTCGGCGTGTAATTCTTTGATAGAACATTGCAAATATTCGTGTGTGAGTCGCTTTTCTTCCTTCTTAAGAATGTTTGAAATCGTTAGCATAAAAGAAGCTTAGTTCGCTGTAGTTATTGACAGTGAATGAGGTACATTTTAAACATTCCCAACATGTTTGTCACGTTTAGGACAGCGGTCGCTTCATCTAATCAAACAATCAGGTCTCTCGCGAAGGAATGTGTGTTATTTAACAACCCTCCATGTGTATACACTTTGTTATGAGAACAAACGCGGCTTGACAGCCAACAGACTTCAGTAAAAGAAAGCTAAATATTGAGTTATTTTTTAATATATCCTATGCCACGGTACTGTTAGCTAAAATAAAATAAAAAAATTTGCTTGACTAGATCTTTGGTATGGTGGATTGACTGGATAACTGAGTAGAACATATCCATGAATATCGGCATCAGTCAGTTCATGGCCTTGACCTCCTTGCTTCAAATCACCAGGATATATTTGATAACTATCGCAGACCAACCAGCCTGAGTCTAAGAAAAGCCGCAGTTAGCCTGTCACAGTCAAATCATACTCACACAAGCAGAATAATCAACTCTAGGTGTGCTAGAAGTCATTACTAAAGGACGGAATGAGATTAAAACAACGACTACGACAAAACTCTGATGTTGTTCTGCTCCGAGGCCAAATATTTCTTCTTCCACGAAGCAACGGGCACGCGACAAGCGTCTGATGGGCGATTTACAAATGCTTATACTCAGCGGGAGCCATTCTGTCATTCCTTTTTTTTTTTTTCCCCTAGTCACAGCTGCTCCTTTTACCTCTTGTGTGCAATATATTGCGTAATATCTATGACTGGAGACAATTTAGCGTAAGGGTGGAAGGGGATTCGGGATTTTCGAAGCCTCAGTTTGATGTTGTTGTTCTGAGAATATGACGCGTTCAACGAAGGCAAGTGATGAAAAAGCTGACTGAGACGACCTCTTAGCAGGGGTATGATTTGTTTGATAGAAGACGATTCCGACACGCGTGTGTTGTCACTTGACACTTACTGTTAAAAATTTCGAATATCAATGCTCCGATAATATGGATAAAAGAAAAAAAAGGAAGAAAAGAAATGAAAGCCAGAAGAATTGAAGAATTGGTTTATAGCAATTATGTTCATAACAATTATCCTTTTCAAGGCAAACATCAACCAGCATCGACTAGCACACACTTGTCGCGATCCACAACACAGAGTATGAAGGAATCTAATTACATCTCTCGCCTTGCTCAATGTTGGTACTTAATTAATGTTCTTTAATGCGTGTAATTTTACCTCCAATTTTCACCGCATCAGATTTTAAACGATAGTTCTGAGATCGACAAAAGCATCATTGACATCGTTGAGCGGCACCTTTTTTTTTCTTTTTTTTTATTTCTGATCGGCATTGAACAAGGATTTTAGAGCCCAGACCTATTCTTGCTTAGCTCCCCTTATTTGTGGTAGCTCACACCATGCGCAATGGGAAACGCCGGTGAGGTCCACTTTGGCTGACCGGGATGCATTTCATTCAGGCATTTTCTCGTTGGCGTCTTCTACCAAAGTATTCGATAATGAACACATAATATGATAATTAAGTTCAAGCCAATTAGAGTTGGAGAAAGCTTCAGAGGCGAGCAGGTTTTCCATGCTGTTATTGATCGTCGCCCACATATGATCTAATCAATAGTATAACCGACTATTTTATATTTTCCAAGAATTTAAAACTATTCACAAGAATTTTTGAGATTCTGCAAGAAACGACCTCAGAATAAGTCTGGCTGGAGCTCTTTTTATTAGGAAAATACAATAGAAAATGTCCTTTACTTCTCTCTCATATATCACCATGAGAGAAATGAGGCAATCAAGTTGTAAAAGAGTACGCAATTGTTGGAAGGTCATTAATTAAAATTTCAATATCCCTGAACTAGTATTTTCTACAACTTTTATTTTTGAAGTATGCCTGCATGATTGGATTCATCTTAAACACATTAATTTTCAGCTGTTTGTGCTTATAGCTCAAGATTTAGCTGTTAGAACGCCATTTTTATCAAAGAATAAGAATCAGATCATATTGATAAAACTTCATGCAAAATTAGTCCAAAAAAATACCATTCGGAGCAGGCACCCTAAATTTGCAGTGATCCTGTCTGGAGTGTTAATTAATGTTTGGCTACTTCACGGATAACAATATATTTTACTATTAATTGGTGCTGGTTATAATTTTTTTGGTCGAATAAATAGTGTTGTAAACTGTTGTGCACCGCCTGGATATAAGTACACATTTTTTCAAATCAACATGTTGATCGCTTAGCTTTGAATAATTCACTCAACTTCGTTGATTGCACCTCTTGCTAGACTTGTAACATCAAAAAAAGCTTACACTGAAATGATGCCAAAGAAATCTGAGATGTACCTTTCCAGTTCACTCAACAGATTTGAGTAACCTACGTGTAGCCGCACCCTCTCTCCCCCCCAGGGAGAAAGGAAGGTGTTCCGTTACTCTTTAGTGGGGGAGGGTACGGTCACACGTATACAATTTAAGCAAACCTAGCTCGCGATATTATACCCAAAAACAGCAAAAATTATGCAACCGCGAGAATTGCCAATTTTCCATCTTTAGGCGTATCTCCTTGCATTGCTCAAATTCCACAATGACCTTGGTGGATTCCGTAACAGCATTACTTTCGTCTGGTTAGTGCAGAAATTGCATGATTCCTTAACTTTCCCCATCAGCTCCTGGATTTCGCTCTCACGCTTGAAGTGGTGAGTGGTAAACTTAGATTGTGGTCGATAACACAAATAAACACTTTTATGAGGACAGTCAACCTATCATCGGTTGAAAGTCTTAATAAATAACTTTATACAAGCTTGTCTTGAGCAGCTCTTGAACCATTCATAGTAGTTTATGCGGATCCTTTCTTCATGCAAGACCACTGGACTTCTTGCGAGTTCGACCAAATTTATTTTCTTAGCTTTCCAAGTCAGCGATCACTCTCACACTGAAAAAAAAGGGAAACTGTAAGGAGACGATCATGAACGAAATGACTAGGAAAAAGAGGGTGGGGGGGGGGGGGAAGGGGGGCGCGGAAGCAAGGAATTAAAAAGTGGACTATATCAAAGAGATTGGCCTTTACACAAGTTTAAATTTGCCAATTTCCTTTCGTAGCCTAAGGATCTTCTTCCTGATTATTTTTTAACAAATCAACACTCACTGCTCCTATCGTCTAGTGGTTAGGACACTGCACTATGGCCGCAGGAACCCAAGCTCAAATCCTGATCTCAGCATTTTTCTTTGAAATATATACATAGTTTTTTTTCGTTGGGTTGTGTTCAACCATGAAACCTGAACCATTTTTTTATATTAAAAACAGTGATATGGATTTTTTTCCTCCTTAAACGACAATAACTTTCAAAAATTGATGGTTATGCTGTAAAAGAAAAAGTCTTCTCCAGTAACTGAATAGGTTTACTAGTTCATCCCACAAACAATAAGCGTTTACGGAAATAAGTTTCCCAGACCGCTGACAACAAGGAACTCACCAGGACACTTGACGGGAACGCACTTTTTCCTTTCTCTGAGTTTTTTCGGACAACTTGCTCCACCATACTTTTCGCTTCTGATGATCTTCCTTACTCGTAATTTTTTTCCTCTGTTGCACTTTTTAGTACATTCTGACCAAGGTGACCATCCTGTTACTATGCAGTCTGACAATAATGAAGAAATGAAAGGTCTGCGTTACTTTCGATCAGGCGTTCTTTGTTTTGGATGAGCGTAAAAGTGTAGGATTTGAGTTGAAGGTTACTAATAAGCGCACAAACTTTTGCGCTTCTACACTATAGTGCTCCCCTTCAAAAGAGAGACGCCTCATCACAGGTTAAAGTCAGTGAAGTCAACGTGACATCACAGCTTTTTCCTAAAGATTTTTTAAAATTTTTTTCTAAAAGTTTTAAGAACGAATGCGTTCCTAGCTTTAAAAAAAGTTATTGGTTGCCGTAACGTCAAAACTGAAGTAATCACAATGGCAGGTCAGCGGTAAAAGCTAATGAGAATAAAAAATATACACACTTATTCGGTGAAGCGCAGGAATACGCCTTGATGGGAATACTCTCGGTGTTTAATACCTGATTGCTTTTCGTTTTTATTGATTTATTTGCCATAACATAATCTCACCGTTATGTTTCTCTGGCGGGCATTTTGTCAGCTTACACCGCCTCCATTTGATAAGTGATTTGAATTCTGGGCATGGACTTCCGCCATGTTCTGCTTTTTGTAGAATTTTGCGCGAGCGAAATTGTCCACCCCTGTTACATGAACCACGACATTCACTCCAGGAGGACCAAGGGGAGAGTTTGCAATTGACTTGTTTGGGAATGACAAGTTTACCTACATAAGAAAAAGTAGTTGATCTGTTCACCACCATTGAATTCTTCACATATGAATGATTTCTGTAAGGAAGGACACTTCTAGTGATTAACATGCAATTTCTCCCTATAATATCCATACATTATCCAGCTAACAGGTGATGAGAATACTCAAACTTATCTCGTACATGTAGAAGTTGTTTTCTTGATCTAACACCAAATGCTTGTTACTAATATGCTAAAATGTTTGCACTTTCCTTTGTGATTGACGAGTGTATTCTGCTCTATGTGGCTCTGAACACTCTGAATGAAGTTTGTTGCAGTTCAAATAACTGTGGTTAAAACGTGTGGTTACAGCATTGCATTTGAAGGAGAAGTCTAAAACTATTTTCATTTAATCCTTCAATCGCAATGTTCTAGTTTTTAACATTTTAAATCGACCTCAATACCTACCAATACAGGTGGGCTGGATACAAGCCCTTGACTCTATCAGTTGAGGACAAGGAATCCCGTCATTCTTTGGCTTCTGGATTACCGCGCGGCCCCTGCGCTGGACTCCAGTACCACAGGTGACCGAGCAGGGTCTCCATTCCGACCAGCGAGAAACTTTGCAATGAACTTTTGGAGCTGTTTATGCAAAAGAGAAAATAACGAATTTATAACCTAACCTACCATAATGACGATCCATACAGACCTATCTCCATCATCCCACGGAGTCGAGGGAGATGAGGACTGACACGACGAAGGGGACGATGGGAAGGAAGAAAAGAGGGGGAGACATCTATAGTTTTTTCCCTTCCCATCTTCCCCGCGTGCACCTCTAGAGCACTTCCCACGTTAAGATTCAAAAGTAGAGAGACGACTGGTCGTGAGTCAGAGTTTTGTATCTAGTTCCCTGCCCGGCAGGCGACCATTTTGCAAGATAATCAAGCTGTGGCAAATGGTCAATGAATTATGATAGCTGTTCATTATCCCACTCGCACAGGGTATTTGAATGTCTGTGTTTATTGGTTATGCTTTTAGGATCCTCAACTATAAAACGATCTACTGTATCAAGAGGAATAAAAATCACGGCTTAAGGTAAGGAAAAGAAATCATTTACTTACATTTCTCAGGGAAAGGAGGACGTCCAGGCTTTCCGTTGCATTCTCCGGAAGTCTGCATGAGCTGTATTTCAATCTGACCAAACGGTTGCGTGACTCCGCGATCTCCCTGACCAGGGAATGATCCCAGTTTATGAGTGTTTGTTGTTATGTTTCTTATTGGCTGCTGGGGGACAGATTTAATGTTCGGTGACTTGAAGGTTTTCCCGTCATCGGTACCTGGGTAATTAAACTTTGTTAAATGCAATACCTCAGTCTAATAATCCATCAAAAATTTTTGCTCGCGCATATTTGGACATCATCTACTGTTCTTTGAAGCTCACAGTTTTCCCTGGGCTTCGCTCTCGGAAAACTGTTCGCATTACGTGAACATGAAGGAGGGCAATTTTGGGATCGTTGAAAATTCATGAAATAATTAACCAAAATAGATGCAACATTAACTTGTTCGACTTTGTCATCAGTAGGACAAGGATATTTATTTTGTCGAAAAAACATATTTGGGGTTAGGGGCACCGTCACAATTATTCCATGGGTGCACGTTGGATATGAGAAGGTAAGTAGGCAACAAGGCACATAGCGCTGAATTGGCTCTAACCAATCTCGTATCCAACAAGCGTGAATGGAATAATTGTTTTATTAAATTTCATTAAATCCTGATGATTTGAATAATCGCATTTTTTTTTTCAGCTCCATTACAGTTGGTGCAATGCTTTTCCATACAAGATGACTCGGAATATAATCTTATAACCGGAGTTGAGCGAACCAATCAGAACACTAGAAATGCAATATACCCATATACCCAGAGTTCGCTGGCCCTTCCTCGCGTCACTTAAAGGCATTTTCGGGCCAACAAGAAAGCCAATGAAAAGAGCCTGAATGTACGTTTGTAATCTATGTAGTCTACATCATTATGCACAGACGGGGCTTCAAAGTCAGTTGTAAATGGTCCTCCTTTGTCTTTTTGCTGTTTTCAGGCGAGCGGAGGCAAAAACACGAGCCAAGAGTAGGGGCGAACAACCTTTCCTTCTCGCGCATGTCTGGCCCCCAATACTCAGCTCGCGCTCCCCTTCGCTCGTCTGTGAAAAAACGATAGTGCTTTCTCTAGACAATTAAACTTTTTAAAATGTTTCATAAGTATTTGTGCAATGCAAGTCAACAAAATATTATTGTTGTTATTATTGTTATCATCATCATTATTATTATTATTATGTTATCATCATCATTATTATTATTATTATTATTATTAACTATCATGATTGATATCATTATGAAGGCTACTATTTCAACCCATGCCTCGAGGCACTTGCTTCGTGCGTCCATTGTCGTTTACACGATGTTGAACGAGATTTTTTCGCCCTATACGTATGCATAATGATAACTGTACAGATCTGAGTGATAATCCTACAAACAACTGACAAATGTTCTTCTCATACGCGAGTCTGTCTGTATCTTAGGCAAATTTCTGAATCGACACTATGAGCATAACAAATTAGCGGAGACTTTTTAATTTTTTTGGAAATCTTTGAATTTTTTTCTAACTAACCAGCATCCCATGGATAAAGTTTCCTGATAACAGCTTTTTTCCACGTACAATTCCCGTCACACAGGTTTATCCGGTCAACGCCAACATTCCAATCAGGGCTTGGGAAGATCTTGGCCAAGGCTGAGACAAGGTTACGTTTGCTGTCCGCTTTAAATGTGGTGGAAACCTTGCCGGCACTTCTATATAACGTGTGCGTCTTGATTATGCTGACGATTCAAACAAAAATGATATGTGTTCAGACAGGCAAGTTACAAGAAAGGCGGTCTTTCAGAATTTTTCACAGGATTCCTTTTCCACGCTTTTCCTCTCTGTGATTTCATTTCTCAAAAGTTCAAGTTCACTTAAAAGGAGGAAGCTGAATTTATTGGAAAAATTTCGTTAGCAAAAAAATTGCCGAGACCAGGATTCGAACCTGGGTTACTACGGCCACAACGGAATTTCCTAACCACTAGACGATCACGGCTTGTCACCCAAGATACAGGCGAACAAAAAAAAGGATAATTCGTTTAGAAGTATGATGCGAGTGCCATGCATTCCAGCAGTTTAGAACAAAAACCATTTATTTTCGCTTTGGTTTTAGAAAGACGACGATAATATGAGAGAAACTTGTGCACCACAATCAATTGAAAGGTAAAAAGAAAGCGAAGGGAAAAAGAAATAGTTGAGAAGAAAAAGGAAATCTTTCACAACATTTTGAAAAAAGGTTACAGAAGAATAGGCCTTGAATGATCCCAATGGCTTGGGATGTGCATGCACAAGAAAAAGAAGACAGAACTTCTGAGAAGAGGACTTGAAGCTGGCTTCCAGAAGCGTTAACACAGTGTCTAAAGCAATCTCGGTTCTTTATTGGCTCAAGGAAAATGATTCTGTGATATTGGCTACTTCTAACAGTTGAAACTGAAGGCGAGAGGAAATAAAGTACAGAAAGCAAAATATTTACCGTTCTACGGTAACATTTTGTGCAAACTTCATCTTTTAAGGCTAACCTGAGCACCTTCTCTCCTTGATTTTTCATCTCCTTCTCCAGCATCTCGACGGCTCCCCACTCGCTGACCTTTGTGACCCCAGGGGAGGCCATTCCTCCGAATTGCCATACGATATAATCCTTACTGTGCGAGGAACCAATTAAAGGTGACCAGCGTGCCATTCGCCCGGGAAAATGCCGGGGATATGTAGATTCTGTCCATTTACCTTAGAGGGAAATCATCTGTAAGACATTGGACATCTTTTTCTTTATACAACCCAGTCTGTACATGAGGTTCTCAATGGGGTTAACCGAGAGCCGTAAAACGGCCAAAAAATTTGGCCGTTATGCGTAAAAATTGACAAATTTTAACCGTTAATCGTAAAAAAAGTTAGCCGTAAAAAACTTGTTTGGTGGGAATAATAGAAAGGTGTTAACTGTTAGCCGTAAATTGGCCAAAACTTTTAACCATTAGCCGTGAAAGCCATCGCCCCATTGAGACCCTCATATCTAGGACTGAACTAGACAAACTTAACAAATAAGCATTAATTATATATGTTTATCATATCTCCATCAAATAGCCGAAAGAGCAACACGATCCTGGTGATTTTACTTTACAAAATGTATTTCGATGTGAACGCATCTTCGCCAGTGCATTTAAAAACCGTTTGAGATCATGACAGAATAACTGGCAGCTTGTTGTTTTAGTAAACACGAAAACAGCGAGATGTTAAAGCACAAAAGATGATTCTAACTCACTCATTTCTGCAATAATTTTATTATTTTCGGGCGCAAATCCCACTCGAGTTGCCAAGAGGTGAATAGCAAAGGATATTTGGGGTTTGAGTAGCCAATCAGAGTGCTCCTTCAACGCTATCCACTGTTATAGATAGTACTTTAAAGACTGAAAATCAAGAAGGAAACAGATCTAAATACAGTAGGCGTGAAAGTAAGATTGACGCGAATGTCCTGTAAAAAAACTCTGTAACTAACAATGATGTGTGTTCATGGGTCGCTGGATTCCTTTAGACATAATCACTCTTTTCGTGTCTTTTCAGATGGGGAAATTAAACAGGAAGAGTCACAACTGAAGGCAAATGAGATATGATCAGAGATCTTCGTCATTTACTGAGGAAAGAGCAACTGCACAGCAGACGCTCTGTTGAAAATATGCGCGAGTTTTAAGAGGGACACTCGCACGGTCCTTCATAGAACTCTCACGTGTCGCCTCGAATCGGTGGCTTGAAGCGTTCAACCAAGACCAGAGTAGTCACAAAGGCCAAAAGGGACAGAGGAAAACAGTACAAGGAACCAGTTGGAACTCGAAGTGAATACTAGGCAAACGATTGAGTTTTTCTAGTTTGTTTGTTTTGCGCCTCAATTGGCTGCAAGGGCCACGTGAATTTTTCTAAGACCAATCAGAGAGAGCAGTGGAACGAAACCACAACAATCGAAGTGATCCTGTTTTTCTCTCAAATCTCAACTAAAAATATATCTATTCTGAAAAGCCCTTTAGAGGACCTTGGAAACATGAAGCCGCAACAGAAATATTCTAAATGATGGGCAAAACGTGAGCCATTAAAAATAGCTAAGGATAGAGCCGCATCCTGTAGGAACAAACCAAAGATTCTTCGCGAGTAACCTTAGAGAAACATTATCAATGTCGGTATTTTTGCAACTGCGCACCTACCCCTCCCCTAACCCAACAACAGTCAACTGATAACAACGTACGGTTTATGCTGGGTTAGGGGAAGGGTGGGTGCACAGGTGCTCAGATACTGACATTGATCCTCTACATTTCTTTACATTACCAGTAAATGTGATGTCGTAGGTTGCTGCTCCACAGGCACAGCAGGTAAATCTGTCATCGCTTTCCTTTCCGTCTTTCTCTGTAAACAGAATGTCATAATTTTTAATGAAATAAATTTCGTTTGAACCGCGGATAAAGAATCAAGTAAAACAACGATTCTCGCAGATGAGCTGCAATTTAAAATTGCAATAAAGAGGACCAAAAAAAAGATTTGAAGCTTTGATTAGATTCGAACCCAGGCCTCTGGATACTAGTTGGGCTTCACCAGTTTACCACTAACCGAACTACGAAGCCACACGTTGGAAATGGGCAGCGGTTACGAGGATTCATTTTTAGAGGGTGATAAATGTTTGGAGCTGGAAAAAAGGTTCAAGTCTTTCAGGCAACCACTGTCTGAGTTCGAGCCATGAAGGACATAAAAAAGATTCGAAAATACAAAATAAAATTGTTTATTTTGGGAGATTACTTTATCTGTTGTAAGAGAGCCCCTAAATTCGTAAAAAGGATTTACACATCCTATTAATGAAGTTGAAGATTTCGGTTTGAGAGACTGTCACAAGATTCAAGGCACATAAATGGGTTCAGAATCATATTTGGTGGCCTAAACTCCGTGACTCACATCTTACTACGGCTGCACATCTTGGTGCTCAAACTTCGAGCATGAGCAAGAGGATCAGTTCTGGCCAATTTCCCGCGAAAAAAAATTCGACAGAAGATATAAGAAACAATCGCTGTCTCGCAAAAAAAGCGAAAGAAAATCAAAACGTTTACAGAAATGTGTAAAACGTTATACACTGTTTAAACACCTTGACTTACTAGCTTGTATGGTTGTTTGTAACTCGTGTGAGACAACTTGATTCTAATTGCCTTACTTATTATAACTTTCGCACATGCGCAGACGTTTGACTAGTGTGTGGTACATCATCGATTAGCCCGTACTCCTAAGACAGTCGCAACAAATCAAAGCTATAGGTAAATCGAAGAAGGTACAGCTTTTTTGCATTCTACACTGTGAAAAACAATAAAAACATTGGCTACGATTTGAGTACCTTCAAAAATTTGGATTATATTTTTCAAGTTTGTCATTTGCAATCCATACAAGTCTTCGCCATTTTGGTTCCTTTTTGGCTTATCCAAACCCTTTTGATGTTTAGAGCATTTTTGATCGAGTATCGTAAATAATTGCTTTATTTCGTCTTTCAATTGGTGAAGAAAACAGGTACCACCCTCTCGACCAATCAGAAACCAAAACCAATTATGACTTGGTCGCTCGCGTTTTCCCGCGCTTTGGGCATTTTGGTCGGTTTTACATTGAGTTCTAATAGCTATTAAAAGTATTTGCCTTTCTTCGGATAGGCCGTTGTGATTATTTTGTTTTTGGTTTTAGTGTTGGTTTCACGACCATCAATCGAAAAGCACTCTATCTACTAGAAAACTGGCAGTCTGTAGGTTTGATTCCCCATATCTTTGAAAGCCCGTACTCGATGCCACTGAAAAATGTCTCAATATGTCGCGACATTACCACTTAAGTACTGGAGAAATATTGAAAGAGAGATAATGGTATGATGTAGTTGATGGGGTAAACAAGAGCTGCACATGAACGCAACAGACTACCTTGGGTTCTAGACGCAAGCAGCCATAGATGGTCTTCAGATGAAATCTAAAGTATCTAGGAATAATAAATATGCTTGACTTGACAATGTGGAGTGTTTGGACTTTATTGTGCCCTCTGTACTATAAAATACTATATGTTTACCCGTGTGCATCAAGAACATGTCGATATAGACAGGGCGATAAACTTACTCTATCTCGATATTATTCGTGGGGTTTCTATGCCTTATCAGATGACGATCATCAAAATGCTGATGAGATCCTGAAACTCTTAATTAACCCTTACGTCTTAGTTGTTCAAGATCATGCTTCGTCATTTGCGCAGATATTGCTTCCAATGTCAGACATGCGAGAAGAATTGTTCTGTGAGCTCAGCAATATCTCACCGGGGTAGGTCTTTTGACCTAACGCGATTAACAATAGAATATAGAAGGTCATGAATTATTCCTGGTTTCAAGTGCGTACACAGGGTAACAATAGAATTTCTCAAATTGTGTCATGACAGAGTGCATTTTGAACGAGTGCAGTCCAAAAATAGTTATCTTTTTTTTTTTCTGTATCTTGACAATGAAGGGACATTTGTCGGCCACATTTTCTGTCCAACGATTCAGTGCGTAAGACTCCTAAACAAGCCCATAACTTAGTCATATTTTCAGTCTCGAAGTCTACTGCATAAAATTTCTGCGTCTCTTTCTCCAAAACAACCATTACGAGAAGGGGAGATATCTTTGATCGAAGTTAGTTACTGATGTTTTTGAACGGCTAATCCTTTAGGTTTGGAGGTTTTAATCCACTGCAGTCATTTAAAATAGTTTACAATTTGTTCGAACATTTAATCGGTGACCACAAATATGTCGTAAATTCTTCATCGCGATTGCTTAGTCGATCAATACCGAAGTCATTTAAAAGCCCCTCTCTTAAGGGCAACTACTCTGGGATATGAATAATGCCCTTATAAAGTCAAGGTTACAATTGTCAATATATTTAACCTAAAACGAGCCAAAATAGCCCGCCTCGCTATGAAAAGAAAAGGAGCAAGTTAACATCTTTAGGTTTTAAATAACCCAAGTTCGACAATCGCGTCAATGAGGTACTCCCACAGTGAATAGTCTTAAGAACACACGCGAAGTAAAAAAAATTAGTTTCCGCAAACAAGCCGAATTCAAAATAATTATGAAGTGTTTTTAATCATCTTGAGATATTGGCAATGAACGTAGTTTACAACATTTATTTGCTGGTCTGTGTAATTCTGACACGCGAAGCCACGCATTGATAATGACAGTAACAAATAAAGTTTCTTGAAAATGACAACCGAAATAAAACGAGGAACTTATTCCTATAATTCAACCCCAAGCCTTTTCTTGTGCAAAAGTGATAGTGTCAACTTAAGAATCTTAGGAATGTGAATTTATCCTCTTTCCCTGTGAAACATCTTTTTGTAAACAAGATGCGTTGGTAAATGGAAATAAGTGGTTTTTTTTTTTTTTTTTTTTTTTTTTAGACTTTTGTCCATATTGCTCATGTTGGTTGATTCCTCATGAACATAAAGTTTCGTGCAGGTTGACACGATTACCTGAAGGAAACTTTTTTTTTTTTCTGTAAATGATATGCGTACGTAAAAGGAAAATTGAGTAGTGATTATCATACAAACTACAGTAACGTGCAGCTTGACACGGGAATCGTTACAATTATTGTACCTCTAAACCAGAGACGCCCTATCAAGAACGCAAATTGTAATAACACGGAAATACTGTCCGTGTGACGATTTCCTAAAGTGTGGAAAACAAAACCTTATGCACCCTGTTTC